GCCCGCACAACAAACATTGTGTCACAAAATAAAAAGGCCAAGTGGGCACCATATTAAAACCTACCAAGAAAATATCAATAATGTAAATAGTACCCCTGAAACATTATCAATAATGTAAATAATATCATTTAATAGTGTTTTTCCAAAAAGCACTATTTATTTTAATAATAAGTATTACTTCTATACTTTCATTAGCAATTACCTCGCAAGAGTATATAAAGTTTAGGCCTTAGGGAAAGAAATAAATCACTATTTGAATTTTACTAAACCTTTTGATGATTAGTGACTGCCAAAAAAAAAAAATCCAAGAAAATCCTAAAAATCCAATAAATCTTCGACGATCAAGTTCTAATGGCAGAATGTTCGTTTGTCAACTAATTTTATCTTATATTATTTTTGGTTTCGTTTTTAATTTATTTCTATCGAATAAATAAGTTTTTTGTTTTAATAATTATCCAATTTACATTTTTATTTTAGTCAAATCGTTTTGAGATAAATGGAGCATGTTAAATTTATTTTCTAATTAGTGATGTAAAATGTGGTTACACACTTATATGGATACCCTTGAAACACTATCATTAATGTAAATAATATCATTTAATAGTGTTTTCCCAAAAACACTATTTTATATTAATAATAAGTATTGCTTCTATACTTTCAAAAGCAATTATCTCGCAAGAGTATATAAAGTTTAGGCCTTTGGGGAAGAAATAAATCACTATTTGAATTTTACTAAACCTTTTGATAGTTAGTGGCTGCCAAAAAAAAAAATCCAAAAAAACCCTAAAAATCCAATAAATCTTCGACGATCAAGTTCTAATGGCAGAATGTTCGTTCCCAACTAATTTTACCTTATTATTATTTTTGGTTTGGTTTTTTATTCTATCGAATAACTAAGTTTTTTGTTCTAATGATTATCCAATTTGTATTTTGATTTTAGTCAATCGTTTTGAGATGAATGGAGCATGTTAAATTTATTTTCTAGGTAGTGATGTAAAATATGGTTACACAAAATCTTATATGGATCCTTATTGTTTTAGAAGTCTTGCATGTTCATTTTCTTTTTCTTTTTCTAAATTTTTAATTTACTTATTTTGGTCACATCTCAATCATTTTTTTAAACGTTTCAACCCATTAAATATGGTGTAAATGTATAAGTTTACCGCATTAGTCATAATATTTAAAAAATAATTCCAAGATAATACTTAAATTGTAGTTCACTTTTCAAATCCTAAAAGTAATTTTGAATTCTTAGATTTAGGAAAAAAAGTTACAAATAAGAAAAAGGAGGAAAAAAGTGCCTATGTATTCACTGCCCAATTATTTATCAAGCGCTTAAATTCCGTAATACATAAATCTAACATAAGTGCTTTAATTAGATTAATTCGGTTTTCTTTTTGTTTTTTTCCCTTTTAAGTTGATTTTGATAGTTATATTATTTTTCTGTACAAATAAATCGGTTAAAATTAGTTATTTATAGATTTTACGGATTTATAAATAAAATTTACTGTTAAATGATGGAGTGATGTGAACGCGATATGTGGACTTGATTATCTAAGTTTTTATCATGTGGATTACCATATCTAATTTTGCACCATTTGTACGATTGAAAACTCTTCTTTCAATATATTTAATAAAATTGAAAGAGGAATATATTTTTTTTCCCTTGATGGATAATACTAATAAATAATTTTTGTTGATTACTTTGTGTATAAATTATAAAAGAAAAAATTAATTGATTAACAATAATTATTACGGATGATTACGACATCTCACGGCCTAATAAGGTTAAACTATCATTCGATTTAATCCACACAACGAAAATTATGTGATCCCGTTCCCGTTTAGTGTATGTCACTTTGTGCATTTTCTTTGCTCATAATTGTTTTGGTTGCCTTTTTATTGTAAGTTTATAATTCGGTTGGTCATTTTGTATTTGCATATAATCCACATAATTTTTTGTTTATGTGGTTTTTACACTGATTTATTTTTCAGTTTTTGTATGATTGTAAACGTGCGTGTGACTTTAAAGCCTTTTTTTCTAGTGGAGTTTTAATGTAGTTTTAATTTTTTTTTTTGAATTTGAATAAAGTAAAATTGGTTACTTAGAGATTTTACGGATTACAATTAAAAAATTACCATTAAATGATTGATTGATGTGTTTGCAACATGTGGACTTGGCTATCTAATTTTTTGTCATATGAATTAACCTATGTCATGTGTCCGATTGAAAACTCTCTTTTAATATATTAAATATATATATATATATATATATATATATATATAGATTGTCTGTGTTTGATTTCCTCTAGGATTTGGTAATCATGATACAATGCTTTCTGAAGTAGGACGAGAGATAAATATGAACATTAACTTTTTGCTTTGGTGACTACTATCAACACAAATAAAATTAGGTATACAATTTCTTGCGTGGCAAGATGAGTTGTATAATTTTTTAATAAATGGAATCTTAGTTGTCAAGTGTCACGTATCAAATGGAAATAAAACTTAAGTTTTTTTGTTTATAAAGTAGTAAGAAGTGTAAACAAAATCTATATATATCCTATTAAAAAAATAGTCCAAGTTAAAAAAAAAAAAGATGATGTGTCGCACTCTCATGCATTTTTTTTCCCGCCCACCAAAAACTATGTCGTTTTATAAAAAATGAAAAAAAAAGAAGAAAAAAAACTTCATTGATCAGAATCAAATTATTCACGCAATTAATGTGCCTAATTGATATCAATCCATTTTGAAAGATCAAATGTAAAATCATTACTGCCTATCATTTTGAATTGTGCTATTGAATGATATCTTTGACTTTAACCAAATAAAATATATTAAATACTAGGAATCATGGTATTAATGTGCATTGATCTTGATTGATACTCCATAACCCAAAAAAAAAAAAAAACGCTACATTAAAATTTCATAATCAAAAATTAAAAATGAGTACCCTATTGTCGGAAAAAAAAAAAGACTACCCTATATTATCATTCTTCCTTCGTAACTCACCATATTTTACAAAATACTTCCAAAAACTATCTTATATCTTAGCCCTAATCTTCCGTCTCAAAAACTACTATAAGTATATATACCTCACTTTGGAAGATTATTCACTACGACATCAACCAAATCAATCAATATATATATATATATATTTATTTATATATATATATTTATATATATCCTATTAAAAGAGAAGTTCAAGAGAAGAAAAATGTTGAAATGTCGCGTTATGGTTAAAAGTTTTCCCTCCAAAGCACCTTAAGTCAAAACTACTTCGTATTGCTTAAAGAGAATTTTAACACCGTATACATAAAAACAGATTCATGTTATAAATGTATATAAAAATTAGATTATTCTATTGTGAGATAGGGAAATATTAATTATGTATTGTATTCTAATTCAACATTTTATTTTCAAAAAAAAAAACCCCAGCGCCTATGTTTAAAAAATTATTGAAACTTCACGGGTAAAATTACGAAAAAAAAATCCAAACAAAATATATTTTTACGCCAACTTTTTTTAAAAAAAAAAACTTAAAATTTCACGGATAAAATTATGAGAAAAATTCAAGTAAAATATTCTTTTTATATTTAAGCTCAAAGAAATTAATAATAACTACTTAATTTCTACATCGTCTTTTTTAACCTTATTTTTTACTGTTAATTTATTCTTTGTATAATCCCTTTTTTTCTTTAGATTATATCTCATAATTAACCATTAATTGAGTATGGTATTTTTTTTTCAAAAACTAATAATTATTTTAATAATGAATGTTAATATATTCCGTGCAACGCATGTGAGAGAAGCTAGTTATGTGTGAACTAATATTTTTGTATTTTCTATATATTATAGGGAATTTTCGCAAATTTTCGAAACAAAATTTAGAAAAGTCCAAAAAATTGAAATAAATTGGCCCGTAAATTTGCTAAAAAAATGTTATAAATGTTCTTTATATTGTTTGGCTAGATCTCTACAATGAGATCCATTTTCATATATTCCAAATTTTATGTTATTTGAGTTTTTAATAGATATAATATAGTAGTACTTTATAATTTTGATATGTCAATCTCACATTTTTTAATCAAATTTGTGGCATCATGTTGATGGATATGCTCTTTAATTGAATGTCACGTGTTATAATCGTTATGCACGTTCTAATGTTGTTCTATCTTATGTACAATTATACTCCCTCTGTCCCAATTCAATAGGCTACCTTACTATTTAAGAGTGTCCCACTAAATAGGCTGGTTTCCTTTTTAAGATGTGCTTTTTCTAATGAAATTCTAAATGTACCCTTAATTTAATTAATCACCTACCCATCATTAATGTTTTTATAAGAATATTTTAAGAAGATAAAGGTAAAAATGGTTAGTTAAGTTAGTTTTATTAATCTGTATGAAAGACACTACAAGCCTATTGAATTGAGACGGAGGGAGTATGATATATAAGACACACTGTTAATGTATTTGCGGTATAATTTTGAAGTAGCTATACTTCTTTTTTTTTTTATAGATTATATTTAGTTGTTATAACATCCGAAGTATAAATTTTAGTGGACATATGCTAATGTTGACATATTCACACTAAAATAATTTTTAAGTATCGACAATATAGTGTTAAGTTTTTTCTAATGTGATCGTCAAACGATAGAATTTGCTTATTGGACGACCCAAAGACAAAATTGACCGAAGTTTAATATGTCGGGATACAATTTGGGTATCTGGGAATACACGAGGGACTAAATTGAGTAAATTGTCAAACTTTTCATACGGATTACAGAGGAGCACGAAACCGAATTTATATAAAAGAGTCCGGGTACAAATGAGTCGGGTGGGTCGTAAATACTTTGGGGTTTTATAATCGGGGGGAAGGGTTTTTCGCCGCTTTTCAGTAAAGAAGAAGAAGAAGAAGAAGAAGAGCAGGCAGTTAGTTCGTCCTTGTTCCAGTTTCGAATCTCGTTGAGCGCAAGGACCCATCCATCCAGGCCAACAACAATGGCAACCTTCGTGTATCCTCCGGAAAGTACACCGGCCAACCACCCGGCCGGCAGCAAACCCGCCGCGGACAAACCGGAGAAAGTCGATTACTTGAACTTACCTTGCCCAATTGCTTATGAAGAAATCCACCGTGAATACATGAGTTAATACTCTCTTACTTTTTTGTTTTCCTGTTGATTTATCCGAATTGTAATTTTCTGTTCTGCTGTTATAATGCCGTGACAAAGACTTGATTTTTTTTTCTTTCTTTCTGGATTATATGGTTTGATTTTTTTTCAATTGGATTTTATTTGTGATTTTTAAGGGGCCGATGTAGAAGACCTGTGTTGTATTGCAATCTAGCCAATATTACATCCTTCTTATCATGTGTTTTTAAGGAATTTGTTGTCCAATTGAGTCTAGTTGTAATCTTTTAGCTGAAGTTGCTGACAATGCGCTGCAATTTGACATTTATTTGTGTTCATGAATTGCTTGCTATTCCTGAAGCACTTTGATGTCTGAAGTAGTATCCATGTTAGTGAAAGCATGCCCACTTGTTGATGGTTTTAGCAAGCAATAGCTAAAGATCAATTTTGTTACAGAGTTGCATTTGGTTTTTCAGAAAAGGAAAATTGTTCCTACATATTGAACTTACTTACCGGTTTCTTAGGTGTTTTGTGTGAGGTGTAATTTTATTGCGTACCAAAACTGATTGTTTGCATGGTGTTGAGGTTAGCTTTATGTTCAATGTCAATGGCCAGTTGGAAAATATTTATTGCTTATGTAATGATTCCATTTTTTTTTTCTGTTGACAGCGGCTTTGAAGCCCGAAGTCTTCGAGGGGTTTCGGTTAGATTTTTCTAAAGTACTCAATCCGAAGTTTGTACTAAGTCACAGGTAGTTTTAGAATTCTTCCTCAGAAATCCGTATTTTGTTTTATGACTATTGCATAATAGTATCAACTGAGTTGTTGCCTTCTGCTATGTCTCAGCATGTTCATGGGGCCTGTAGAGATACCTTCTCAGTCCCCGGAGACTATAAAAATTCCTACATCTCATTATGAGTTTGGTGCCAACTTCTTAGACCCTAAGGTGCGTAACTGTCAAATATTCATTTTATTTCCCTTTTGAGAACTGATGGAGTAGGCCTAATTTTTGCTAATTAATCTTTTGCAGCTAATGCTTATAGGGAGAATTATGACCGATGGTAGATTATCTGCCAGGCTTAAGGGTGATCTTACTGATAATCTCGCCTTGAAAGCTTCAGCACAAGTAAATTATAATAATATTTGTAGCTTTTGAGGTCTTTAACTTCTTGTAATATATTTTTGTCTAACTTTTGTATTCATTTACTTGTTTTACACTCTTTGTTCCCAGCTTACAAATGAGCCACACATGAGCAATGTCATAGCCAATCTTGATTACAAGGTAAGCATTTGTCTTGAATTTTCTTGTAATAGACTTCATTTGTGCCATATTTTCATCTTCACGTAAATTTTGTTTGCAAAAGGTCATATTACTGGGTTATTGACAGGCTTGGCTAATTCAGACATTTGTGCCATAAGTTAAATTTTGTAGTAACACAAATAGGTTGTTTTATGTGCCTAAGGAAAAGAGTTAAATGTTGATTTTTCTTGCCAACTTGATTTTATGCGCAGGGTAAAGACTACAGGAGTCAAATTCAAATGGGAAGTGGTGCCTTGATTGGTGCCAGCTACATTCAGGTAAAAGATCTCATTTTCATTGCAATGTATACTCTCAGTTGGCAGTTAGGGTTTAATTCTATTATATTTATGAAACTGTAATATCTTGGGAAGCTAAGGTGGATGGTAGATATATGTTGTTCAGAAGGAACTTCCACTTCATCTGCTGTTGTTTGGTTCTGATGTGTACTAGTCTCTAATTTCTGGAAGCCAGAAACAACAGTGTGTTAATCTCTGAGAGGAAGCTCTCTTTCCTTCTCTGTTCATTGCATGGGCAACGTGTGGGTTGTTTGAGTTGCGTAAGATCCTTTTATGGAGAATTGGTGTATTTGAAAGTTAGGTCTGAGATGCATCTTTGTGGATTGCTTTTGTCTATATGAGTACTTACTCACTGATGTAAATGGATTTGGGATAATGTCAGAAGCGAGGATCTTAGATCGACACTATCTTCCTTTTTCAGTATTTTGGCGTTAATAGGTTTAGTAATTGCCTTCATCTTTTGTCACTCGTTATTGTTTAACTGTGCAACATGGAAATCCTATTTCCAGGAGTGGTTGTCCTTTTTGTTCGTGTTTTCTGATTGGAAATTTTCTTCTTCTGTCTTTGGAGATGTAGCGCATGCTTTCAGCCCATTTTATTTGGCTCTTCATTGTTGATTAAGAGAACCTTTTTATATGCAGAGTGTAACCCCGAATCTATCTTTGGGGGGTGAAATCTTTTGGGCTGGTCAGCAAAGGAAGTCAGGCGTTGGTTATGCTGCCCGCTACAACACCGATAAGATGGTTAGACCTCCATAAACTATTTTTCCCTTTCTCTCTCCTTATATCTGCTCTATCCTTTACTTTTGATGGTAGCATTAGTAGAAATATCAGCATGTTGGGAGACCTATCCTTTAGTTTTAAAAAGGAATAGAGAAAATCTGGCTTAAGTATAGCACTGTAAAGAAACTTTTGAGATTTTCTTAAGGCAGATAAATGTTTCTCTTGAAGAATAGATTTCTTTACTTTCTCCCAGCTTCCACCTCTAACAAAAGATTAGAAAAAACCATAAAGTGGTAGCTGGTCAGGCATATTACAAGTTTAATCTAAAAGACAACCATCATGTGTTCTCTGAAATTCTAGTCTGCATGTTACCTGGGCTTGTAGTTTGTACATGTATGTACTCCCTCCGTCCCAAAATTATTGTCCAGTTTGAGATTTCACTTTTAGTACAATTTGAACTAAAAATGAAAACCCAAACTGGACAATAATTTTGGGACGGAGGGAGTAATTTATACTTCTTCGTGGATATTTGGGCTCAAGTTATGATTTTTATTGTGATTATAATTACAATTGTTGATTTTTTTGTTAAGGAGGCACCATTAATTTAGCCGCCGAAGCCCTCTCCTTTTGAATATGTTCTTATCTTCTTGATCTCATGCATGAATTGCTTTGTAGATGCTGTTATTGCTTGGTCGATCCTGTTATTGCTTGGTTGATCCTGTTACTGTTGTTGACCTTGGTTCGGACAATTGCTTTGCACTTTTACTGAATGTTTCCATTGTGTGTGTATAGGTTGCCACTGGACAAGTTGCTAGCACTGGAATGGTCATGTTGGGTTATGTTCAGAAACTCACGGATAAGGTTGCTCTCCTGTCAGTTTCATTCTTTTTTGTCTTTCTTTACTTGTTTGCTCTTCTAAGATTCTCTTTTATATCATGTAGATTTCTCTAGCTGCCGATTTTATGTACAATCATATGTCGAGAGATGTCACTTCGAGCTTTGGTTATGACTACATCCTTCGCCAGGTAATTTACACCATTCTTTGGAACAATTTGCTGTTGTTTGGTATTTAAGGTCCTCTTGCGGAAGTACGCTGCTAGTTCAAACCTCATTTAGTTGCAGGCTGGCAAGTTAATTTTGTCGCACCATTAGTATTGTTTTTGTTATCCACGTACAAACCAAATAGTTTGGGGAATTTATTTATGCGACGTACATGGCTGTAGAAAAGAAATTCTGCATGTGGCAGATGTGTAATACTTTACTTGTTTCCATGTTTCCTTGTTTGTTCAAACTAAACTCCGACCATGCTTTAGTGGTGGGATCTTTTTGTCCATGGTACATCTAGAGTGAACTGGAAATAATTGTGTGATCTCTTTTCGGCTAGAGGATAATCTGTAATTTCAGTTTCTCACTGATTTGAATTTCTCTGGGTGAGCCCATGTTTTCTCTTCTTAAATATTGTTTTCATCCTCATTCTGATTCTCAATCAATTGGCAGTGTCGCCTTCGAGGGAAGATTGATTCAAATGGCTGTGTATCTGCTTACCTAGAGGAGCGACTAAATTTGGGTCTCAATTTCATTCTTTCAGCGGAGGTAAGATTCAATATATCGGCTTATTATGTTCTTTAGACTTTAGCTATTTCTCTTCCGATCGCATAATGCCTTTGACTCTATGATAGCCGTTTGCGGACTCTCAATACCTGGTTTTGATTAAATAGCTGGGCGAGGAGTGGTTTGGAACTAATTAAAGTGTGAACTGATAGCTGTCTCTCTACGTGTGTATTTGCTTGTAACCAACTTGTCGTAGACAAGGGTTAGCAAATTTATTATTATCTTATTAAGACACGGTGGTTTATGTTCTCGACAAGTATGCTAAATATCCCAATCGCCTCTTCATCCTTTGTTTTGTCTAATAGTTTCGAAAATGTGGCTTGCAGATTGACCATAGGAAGAAGGACTACAAGTTTGGGTTCGGCATGGTAGTTGGAGAATAGATAGGTTCCGGCATTACAAAGTTAAAAAGGTCTAGCTTTGGGTAATAGGGGGAATTCTACGGGTGATTCTTTCGCCCCTTTTGCTTATAAAAATGATTCCGAGAATCAGTTTTGTGATTCTGCTCAGAGTCGATTGGTGGACAAGCAGGAATCGCTCATCAAACGAATCTTACCGTATCACTATTATTATTTATTAGCTGATTTTGCAGTTCCGGATTATTCATTTCTTGTTTGCCGTCAAAGAGTTGTACAACGTCGCAAAAAGAGTGTAGTTTTTTTGCGTATTTATTGAGCTCGTGAGACATGAATGTTTGATTTTTTTTTTTTATTATTTTTTTTCCCTTGGTTCTCTCATTGTGTAACTTTTCCATAGTCTAAGCCAGTCGGCTGGAATGTCGAGTTCCTTCTTCGACACAGGCGCGTGGTAATAGTTCAGAATAATTGCAGTGCTTTGGTTGTTAATTAGCAAAAATTGTAAAAGGAAACTTTTTTTTTTTTCCCTTCGGAATTGGAAAGCCTCTCATCCAATATTAAAAAAAGAAAATATTTCTTGTCTTACCTGCCAAAGTGATGATATGATAATGACAAGGAGCCATGAATCTGAAATGACAGATTCCTGGTTCATTAAAAAAATATAACAAAAACAAAATAGATATTTATCCTGATTTCTAACGAGATAGTGACATGGAAGCCATGGTGTGACAGATTATTAGGATCCGATTAAATCCTATATTGTGAAGGTAAAAAAAAAAAAATAATTGGACAAATTTGTTCTGTAATTTGTTCAATTTACGTAGGTTCGATTCACCGAATGCATCTTGAGCTAAAAACAGAGGGAGCAAGTGTTTGGATATGTGTTACAAGTGCCCTCTGACTCATCATTCACCTTTCCTATATATCTATTAAAAAAAAAAGCCAGAATATATTCATTAAAATAATGGGGGTCCACCGACCATGCCTAAATTTCTGGTCACCTTATCTACAGTTTGCTTCCCCCAACTTTTGTCTTCAGTCATCACTATCACCCAGATTCAATGTTTCTAAATCAAATTACTGCCCATCAAAATTACTGCAAGTAGGAAATATCACAAATTGTGTAATTTTATGTTAAAAAAGACATTTTTTTTCCCCCATAATGAATGAAGCTGTTATAGTAGTCTGGCATTCAGTTATGGAGATCCACATGATATGTCAAACTTTTGTAGGACTCAAGGGTCATGATCTTCTCGTGTGATTCAGTGGTGAAATGAAAGCGAGTGTGCACTGTCCAAAAACTCTGTGTGTGTGTGTGTGTGTGTGGACGAATAAAGTAAGGATAGAAAAAAGAGGACAGATGTAATAAAATACTAGATATTAATTTTAAACAAGTTGATGGATTGAACTTTTTTTTGGTCAGTTATAGTATACTAATACACTGACTAATTGATTTTTGTAATCTGACACTTTCTTTTTTTACTTCTCTGCTTGAGATACTTTCTTACAAGGGGAAGGCTATATTCCATTGTAGACTTCAGCTTTAGTCTTTTAGCCGGCAGGGGTGAACTTGAACTTCTTCAAATAGTTTCTCTGGTGAACATCTTTCTGTTTCTTGGTAATTTTTTTTCTCATCATTCTTTCTGGGTTTTCCCCCCCCCTTGTTGAAGAAGTTATTTTTTTGGTTTTATTCTTTTATTCTGTTCAAAGATCCAGGTGGGCTTTGATTAGCTTCATTTCTGAGATTATATGGTTAAAGCATCAGTTTTTATGGTTTTCTTTAACATGGATTTTGTGTATTTGATTAAGATGCTGATTCAAGTTATGGTTGGGATGTTAACTAATTGTGAAGAATGTTGTTATATCTTGAACTTGTGTGGTTGGACTTTGGTTGAAGTTTTTCCAGATATCTTCTGAAAGTACCCACTTTCTTCATTTTCTGCCATAGCTTACTAGCTTCATCTATTTGACTTTGGACGAAGCTGGTTGGTTAACTAATTTTCCCTGGATGTAGTGATAGCAAAAGATAACTCTTGAGTTCATTGACTTCCTTTCTGATGTGGTAATCTCTCGAGAAATCATGCAAGCATCAATCATTTTGATTTTTTACATTGTTCCAGTGGTTTTGTCTATATAATGTAATGTGACATTAGCACTCAGTCTGGTTTCTTGGAATGCCTTTTGTGAATACCAGAAAAACTAGAGATTTGTATCGTTAGATGTCGGTTGTGCTGCCATAACTAGGTCAAAAACTAGCTATGTGGTTCAGTTTACAGTTCAGTGATTTCCGATTCTTTTTGCCTTGTTTCATCTTCATCTTGCAAAGCTGAACTGGACATATTCATGTGTTTAAGTCTGGGAAAATCTTCTTTCTACATAGTACTGTCACACTGTTGCCATGGTAGTAATTTGTTATTGTCCATTTTCTAGTTAGCTCTTGAAGCATAAATCATGATCTTGATTTCCTTCTCCATTGTCCTGACAATCTGTTCTGATAGGCAAAATGCAAGGAGGAATTCGAGCTATTTTTTCGCATGGCAGTGTCCTTAAGAATGCCATTCTGCAACATGTTCGTGTGGTCAACCCAGTTATGCGCCCTCTTTTGCTTGCGAGGTATGAGTCAACATCAGCAGCTCAAATGGAAGAGCATGGCTTTGAAAGTACCACAATATCTGACATTTTGAAGGGCAAGGGTAAAAGTGCAGATGGCTCTTGGCTTTGGTGTACTACTGAGGATACAGTTTATGATGCAGTCAAATCTGTGAGTATCTTTGTTCTCTAGGCCCGCTGCTGCTGCAATTTTAGCATTAGTTGTAAAAATTCATCCTGCTTACTGTTCAGAATGAGCACTGAACAAAACTATGCGCTCGTTCGGTACATGCATTCGATAATGTTGCCATGAGTTATTTAGTATTACGAGATGACATATGTTTCCATCAATTTACGTACAGATGACAAACCACAATGTTGGAGCCTTGGTGGTTGTGAAACCTGGAGAGCAAAAGGCAATTGCTGGTATCATTACCGAAAGAGGTACATAACTGTCAGAAGCAGTTTTTACACTACATCATTAGTTGCTTTTGGTTTTGTTAGTCTACTAAATTTAGCAGCTTTTTACGCTACAAAAAGTGTTTGTGCCGTGACAATCAAAAGCTTGCTGTATTGTAATTGCCCTTTCAGCCTCCATTTCCCCTTCTACTACACTTCCATAATATTGACAAGCGACGCACTGAAATAACTTCTCTCAACGCTTTCAAACTTAGGACCATTCTGTTTTCGATACTTTGTCGAATCATCCTTGTTAAATCTCTGCCTTTTTAGTGGTCTTAGGGGTCAGCAACTGCTGATCCGTTGTTGTATCTGCTTGTTATCTTAAGATATGTGCTCACCAGTCGTAACTTGTTCGCTCAAATTTGTCTGCGGTTGAATAAATAATGTCGTGTTTGTTATCTGGCCAGATTATCTTAGGAAAATCATAGTGCAAGGAAGATCATCTAAATCAACAAAAGTTGGGGATATCATGACCGAAGAGGTATGTGTTGCTATTTGAGAAAGTCAAACGAAGCCTTGGTAGTGTTGTTCAGCACATCATCACACATCTCACCACATATCTTTACACTCCCACTGCTCCTTGTTTCAGAACAAGCTTATTACGGTCACACCTGACACCAAAGTTTTGAAGGCAATGCAACTGATGACAGGTATATACTTTCGGCCTCTACCTGTCAATTATCATTTGTGTTTGAGAATCATTTTACCTGATTGAATAGTGACGATGGATTATGGATATGTGGTTATGCGGTAGATAACCGTATCAGGCACATTCCTGTGGTCGATGACAAAGGAATGATAGGAATGGTGTCCATTGGAGATGTGGTTCGTGCAGTTGTGAGTGAGCACCGCGACGAGTTAAACCGTCTGAATGCATTTATTCAAGGTGGATACTAGATTAGAGATGACGACGATAAGCAAACAAGACTCTTGTAAATATCCCTCCAGGTTACAGCCTATACTACCTGTGTAGGTAATAATGGCTTGACCTCAAAGAGGCAACTTGGACCTTCTGTTGGTGTTTGTCACCATTGCATTTGCTTACTCATGAATAACGTGTTTGATATTTGGCAAACCTGTGGGTTTTGGGCCACAGGGATTTCAGCCAAGATACAAGACTCGTGAAAGCTTTGCTTTACATGAAATTGCAAAGAAATTTGACTGTTGTTCTTTACGTATTTTGGTTATTTATTTTAGAAATTCCAAAAAAGAGAGAAAAGGGAAACGAAGTTACGCAGAATAACAAAAGAGATTACACTTGTCATTCCTCGAGTTAAAACATTATAGTTGGCTAAGAATTTTCATCGACAGAATCAGCACCAATCTATTTGATTACTGCGTTAATCATATCCTTCAAATTCCAGCAGCCGACTAACTCAAGGTCCATAAGATCCAGGTTCGACAATCGTTTGATGGCTGGTTCTGGAACAATACACTTTTTGTACCCCAAACTGGACAGGGTAAGAACCCTCTTCTCCATTTTTTGGTACTATACGAAGATCACCACCAAGGCCAACTTCTCCTATGAATGCGACCCCCCTTGGGAATGGGACGTTCAAAGACGCTGCTGCTAAGGCGACGTCTCCAGCCGTGTCAAATAACTTAGCACCATTCGCGACGTTTATATAAATGCCATTAAGCCGTAGGTTTAGGTCCGCTTGTTTGTTGAGAACTGCGATTATCATGTCTGCTTTGTTGGGTAGAACACCATTCACTTGCTTTGTAGTCGAACCTGTCATGATGCATAGTGCCTGAACTTCAATGAGAAAAGCCCGCGAGCCACCCATAACCACGGATATGGCTGAGCCTGCTAGAAACTCCGAACCTGAGTATGCTTCGCTAAGAAATACTTTCACTGGGATTCAAAACAGGTTGAAGCCGAGTTGCGACATTTCAAACACTCCAATCTCATCCGTGGATCCGAACCGATTCTTCACAGATCGAAGCACTCTGTGCGAATATAACTTGTCGCCTTCAATGTATAGCACAACATCAACGGCGTGCTCCAACTCGCGAGGTCCAGCCAGTATTCCTTCTTTAGTCACCTGCCCAGCCAAAAGAATTGGGATATTTGTCTTCTTAGCAAAACGCTGCAAAGCAGCTGTGCATTCTTTTACTTGGGCGGGGCCTCGTGATTGTCCAGCGACGCCCCGCATATAAACTGTCTGGATTGACTCAATAACCGAAGCATGAGGGGAAAGACATTGAACCTTTTCCAACATGTCATTAACCTCGGTACTCGAATACAAGGAAAGATCAGCAGTCTGAAGAATATTCATACGATAAGCCCTGTTTCTGATTTGTTCAATGCTCTCTTCACCGGAGACATATACAACTGGAGCTGGACCTTCCTTGTGGTTCTCCCCGTCAGCAATTATTGATGCCACCTGTAACAAGAATGTGCTCTTTCCGGCGCCGGGATCACCACCAACTAAGACTAAAGAACCTGGCACGATACCACCGGCACCGACAACCCTTTCAACTTCAGCTCCAAATAGTCCGGGGAGGGGAATTCGCCGATTCTCCTGGTTGATTGGCATGTTCGTGTCGGACAACTTCACAAGACCAGATTTGTCATCAGAATTCTGATCCAGCCATGTCCATGCTTTATTGTAGGAAACCTTCTTAGTTCCTCTCATTTTACCTCGACCACCTGTTTTTCCTGCACAATCTTGCTTCCTGGTATCCACTTTTTCATCATCATCATCTAATTTCCTCATTTCTTCCATCCCAACAATTACTCCCATCTTTGATCTCCCTGGAAGATGGAGGTGGCTTTTCGGACTCTAAATCGGTTTTTCCACGGGTCAGAGCATTGAGGTGGAAATCATCAGGGGAACGTTGAGAGCATCTCAGGACAATGGAGGAGTGAATTTGGCGGGAGAAAATGAAGGGTTTTATGGGAATTTTGAAGAGAGAAAACGTCTGGCATACATAATGAAGTCGGATTGGCTGAATACCGCGGGTTTCCGATCAACCGGATTCTGCTGCAACTTGCTTGAGTCGGAGCAGTAAGGCAAAAATAGAAATGGAAGGTTTTTCTGAAATGTTTCGTGTTTTTAACAGTACTACAACTCCTGAAAGGATTACAGAAGTATATATTCAGGCTCTCAACTTCTCTTCTTCTCATTCTTCCATTCATTTATTTATCCCCATACTTTGATCGCCGAGCCATATAATTCTCTTTTAGCTGTCTCAATTTAATCCACATTTTCTTATGTTTCCCAATTTGATCTTTGAAATTCATCCAGTTTACTCCCTCTATACTTACTCCCTCCATTTCAATTTTTAAATCAGAGTTTCCGATGGTGGCAAAGTTCTCCTAGCGCCAGTGTTTATTGAAAAGATTATACAAAGGGGTCGCCTTTTGGCCCAAAGCCATCCTAGGAAATTTAAGGTAGAAAACATAGGACCCCAATACACTGGTTAATAGATACATTGGGCATAAAAACACCGACAAAAGTATTTAGCATAAAAGATACATTGACCTTTCAAAGAGAGATTGTACATCCATCCATTGAAAGTACCAAAGTAAGAATGGTGAGAGGTGCACATTTTCTTGGATTATTTTGTTCCTTTGCCCCTAGTACTTCCAAGATTAAGAGTATGAAGAGCACATAATATAGACTGGACCATGGCAAAGATAATGAACTCATGGCATTTCTATTCATTATGTGTCATGTTATAACGATGTCAAGTGCGTGCTTATCAGGGCAACATGGAGCAAAATATGCAATTCTATGTGCATATATCATGTAAAGTGAATGCTCATTAAAATAACCGAGGAGGAAACATGCATAGTCACATAATTATCCCCTTTTTCAAAGAAAGTCATCTAAGAAAATGACCAATTCACTTATAAAGGTTAAGAACGCTTATCTCGTTCGGTGCGTAGGAAAGTGACCTAGCAATGACCTTAAAAGGCCTCCAAGAATTGTTGCAATCTTCGAAGTTTGCCCCATTCCTCAATAGGGACCTGTTTGTTTTGCAAAGTTTTGAATTTCTGCAACTTTTGGTCGCTTCCGTCCAAAAAGAAATCCCTGGCTGCCATTTTGCCCCAGCACCGTCGCTAAAGACGCAAGATCATCAAGAAGGGTTGTTGGCTGCTCCTAGCGACGCATCAACGATTGCGCATCTTTGAATCGGGGACAAAAATGCTCTAAGAGTAGGAGCTCGCCCCGACAAAGGAGGAACGAACTAATGGTGGTCGCCTGCTGCCCGAATCCACATGGCGGACGCCAATCGTCTCAAGCTTCCTCGCCGAAAAATGAGGTCCGCCACTGGCTTTGGGCTTGCACCAGATCGCATCAAGATCGCCTCCAGCGTATGAACAATGGGATCGCCAAGCCAACAGACCCTGGGTTGGAGCACCAAATGGTGAACGCAAACTGCCAATGCCAAAGTGATTGCCGATGAAGATGGGACACGTTTAGCCCCAACACAAATGGTGAACGCCAATCACACAAACCCCATCGGAGGCATTGCAAAGCGTGTTGCTGCTTTTACGACTCGTTCGCAGTCGACGTGGCTGATGAAGGAAATGCCCGGGGTCGCCTTGAAAGCGGAGATAACTGTTGCTGAAGGAAGCTCAAGGTCGCCAGAGACTGCTGCTCCTCCAATCGATCGCCAGCCGGCACGTGATAACTCGCTCGCGGTCGACGTCGCTGATGAAGGAAATGGATGCGGTCGCTTTGAAAGCGGAGACCGCCGTTGCTGAAGGAAGCTCAAGTTCGCCGGGGGTTGCTATTCTAATCAATCACCAGTCGGCACGTTGCTGATGCTATCGCCAAAGTGGCTGCCGGTAAAGACGGGACGCGTCTAGTCCCAACACAAATGGTGAAACGCCAATGCAAACCATCATTAGAGGCATCGCCAAGCGCCTTGCTTAATGATTAAAGCCATTGCCAATCGGTAGCCATTGAATGGGTGTTCTCCACTTGCTGACCCCATCGATTTCTTGACAACTAATGTTGTTAAACTCGGCTCGGACAGGCCGGTTAAACTACGAACTGGACCACATACCGAGCCGAGTGACCTGTAAAACTCCTTTTTTATGATTAGGTCAAAACCGGTCAAAATCCCGAGTGAACCGGAAATCGGGTCGACCCGAAAAATTTATATTTTTTCCACTTTTGGGCCAACTTTTTATCTTTTCTCCCCTCGTTTTCTGTTTCTTTCTCCCTCTTTCTTGGTCCAAATATTTTTGTTCTTAAATGGCCCAACAACTTTTGATCATGAATTAATTTTTCATTTTAGTCCCAAATTTTTTAGTTCAACTTATTAAACAACCATATTTAAATATAAATCTTTTTAAATATTCTTCTCAAATATGAACTCCTATTATTTTACAAAAAATTTAAACTATACCTTGAATATGATGAAATTAAATTATATATATACATTTCATTAATAATAAAAATTGATTACCTTGTATAACTTTATAAATTTTAATCATAAATAATTAATTTATGTTCATTGTTAAATTAATAATACTTATTTTAGACTGTAATTGCAAGCTCTAAAGTACTAATGTTGACTATTACCACAGAAAAGATTCATAAATATTAAGTCTTTTTAATTATTAATATATTTTTTAATTATATATTGTTTATTACATCGCAAGCCCTACCCTTTCCGAGTCAGTGTCCGAGTCGAGTCTAACAACATTGTTGACAACAAACTGGAACGCAGCACTCGGTGCGACCAAGTCTGGTGTTTTGCTTGGTTGCAGCCGTTTGCTTGGACGCTCTGGGATCGGGGGGATGCACTACTGTAGAATTAGCGAGCGCGATTGCGCTACCCTAAGGTTAGAGAGCACCATTGCGCGACCCTAGAATTAGCGAGCAGCGTAGCACTACCGATTTCTTGTCAATACACTCGAACGCAGCACTCGGTGCGACCGCGCCTGGTGTTTTGCTTGTTCGCATCCATTTGCTTGGACACTCTGGGATCGGGGGAAGGCTACCCCAACCTACTCAGGCCCCTGTCTCGTAGACACCATCAAAATCCAGGAACACCAACTTAGTAAAAGAGAAAGATAAGTGAGGAAGGGATGCGTTTCTTTATTGTGTCCCCACAGTTGGCGCCAACTGTTAGTGCATTCCTTGGTCAATCCACGGGACAATGCCTATAATTCCTAAAATGTCCTGTAACACAGAGTTAGCACTCCGATACCAAAGTTAGAACTCTTACAGAGAAAGAGAAAGCATTAAATGCTATCTAGAAAGTGAATAATGTATGAAATAAATGAGTGAGGGACTCCCTTCTATATAGTACCAAGAAGGAATATAAGAATATTACTTAAGCACATAGGTGCACATGGATCTAAATGGATATTCAGTGATATTTAGGCTTTTAAGGTTACGGCCCAAAAGGCAATGGGTTACTTGTTGCACCATCATGCATTATGTTAGCTACCGGCAAGGTAGTGACAGGCAAAGGGCGGAATCTGGCGAACCGGCGGAGGGAAGAGACGGGACAAGCCCTGAATTGGGGAAACCCACACAATTATGAAAATACTAATTTCAATATCAATCTTTCGTTAATAGTTTTACAGACCCACAAGACTATATATAGTCCCATCAATTCCTAAAATTACAAACAAGTCCTTATACTATGAAATCGGGACAATTTTAGCCCTGGATCGTGACACATTAACTAGTCTAGATTTATCACTCATTTAGATCCTTACAATCCCACAAATTTATATCTCTAAAATTTCTCAAATTTCATTCCCATAATTAAATTCAAAACTTAACATATGAATGCAAATAAAATATATCTTCCAAATGTGAATCAAAATTCAACCAGAGTAAACCAATTGCATCAACCGCAAAAAGATAAATCCAAATCGATGACAAAACTAAAGATGGCTAGAACTAGAAGAGATAATACGATCATCACAAATTTTTCTCATTGAAACGACGTTGTGACACTAGTGTTAACTTATTGTCTTGATACTGAAAATAGAACAAACTCTGGTATTCCAAATAAATTTTACCAAATAAAACTATTTAATGCAGAAGATTTTTGATATAAAAGATTCAAAAACTTGATTTTCTTCATACTACATTATAATTGTATAATAACTTTTATGATTTGGTAGTCCTTCCATGTGATTGTCACATGCTCTTATTACCTCATGCAATACTCATTTTTTTTCTTTCATTTACTTATGGTAAAACAAGGAATCAAATGAATCATTAATAATCTTTCTACTCTTTTTAATATTTCCACAAAGCTTTTTACCACTTTATTAGCACAAGAAAATAAAGAGTCTATATTCATGAATACATAAGATCGTAATTAAATGGATGTTATTACATTTATAATCACTTTAGACAATATAATGATTCGAGAATTAATGTGGTGCTACAACCTGGTCATTATTTTTGGTGAGATTTTGTAATTCTTTACTTGCGCCCTAAGTGTTGACTTTTTTTCGTTCTTATTTTTTCTTTTATGTTTTTATTCTTTTTAAGATTACGAAAAGTCATTACCAATCAAGTGAATTTTAACAGTCAAAAACAGTTTCAATAAGACTCTAATCTCTTTGAATTCTTTATTGTTCTTCCTGTTTCTTTTCTCTTTGAATTCAGTTAATGTACTCATTAGAGTTTTAGGTACATAACTGAAAAGAATACCAAAAGTTTTTGCAATTAGTTTTTAAGGAAAATTTTTCTTATCACAATATTCATTCTCCCAATACAATATATAGAGTAAATAATGAAGGCACCTTGTGCATTTGTCACCCCTCTCAATTTTTTTCCACGTCAAGTTCAATTTCTCTCCTCCGTAGCCTCACCATCTCACCATCTCAAGTTGTTGGAAGTAAGTATCTAATTATTATTCTCATTCTTCTACCTCTATCTTCTCCATTTCCCTAGCCATAGAATAATTTTTTCCCCCACCTCTTTGCTTCTTGGTGCAAATGACAAGCTACACTATTTTTTTCCTTGTTTTTTTTTTGTAAATTCAATTTTGAATGTATTTTCTAAATTTGTGATAGCTTGGGGGTGACAATTTTGTTGTGCTTGTTGTGCTTGATTGTCATTAATGGATTACTACATAACTCGTGATATTTTAGTTCTTTTTTTTGTTTGATTAAGTTATTATGCATATTGTTTAAGTTATTACACACTGGTGATTTACAAATTATGTGACAACTACGTTTTATTATAATATTTGAATTATTCATGATGAAATACTTAATTAATGATAGTAATCTTAATTGGTGAGAAAGATTGAGTTTTTAACCTATGATGTTCGCGCGTTCAAACCCCCAAGTGCATAATAATTCCAAAACTTAGAACCAACAGAAGAAGCATTTGAAATCAATTAATCAAAACCAACAAAAATTTAAAATTTTGAATCAAAGGGGGATGGAGTATTTCGAAAAAAAGTACAGTGTATCTGATTAGTAACTCTGGAGAATGCTAGTTAGTCAACTTCGCCTTTAAAATGTTTTCGAAGAATGCTTTTGTTGTTTGAATTAATATTTTTATATTTCACAATTACTTTGGAAATTATATATATTATTATAAAGAATGAGTTTACTTTTTTCGAATTAGGGTATATTATTTTAACTTTCATAATTACAAAAATCCAATAAGAATAGGCAAATCTTTAATATATATTAAAGGAGAGTTTTCAATCAGACACATGGCGCAAAACTAGATAGGGTAATCCACGTGGCAAAAAATTAGATAGTCAAGTCCACATGTCACAACCATATCACTCCATCATTTAATGGTAATTTTTATTTGTAAATTTGTAAATCTATAAAATACCAATTTTACCGGTTTAATTTTTATGTCATATTAAAGGAAATATATAGAGTTGTTAACGTATGGCATAACTTTAATACCTGTGTTCTTTTTTGTACACTAATGACTCATACCCGAATACACTAATCCTCATTCTACTAGGCTGCATAATAATTATAAAAAAAAATTGTACAAAAAAACATAATAATAATAAAAAATTGTGAAATTAAGCAAGCACCTCAAAGAAACCCTATGTTAATATTAACTATTGACATCTACGAATATACATTGAGAAAATTTTTTAGACGATGAGCTTCAAGAACAAAAATTAAACAATGAAAAGGGTAGTATAAATATTTAATCATATGTTTAAAGCTTAAAGTAGTTAGCATACAGAAATGATGCTTTCAAGAAAGGTCATCAAAATGTGGTTATTCAAGATAATATTTTCTCAAGAAATGATGCTTTAAAGAGATCAGTCATTGCGTTTAGAAAAAAAAGGGAAGACTATGCAAACAAGAAAAAGAAAAATGAAGTAAACACTATATTACAGGAAATGCATATGAAAAATCTTTTAGAGAAAAAATTTAGAGACACAGGTAAAACATATATAATGATGAGAAAATTTTCTATTAGAGGAGAGTTTAAAACATATGACACGAGTAAAAATATTTAGAGAGATCATTACGAAAAATTAAGAGAATACTTTTAAAAAATTTATAAAGCTATAAATCAACAAAATGAAAAAGATGGTTGACAATAAGTTACATTAGATGATTTCGAATATTGAAGTTTATTCCAAATATACTTAAAATAAGAAAATAACACATTGACATTAAAAACTATACAATTGGAATTTTTATCATTAATATTATATTTTTTATAAATATCAATCTGTCGAAAATGTCATATAATCGTTAAATCAATAAACTCATATATATATCTTTACCAACCCGCACAATGTGCTGGATAAACACTAGTTTTATTAAAAGTAAAATAACAATATGAAAATAACGTACATTGAAAATATGTATTTATTAACATTATGTGATTTATGAAGGAAATTATATTGCGCAGAGAGTGTCATGGGAAATCGGTATAGAGGATCCCGTGTAGGGCGAAAGGCGTCAACAAGGGTACTAACCAAGGGATATGCATTTCTCCTAATTGCCAAGTTTGACATCCAAGTGTAAGGAGGCCGGACCATTGATCTCCGAGCTGAATGTGTGTTTGTGTCGTAAGCATAGATAAACCTGTCGTCATAAAAGTAGATTTGGCTACCTGTCCTTCTGTTGTAGCTACCCGAATATGATACAAGAATCAGATAACGCATCAAACTAAAGTCCAAATTTGGAGGATCCTGCAAAATAATCATCTTGGTCCAAGAACTCTTGACGAACGGTCATCCAAAACCCCTAAACTTACCTTTCTAAATGGTAATAGATAATCAAAATCATTATAATCATCATCATCATCATCATCATCATCAATGGGGGAAGGTGGTTGTGGAACCAATGTGATCGTCTCGGCATTGAGATGGAAAGCCACAATGACAAAATGTTTGTCATCCTCCTCCATGATCCAATGGAGAGAATGATGAACCATTTTGGCCTCCCCAGACAGTCCATTATATTTCCCAATAAAATAAGGGAATCGTGGTAATGGCCTCCAGGAATTGGATCTGGTGCTATAAAGTTGAACGCTCTGGTGGTTTGAAGAAGAATGGAAGGAGTCGTTAATCAGCATATGGAACTCAACCACCCTTACAATCTTGTAGCCATCCTCGACATCGTCATGTCCGAAACCGCACATCCGCAATACCCGGTGCACACGATGTTTTGTGTTAGAACGAGGACGTTCATCCCTATTTGGAGCAGGTAACTCCCAATACTTGCGAATGGTTGGATTCCACAACACCAGCTCACAACTCCAGTTGTTCAAGCAAACCAGGCCATTGCAGCAACCGTGGATTCTAGACCAACGTAAACCGAAATAGCTCTCTGGTGGTATCAACACGGTGGATCTCATCTGATTACTGCCCGGCGGTGAATCCACATCTACAATGTGGAAGAAGGGTGGACTACTACACCGTCGTCGTTTAGAATCTGTCAACAATAGAATTTTGGGATTGTCTGCACCTATTTCTTTGGACGATTTTAGGTGTACATTGATGAAATAGTTGCTGTCGATTAGAGTTTTCCATGATCGGCATACGCATTTAAATCTCTGTAGCGATTTCACTGGGAGCTTAACAAGCACTTCAAAAATCAAATCTTCAGGAAATTGGCTGGCCAAGGTCGACATGGCCGATAAATACTAGCTAAAACTCTAATACAGATTTCGACCAGGGCCAAAGAAATATACACGATCAGATCAGATCAGATGTATGATGATATTGAGACGATGATTCTCTGTAACGTGCACCGTATTTATAGAGTGCCACCCGTTGGCCAGTTTCCCAGAAAGATTTACAATCTCAAGCCCAAAATACAACAAAGATTTGACTTGGGAATTTGAATTTGGACACACCGATTCCCTTTATCGCCAAAACAACACGGTCCCAACGTAGGAGTATACATGATTCCTCTTTGGGAAGTTTAAACAAGCACCCAAGCACCTATGTTTCAAAACAACAAAAAGAAAAACAAATAATGTTGTCGTTGACTGACGAGCATCACTTTAAGAACAGATATACTCTTGGTGTACCAAGTCGGTATTTTTATTAATTAGTGTGTGTTTTTTTTTTTCTAATCTTTAACAATCTTAAGCGTCATTCAAGTTTTATTGCTGATCTTAACTGGTAACTGCAACTTTCAATCCAATTAAAAATGTTAAATGAAACTATCGATTCAATCCCGAGAACATATATCTATTCCGAGGCGAAGTTTCGCATCATCAGAACGTGAAAATCCAATTCCAACTCCCACCAGTCCACCACCGTTGAAATCCAACACAAATACACAATCACAATAGAACGCAAACCCAAATGATGCATATGAAATGGATAAAGCAGAGAATAAGAGAAATCTAGGAAAGACTTTAAAAAAGGAGCTAAGTTTCAAATGGCATGTAGCTAGCTACTCCTCTGTCCGAGAATATTAGTTAGAACATCATTTTTCCGCAAAATGGTAAAACCTCTAACAATTCACACTTCAACTTCCTCTCATCATTTGCGAAGATTAGTATACAGCTTTCACTTCGGATTGGTCGATTTCTGCTTGGCCTTCTCTATAAGAGGTCTCAACTGCTTCTTTTCTGCGAGAATCTTCAGAAAGTTGAACAGAAAGGGTATGTAGTTGTGTTTGCGACGGATATTCTCTGTTCTCCATTTCTTGAACTTTTCTTCCTCGATCAATATCTTCTCAGTCGCAGCCTCAATTCCAGCATTTATCCCTGAAAGTTGTTGGTTAAGCGCTTCCACATTGTTGTTGTCGACCAGTCTCTCTGATTGTAACGTGGCCAGCTGCTGCAGAATACGTTCCCTTCTCCTCTGAAGCTCCTTCAGTTCAGCTGTATACAATTCTTTCCGGTTCTTTATGACTGCCAATAGATTGAACCTAATTTCATTCTTAGAGTACCTTTCAATGCGCTCCTGAATCACAGGCGTCACCATTCGTAACCACTCCAAGTCATTGTGTCCCCCGGGGCACTGCCCAAGGCTAATAGGCCCTTCCTTCAATCCATCAAGCTCATAAAGCACACCATCAACAGGTATATAGCTAATGAAATGATAAACATCATCATCTTTCCCAGCAGCTCTCTGTTCTTCTGGCACAAAAGGCTCTGGTCTTGCAAAACTATTATGAGCAGTACGAATCGCTTCACTGTTGTTTATAGCCAAACCTTTTAGTTCAGGTGGGAAATTCTTGGTAAATTCTTTCAGTGCCGATAGTTCGGGACCGATATCAACATCTGGACAATTCATAAGGATAGAAAGAATAGCTTGGGTGGCACAAGCATTATTTATAACCTGTACGAAAATTGAAAATTCGATTCAACAACAATAATCCTTCTACCACAAAATATACAAAATGTTAAGCAAACACAACTTGCCTGGCTGGCAAAAAACAAGTTAGGGTTTGGATCCTTGATTACAACCCTATCATCTTTTTCACCAGGGCGCCATTTGAAGAGGAATATCAACCCATACACTGGCCTGTAACATCAAAAAAACACCAGTCAATCAGGAGAGTGCCAAAGAAAAATGGAACACAGAGGATGAGTAACTATTGTGAACGCAAACTGGAAGATATGTACCTAAGACTGTTAAGGGAGTCAAGATCCAATGAATACAACTCCTCAACCTGCTCATGGACAACATTCATATCAAAAAAAGGATGGAATTTGTAACAATATTTTGCTAGCAAAATCAGGTTCATGTAAAAAGTCTTTATGCCTAAACAAGCATAAATATGACGGAAGATCTTAACTAATGTCACATATGGTAGCCAAACATTAGGTACTGAGGTTCCTCATTAATACATAATTGCAAATTTTGACTCAAGGCTGGGAAGAGCAAAAGCAATGCCACATTATGAGATATGAAAGAAAACAATCAGAACGGAGGAATGACAATGTAGGGTGAGGAATAAGAACCAAAAAGAGAGAATCAAGCAGAGGGAGATTCCATGAAGAAGTCTGAACGCAAAAAGGTGTATTGGAAATGTAAAAAAGTATACTGGGATGGGACAGTTATTATTATTTAATTCTGAAAAACCCAACTAAAAAAGAAAACAGAGATGTACATACCAAAAAAAAAAAAGAAAAAAAGTAAAAATAAGCACCTGCACGCCTTTAACTTGCATCTGCTGTATAAGTTCTGTAAAGACACCTGTTCCACAAGCAACAACATAATAATGTAACATCCTTTTTCAAAAGTTATCTGAAGAACAAAAACTCATACAGATGCATTACAAGCCGTTCACTAATCTTACGACAACAGCTAGAGGAATGTATTTTCTGTTTAATCTTTTTATCTTGTCAAATTTCACTCAACCTGAACAAGACTTTTTCCACAAAAGAAGCATAAACCTTTCCTTAAAAATCATGTGCACTAATTACCACCAGAAATAAAGGATCAGGCATCCCTGAAATGCACCACAATAGATCAGGGCATAACGGCTCTAAGGACCAGTAGGTGCATAAGAGGCGAGAAGACATATTTCTAATATACCATGACATAAAGTTGTACATTATGAGGTTAATTAAGGGGGTGTTTCATCATCATGATGCTAGCTTCAAATAAGAGAATTTCTAGCACCATAGCCACTCGAAAATGTGAGAATTCGACAAAAGTAGAAGATACCAATGAGGATTTCACCATCAACATTCTAAAATTATTCGGCTATGCAGTAATCTCAAAACACACTAATTAAATCACTTGGACATTGAAACAATGGTCTGAGTTCTTATTTGAGATTCAATTATTATAAAACAGAAGTCACAAGTGAAACTCAACTGTGACAGTTATATGAAGGGCATAATTTTAAAAACATCACGGCACAGAAGATAAAGAAACTCAGGCAGAAGCTTACCAGGGTCAGACTCGATTGTGCACCAAGACATTTTGCCAATAAGGAATCTGCAACCCAAAAACAACAGAAAAAATAACTGTTACCAAGGGCTTTCAAATTAACAACACGAGAAAAAATCACTTATGTTGAACTCTATTGGCTCAATCGACGAAATCAAACCCATCCAACCTCATTCCATCTATTAAAAACGAAACATACAACGGAAAGAAAAGGTTCTTCGCTAGAGTTTTAGCTTGGCATAGATATACTCGATTAGAAATATTACTCTCGAAATAACAAAACCCTCTTCAACACTATCCAGCACCATTATTTTCTTAAAAAAATAATTAACGATGAACTAAGCAAAGAAACGATAAACACGAAGGAGATTGAGCCACTATTGCGAGTAAAAAATAACACAAAAAGTACATACAAAATTAAGGTTTAAGGTTGCAAAACAAGTTCATATAAAATCAGCATATTCAAATCTGAACCATATAGTTACGTAATTTAAAGCTACGAGTTGCGACCTTAATCCGTCGCGAAGAGGTGGAGCAACGGTGGCGCAGCAGTCAACGGCGGAGGCAGATGACAGATGTGGTCGCTTCGGTGATAGGAAGAAGAGAAGAGGAACGAGGATGTGGATGATGGAAGCCTATGGGCCCAGACACAGTGGATTAAAGCCGGCGCTGAAAGTTAAGGTTTAAGGCCCTAACTAAGTCAGTTGGGCTCCCAAATAAGAAAATAATTACAGCCCAAATGCAGAAAATGTTTACCTTTAATTGCAATTAACCTCCTCAGATTTCATTATTTCTCAAAATGCGTATACTAAGAAGATGAAATAAACAATCTGGCCACATAAGTATATTTGTTTTCTTTTCTATTCATAGACAGAGTTCTCTGCATCTCATCTCAGAAACCGAACTCCTGGAATGATTACGAAGTGAAACTGCATCGATCCCATCAGGTTGTGGCTTGTTTTACATGGGTTCTCCTGATTCTTCTAAATTTCCCCTTTGCAAGTTTAGGATTCTATAATAATTTGTGGCTTCGTAAATTTGTGCTTAAATTTGTATGTGTCTGGATGATTTATTTTTTTTTTTTTTCGCAACTCTGCTTTTGAAGCGTGATTGATTCCTGCTACATGCTACCTCAAACTGAGGATTCACTTTTGCAATTGTGATTTACTGATTCGATGTATTTACCAGAATGCAGATCGTTGTTTGATGAGTATTTAGGTTGTTTCAGTGCTTCTTCCCTTCTTTTCTTGAGCTAAATTTGTGTGTTTACTGTCGTCCTGATTTTATTCTACATGTCTACTACACATTTGAGTTTACACTGTTCATCTGTGAATTGTCATTGGCCTTAATCTCAAGAGCTTTGTTGATTAAAACCCATGTTTCTAAAGCTTAATCAATAGCTTTAATGCGTCTCATAGATATAGGAACTGGTTTGGGAATGCAAAATTTGTAGGAATAGTAGAAGGGGACGCTTCAATTTTGGTGCTGCTGTTAACTTTCTTTTCCTCTTATGGAAAAATAATAGCTGTTATTTTATGTCTTTGCTGTTAATAATCACTATGAGTTTGCTGTTAATAATCACTATGAGCTAAAAGATGATCCTGTTAATAATCACTATGAGTTTGCTAAGAGTTTTTTTATGTCTTCAGCCTTGGGAAATTTTAGCTGTTATAATCCTTTGATCTAACTAATGTGTATTTGTGTTGCCTGTTGTTTTCCAAAATTGGAAGGAAAAAAAAAAACAAAACTTTGGGAGAACCAACCATAGATGTCAAGCCCTTTCAGTATTAGAGTTCTATTTCATGATTTGTTTTCAACCGTACTACGCAAAGAAGAACGATTGTGCTGTGATATGTGGGGATCATATGGAAGGTTTTTCCTTAATGTTGGGTACAAAAAACTGAAATTATCATCACCAGCCTGACCATGTATTATGGTTTGTTTGCTGGTTACTGATAAAGACTACCACATCATTATTTGTCGGTTTCTTGGTGTTTGCGCTGATCATCTTTGCCTGCAAGTATGTCTCAAATGTAATGAGATAGCAACTTGTCTGATTTGCCTTTGTGTTTTCTCTAACAAGAATTTATTCTGTGGCTCAGACTTAGTTTCAAATGAACCTTGAAGTTTACTGAACCTAATTTACCATTTGGTCTGGTTTAGATTAGATACGCTGGAGTTGCATTATTAAGTGAAATATGGGATTTCATTCATTTAACTCTATCTCCATTTGATTGTGGCGCATGAAAAACACGGTCGTAAACTTCAAGTTTTAATAGCAGTTAGAGACCTTTTGAAAGCATTTCACTATTTCAGGAGACTAAGTGGATGATATTTTTACTGGTGGTCTAGGTTTGTGACTGTTCATGTCTATCTATGGCATTGCTAGTTTTTCTTTTCTTGCTTGCTAGGTTATTCATTATGAAAGTTTCTGAAGTGAAGTATTGGACAATAGACTTGACAATCTCATTTCTTCTTTTACGAATGTGTAACACAGAACTGCAAAGTCAAAATGGGAGACATTCTAGGCAATGGATCTGTTGAACAAGAGAGATTTCAGATTCGGAGGTTGGAGGTGTCCGACAAAAGCAAGGGTTTTATCGAAATATTACAGCAACTAACCGTTTGCGATTCTGTCTCTGACCAACAATTTGAAGAACGGTATCAGGAGCTTGCAAAATTAGGGGATGACCATCTCATTTGTGTAATTGAAGACAGTCAAACCGGGAAGATTGCTGCCACTGGCAGCGTTTTCATCGAGAAGAAGTTCATCAGAAGTTGTGGTAAAGTTGGGCACATCGAAGATGTTGTGGTAGACTCGTCGATTCGTGGAATGCAGTTAGGGAAGAAAGTTGTAGAGTTCCTCACTGATCACGCTCGATCCATGGGGTGTTACAAGGTCATTCTTGATTGCAGCGAGGCGAATAAACCTTTCTATGAGAAATGTGGTTACAAACAGAAAGAAGTTCAAATGGTGAAGTACTTTATTTGACTGCACTTTTCCTTTCTTGTGCCGGCATTTGAGTTCAGAACTCATTGTAAAGCGTTGTTGAACAATTCTTCCATAATCCATCCATATTAATGACAAATTCCTTGGACAGCATCAATCAAAGGATAAGGAAAGGTAATTTTCGTCTAAAATTTTCCGGTTACATTTTAGGAAAAGCAATCCTATAATACCATGTCCAAGTCAAGATTACAATAAAATAATTCATCAAGTTCCTGAATAAATGACTGTTCATTGAACACCCTTCAATGAATTGGAAAGTCAAAGTATGAGTAATAAATTTTCTTCACGGAATTAGTAAAGTTTGTTGTTCTGCATATAATTTAGGGAACCCTATAAGTTTACTTTTTAACTAAAAATAACGTGACAATAATAATAACAAAAGCGACCCCTACCAATAGACATACATCGAATTCAGTATTAATCTTTCTCAAAAATAAATAAATAAAAATCCAGTATTAGTCATCTTCTAATTTAATAAGTCAAACTTCTGTGAATCTCTTTTTTATTTATTGTTTTTTTTTTTTTGCTTTCATCTTAGTATTATTTTTATTTTTCCCAGTTTCCAAGACTACTACTTGCAAAATAATTCAGGCCATAATTCCCTGTTTTTCTGTATCAGTTATTAGCCAGTTACCCTCCAATGGCTGCAACGAACCAAACCTCATAAATAATCCTATCTGCCACCACCGGCAGCCCTTTTTGGAACTTCTTGAATCTTCCATTCGTTTTTGGACTTATTTATCATTGCAAATTTTGGGAAATTGAATTTGTTCTGAATGATGATGATGAATCAGTAAAATAGTACAGTACAGTTTCCCGTTGGTGCGGTTGTACCGATTTTTACAGACTTCAAACAGTGTGTGTCAATTCATCATTTCCGTCGCTTTTGTCCAATTACAGATTCTGCGGCTTCCTTATTATCGACCACACTGAAAAAATCAAAACTTTTCGTTGCCGGGTTTTGAAGGGTTTATCATCTTCTGTACAGAGAGCCCTTGTAAGTTTCTCATTTGGATGATAGCGAACTGTGCGAAAATTGGAGTATTTCTGTACTGCTTTTTTTTTTTTTTGTGATAACTGGGTAAATTTGTGGTTGTTTTTGGTTGCAACTGGGTGATTACAGGAGCAGCATGGTTGGATTAGAGATGTTAACTGGTGGTTTTATCAACGTGGCTGGGCATGCCATTCCAACCAAACACCTGCTCTGGCTATTTTCCATCTTCACGGGCTTCCTCATGTGTAAAATTGTGAGTTTACCGTCTAAACACACATTTGGGTTCTAGTAAGATTTTAAAAGTTTTTTTTTTTTGTTAGTTTAAGCTTGTTTGTGATCTTCATAATTTTCATTTTCAAATGGTATGCTAGCAAGTTTACTTTTAATTAAACCTCTTGTTCATCTGTGACTGTCATTGCCCTTAATCTCAAGTGCTTTCCTAATAAGAAGATGTGTTTCTAATGCTTGATCAATGGCTTTAATGTGACTGACTGTGATGGGTGTTGGCTTTTACCATCTAATAATAGGGAGACGCATCTTGTCACAGAGAATTAAAAAGGGAACCCTGCAATTATGGTGCTACTTTTAAGTTTGTTTTTCTGCTTGAAAAGGAAGATTATCCTGTTAATCCATTATGAGTCTGCTCAGAGAAACTTTAACAGTTCCAATGCTTTGATTTAGAAATATACTTTCTTTGCCTGTTGTGCTCTAAAATTGGAAGAAAACTTTGGGAAACCAACATTAGTTGTCAATCACTTTCTGATCTCTCCCAAGCTCCATATTAAGTATGAGAGTGCTACGTTATGACTTCTTTAAAGAACTTCTAATTTCTATCTGCATGTATGTCGTCATAAATTTCATGCTTTTAATATTGTCTCCTGATGTATAAAGAGGTCCAGTTTTGTTTTTGAAGGTTTATGACTTAACAGGTGTGGTAAGCTCTTTGACTTTTGGTGGATATGCTAAACTCAAGAAGAAAGAAAAGCTTGAATGGAACAATAGGTAAATCTTTCGACCTATAGTCTCCTCTTTGTTGCAGCATTTTTGCGGTTCATGTATTTGTTTTTTTATTTAGTGATTTTTGGATAATATTTTATGTAATAAGACATTGTGATGCTAACATAAACTAAGCTTAACTTTGCAGGGGGTTCTCCACTTTCCACGCACTTTTTGTTGCCACTGCCTCTCTGTATCTCTTGACTGTATCTGATCTTTTTGATGGAGGTCCTGAGAATGAAATTATTATCAACAGAACGTCTACCTTTGCTGATACTGTGCTGGGGGTAGGTTTCCATAGCAACATTTGTTTTGCGGTTCATTTGATGTACTCATCTTTTATATTTTATGTGAATCCTGGTGATCTAAAGGTGTGTGCACTTATTTAGTATGGCAACATATGCCAAGGGTTATAGCGGCAGGAAACAGCATCTTGTCTAGAACTTCAAAAATTTTTAATTTTTGTCAATTTATATGAAGGGAATAGGAGATTTTTTATTGTGCGGTCTTTTTCTTCAGCTTGGAGTCAGGATTTGATAGGTGATGTTTGGATGGTTTTCCATCAGTCATAGTTCATAGTTGTCTACCATATCTTCTTAGCTGGGTAAACAGCTTATTCAGCTGACCTGCCTTTTATTCTTGACAATGTGGTATTTAAGTTTTTCGTTTTTGTAAGTTCTTATGTCCTTTGATTTACTTTTGTGACTGTTCATTTGATGAATTGCAGATCTCCATTGGCTACTTTCTGTCAGACTTGGCAATGATCATCTTTTATTTCCCAGCACTTGGTGGTTTTGAGTATGTAAGTAAAGGCATGATGTGAGTTCTTTCTAATTACACAATGTATCCTGCAGTGCTGTAAATCTAATTGCAAGATTATTGAAGCTGTTGCTTTACTTGAATTTCTCAAGATATGAGTTGGACATGTTTCTAGTTTCTACCTCTATTTGTGTTCAGATTTTGCACCATGGACTCTCTATGTTTTCAATCATCCAATCCCTACTCAGTGGTCAAGCACAGATTTACATCTTCATGGTCCTATTCACTGAAAGCACCACCCCCTTTGTCAATTTAAGATGGTAGATTTCTTTCCCATGTAGTCGTTAATTTATTTCAGGCATTATATTGTTTAGAAACCAACATTTTCCCTTGCAGGTATCTGGATATTGCTGGAATGAAGAACTCTAAACTCTACGTCGGGAATGGGGTGGCCTTATTTTTTGGCTGGCTGGTAATGTTTATCTCTAGCATACTTGCTTCTATTTTGCCGTGTTCCCATATCCTCTGGTGTGAAATTAGCTTGCGTTGTAATGAAGCAGAACCCTACTCTACATCACTTTCTCTTTTTCAGATTATTAGGAAACTTTATATATATATATATATATATATATATATATATATATATATTTTACAGTCTTCGGTTTCATAATGGCCTAGTTACTGGTGACTAATTCTGAAGTATGAACACTGATGTATTAGACAAGGCTCAATAATACATATAACACAGCTTCCATCCCCTCACACAAAAAAATTTATGATAATAATAATTGAGAGAGAGGGAAGGAATCATAAAAAGCAATCAGTGTAAGGGGGAAAAATGGCCAAAAGTGAAATGGGCCAATTTTCTATTAATCTTTCCTTGAAATCTGCTGTAAGAATCCTCCCTTTCTATCTGTGATCGTGTAGAGGATGTATTTACTACTGTGAATCTGTGAATCCCCAGAACTCCAGGGACTACAATCTTCCTTGCATTTGAGATTTATGTATGTGTGCCTTGGAAATCATACTTTTTCAACCACAAACTTAGCAAGAATAAATTGTCAAAGAAGGGTGCCAAATGTGTTCTCTTTTTTTCTGTGGTTAATTGGATTACTGTTCTGATTTTATTTTCTGCTTGAAATTTGTGATGCTTCAGGTGGCAAGGATTCTTTTGTTTATCTATTTTTTCTACCATATGTTCACCCATTTTGATCAGGTGAGTGTATACTCTTTCAGTGTTAGTCTTCTTCAAGGAGTTTTCAAGCTAAAGTTTTATAAGTACAATGTACAAACAACCATAAATTCGTTAGCCTAAGTCAGATTTCTAGCAAGTGGACCTGAATTGGCCGGGGATCTAGCTCTTTTGTGTTGGGGGGGGGGGTGTGTGGTTGGGTTCTTATATTTATTTCCCTGGCAGGAAGTATGATCAAATTGTAGGTTGATAATTTAAAAATAACGTTGCTTTTAATGCTTCAAACTGTTTCTGATCTCTGGTCTAACCATGAACGCTACGATTGCTTGACTTCTTCTTCACGTCTTTTCTTTTTGGGCTTAACTCTTCACATTTTTTCAGGTGAAGCTAGTGTATCCCTTGGGGTTTTACAGCTTGCTCACGGTTCCTCCCGTGCTGTCTCTGATGAATGTATTTTGGTTCTGGAAAATCGCAAGAGGTATGATAAAAACGGTGACGAAGGCAAGAAAAAGCAAGTAATGAATACGGTTGGCAGTTTTTCTGACACACTGGGTGAATATCCCTGCTTAACTGGACTACTGTAGGATCAGTATTCAGCATTGGCTTATTTCAATTTCAGTTGAAAAAATTGTGTAGTTCAATATTGAGTACATACATGATTTAGACAGCTCTTTTAGTGTTCAAATGTGAAGATGTTACTACTGGTGTAGTTAAGTTGTTTCTGTTGATCAAATTTATTCATGGTTTTTTTTTTTTTTTTTTGGTGAGATGACATTCCCAAGTTGTGGAGCCATATCATGTTTGATGTGGTAATTTTGAACCACTAACTGTATTATTATTTGAAAATCTTTGATAAGTTCAACTTTCAAGAAGACCTTTTCAACCTCTTGAAAGAAAAAAAGAAAAAAGAAGAAGAAGACCTGCTTCAAATACCGAGATTAACTTCTTCCCAAGACGTTTTTTTTTTACGGAATATTAGAGGCAAATGCACCATTGCTTCGTAACTAATGATGATGACTAATGAGAGAAGTAAGACGAGTACAGTAAATAAGATACCATTCACTCTGTCTCAAAATTATTGCCCGATTTGAGATTTTACTTTCACTACAATTTGAACTAGAAACTATAAATGAAAAACCCAAACTGGACAGGAGGGAGGGGTAATGATTAAAAAAAAATGTTTCATTTGTCGAGAAACGATTTGAAATTTTATTTTTAGTAGAATTTGAACTAGAAACTAGAAATGAAAAACTCAAACTGAACAGGACGGAGAGAGTAATAATTTTTTTAAAAAAATGTTTCATTTGTCGAGAAGTTAAAAACAAAGTGGACCAAATCTCCTGCCCCAATTTGGCAATTTCAGATGCCACGGATTGGCAACATGCGATTTGGTCTAGAAAGAAAATGCCAAACTATGAAGATCCTGAATTCTTGTAGTAGTTGGACAAATGACCATTAAATTTGCTTTAGGCTGCGAACAATATTAAATAATCAAATCATTCACTTTTTTACTAATTTCGATTAAATAGTTTGCAAACTCAATCACTGTTTTCCCGTCACATACATATTGCAAACTGATGAACCATTTTTAGTAAAGAGTAAAGATTGCAATTTTGTTTGGCATTATTTCTACGTTCCAAAACTTTCCTTGGGAGATTTCGAGAAGTTTACAAAAAATAGAATAGCAGCATCATGCAGGCCGCTTTCTTTGTTTTACTTCTACGGCCTTCCCATGCCATTTTCATTTAAACATCTTTCTCTTTGGTTTTTGAATTACTCCCTCTGTCCCATAATTATTGTCCATTTTGCCCAAAAAATTTTGTCCTAAAATTATTGTCCAATTTGACTTTTTATGGATCAATTTACACATTTGTCCTTAGTAAAAAACATTATGCATAAAATTTTAGTGGTTAAACAATTACTTATGTAGGGGTATATCCGATTGTTTAAGTTAAAATATAATTAAGTTTGACCAAAAATAAAATCTTTCATTTTAGTAAAATTGGACAATAATTATGGAACGGAGGGAATATTACTAGTTGATATTCCAAAAAAAAAATTAAAAAAAAAAAGTATTTTTCCCTTCTTAATTTTCCAACCCTTTTCTCTTCCTGTCTTTTTCTTAATAACAAACATTTCATTAACAAAACACAACGTACAAGAAATGAAATCCAACCATATATTACCTTATGCGTCCGTATTGTAAAATTAACAGTTTGAATCTTGCCACGCTAAAAAACAACATATCACTCATATTTTAACATGACACAGAGTGACTATTCATAGTGAAATGCAACAGTAGTCAATGAAAAGATTATAAAACAAAACAAATCATACCACTCTTCCAATAACTACCAACAAAATAGAGGTGATTATGTATATATACACGTACCATATCAGTCACTATTTTATTTTTCTATATATTTTTACTATCTACTCCCTATGTTTTAAAATTATTGTTCAGTTTGAAATTTCACACTTAATACAATTTAAACTAAAAATAAAACTCAATCTGGGCAATAATTATGGTACGGATGGCGTATATCATTTTTCTTTCACATAGACGTAAAACTGCAGTTAAAATATTATATTGATCAGAAAGCAACACGGTAACAGGGAAAAAAAATAAAAATAAAATGGCAACGATGGATAGTATCAGTAACGAGCCATAAGTCGCGTCAACAAAGTACAGAGCCACAGAGTAAGAACCGTGTATTACTATTATTTCTTATTCTACGGCCTTAAAAACCCAATGGGCCTACCAGACCCAACTCGCCACTTTCCTTTTATATATTACTTCCGTCCTAAAAAAAACAGTCCGTGTTCAATTTTCAGATTTGTATTAAAAATAATATAAAATTTAAAATTTAATATGGACTATTTAAAATGGTCCATGTTAAGAAAATACTCTCTTCATTCTAAAATAAGTGTCGTTTTACACTTTGTATATAATTTAAGAAACTTTTAAATATGGTAATAAAATTACTTGAATATCCTCAACCAACCTCATTATAAAATTGTCCACCAATAGCATCAACTCTTTTAAGGGTAATTTTGGAAACTTTTGACAAAAAATGCATTGAAATATGAGAACGACACTTATTTTGGAATTTCTTCATTTTGCTAAAACGACACTTATTTTGGAACGAAGTGAGTAATACATTTGACTTTGTTTAAGCTTCAGTTGCCATTTTGGCCTACTCCTTAGTGGTCCGAAAGACCAGCCACATTCCGTATTCTACTCCCCCCGTTTAAACGGGTCTCTTAACTGTAATCCCGTTTCCGTTACTCTCTCCTTCCTGCCATCTTCCTCTTTTGAGATTACACACACTCACACACTACTCCCCCAAAATTGATTCATATACTTTCTAATTTTTCCCTTTCACTCTTTCTTGGGATTCAATCTTCAGATTCACTTTCCTTTTCCGGTATGGTTTACCTTTAGGAAATTTTATTACCGCGTAGTACAAGAAAGAGAGAAAGAAAGGAAGGAACAAACACTGAGAAATTAGGCAATGTGGAGGAGAGCGTCGTTTAGCTTGTTGAAACAAGGTTTCACGGCGGGGACAAGGGGTGGAACAAACCCAGCTCCGCCTCGATTAGATGGGTGTTTCAGTTCTTCTTCTGGGTCGTCGAGACGGATTTCTTCGTCTTACTTCTCCACTTCCGCTCCGGCGGCCGGCGGCGTCGGCGGAGCGATTGGGGGTGGTAGGAAAAGGGAGGACGACGACGACGATAATAGTGGGAAAAGGAATGGTAACGGGAATGGGGATACAATAACGTATAGTGAGGCTAAGAAATTGATGAGATTGGTGAACGTGGAGGCTTTGAAGATGAAGCTTGGGACTGAAAACAAGGAGGTGATCGAATACAAGGAGCTCCTTGAAGCTTGTGAGAGCATCGGCGTCGCTAAAACGGCCGATGAGGCTTCCGAGTTTGCCAGAGTTCTTGATGAGGCCGGTGTCGTTTTGCTCTTCAGAGATAAGGTCTATCTACATCCCGACAAGGTATAGGATTAAATCCTCTGCTTTTAATGTTTTATTTCATTTATTTCTGTCTTTTTGTGAGTGTATAATTGCGTATAATTGTGTGTCACATTTGTTAAGATTTTAAAGATTGGTGGTGTAAATGTGATCTATTGAGCTTTTTGTCGGATTCAATTCTTTTTCTTTCTTTTGTGGAGTTACTTTGGCCTAATGAGTGAGATTTAGCAATGTGATCTGAGATTCTTTTATTCTTTTCCCCTCCTTAAATTAATTAATTAAGTCAGTCCTTTTGATACCGGGCTCTGGAAATCTGACTCTTTTATTTGATAGTGGAGAATGTAACAACTGGATGATGAATCTGCTTTAAGGTTTTTTAGCTCATTTTTTTATTCAATCTCTGATAAGCATTGAGGTACTTCAACGTTAAGTTTTTCTTGTCACAGTGTTTGCTGTCTTTTAACCTTGGATACTCTTTGTTATGGTTAACTCGGAAGATTTTACTGTATATGGTCTGCTACTTGAGCACAATGAGGAGGATCATTGACGTTTCTGTTGGCCTGAAGGATGATTTTTTTTGCCTCCAGCAAGATGTAATTTGTTCGTTGTTGACATTGTAGAGCTGGAAAGGAAAAGGACAAATCTTTTGAAGTTTATTCTTATGTGAACATTTTGACGTCTTTCTGAACAATGATCGCCTTGAAATGCTGTTTCATACACTACAAGCATCTCGACTAGGGGATACATGACTTGGTTCTGTTGTCTGTCTTGTCAATTTTTACAGCCTTGTTCTTAGGATAGTGTTCAAAGGAATTTAGATTCCTATCCACATTGAATTTGCTGTCATAACATGTTCCAGACACTAACTATGCAGTTTTATATGTTGTGTTTCACTGGCCTATTTTATTGTGTTACTGCGTACCACATCTCTATTAGTGATAGTTATTTACATTTGCATCTTTTTCATGTTCAGGTGGTTGACTTGGTTAGAAAAGCTGTTCCTCTTGCACTCTTACCTGACAATGACCCTTGCAAGGATGAGATGAACCAGCTGCAGGAGAAAAAGGAACAAATTGACAAGCTTGCGCACAAGCAGGTTCGCTGCATTCTGTGGACAGGTTTAGGCTTGGCAGTGATACAAGTTGGTCTCTTCTTCCGACTAACATTCTGGGAGTTCTCTTGGGATGTTATGGAGCCAATTGCATTTTTCACTACTGCAACTGGTATAGTTATTGGGTACGCTTACTTCCTGTTCACTTCGAGAGATCCAACGTACCAAGATTTCATGAAGAGACTCTTTCTTTCAAGGCAGAGGAAGCTCATCAAGAAGTTTAACTTTGACATTGAGAAATTTAAGGAGTTGCAGAAGAAATGCAAGCACCCTTTGGATGTCCCTACCGCTGCCAAACATCGGATTGCGCTTCAAACGGACCCAGATGATCTTCTGCATGATCATTGACCCCTAACACATAACTAGCTTGCGTCCTTCTGACTCTTCTCTATACCTTTGAAGAACTTTTGTTGAAATTTTGCAGCAAAATCTTAGTCCTATCTACTTAAGAATCCCCACAGACCCCATTACACTTGTTTTTGAGGCCGGGCATATGTGGGGTTTAAGGCTTGAAGCAATCTGACTGGTACATCATATAGTCATATTTTAAAGAATTTATCACTGATCCTGTTCATGGATAAGCCATGAATGAACGCAGAATGATTACTTCCCTTTACTTCTTGTCATGTTGGTTTTTTTTTAGCTTTTATGTTGCACAAAATATTGCTGTTGCTAGTTTAAATTTACAATGTATGAGCACCAGTAAATCAGTAAGTTACAAAACTGGAAAGAACTACCTTACAAGAGCATGTAAAAAATCAGTAGGTTTTTCTCGTTAACTGGTTCCAATTTAAGTGTCCTAAGATTTGGTTTAGGTTGAAAAATTTCGATAACTCAAACTACAAATACAACTTGACACGTATTTTTATTGCAATTATTCTGTATAATCTGTTGAAGTGTATATAAACAAAATACACAACACGTTTTTGCTCCGGTAACAGGAAGCGGCCGGACAACCGGAGGACCTGTACTCCGGTAGTGGTATAATGGCTATTAGTCCAAAATGTAAGGGTGGTGGTTGCAATTTTTTGGACGTACGGATGGGTAACTCTAAATATTACCATTTAAGTCCCTCTGTTAAAAGATTAGTCAACAAGCAGCGCGTCATTAATTCACTTCTATCGTCTAAAACCCAGAAATCTTAGAGGTGAAGTTCAGAGGTCACTTTCACAATTTTCACTCCAACTCCTCTCTCCTTGGAAGTCATACAGACAGACCTTCTGGTGGGAGCCCACCTTCTCCAGCTCATCCAAGTATCCTTTTTTTTCCTTTGCAGCAGATAGAGGTATTGTTCTTAGCTTGTAAACTGGAAGGCATTTTTCTTCTTCTTTCGAATTGTTCGTTTGAAGTAGGTTTAAAGATTCATTATTTATGTACCATTTTTCATCTTGATGTTTTCGGATAGAAATGGAGTTTGTTTCTGAATGTTTTCGCAATCTAATCCCTCCTCCTCTTTCTTTTTTCTTTCTTAATTTTTTTTTTTTGGTGGGTTTTTGTTTGTAGATTTATAGAGTTGGTAGAACTATCAATCTCAGTGAATCAATCAATAGAAAACTGGATATAGAAGACATCACATGTTACAGGAATCTAGACCCTTGTTGCAGAAATTTAGGGGAATATGGATCCGAGATTCATGGACAATGCTTTTCATCTGAGAAATCAAACTCTAGCTAGTTTGTCCCAGGATAGCAATCTAAATCTAAATGGACCAGGATTTGAGATTCTTCATCACCACCATCATCATCATCACAATCTTGACCAGATACCTGTGAATCCACCCGAACCCGTCCAAGGAGGTCCATTTCAATCATGTCCAACTAATTTGTCATCGACAACTACATCAAATAGCTTAACATCCACTTGTAGCTTGGCCATTGAGGATGATTTGAATGAAGATGTTGATTTCTCCGATGCTGTCTTGAGTTATATAGCTCAGATGCTTATGGAGGAAGATATGGAAGATAAGACATATATGTTGCAAGAATCTTTGGATCTTCAAGCAAAAGAAAAGTCTTTCTATGATGCCCTGGGGAAGAAGTATCCGCCTTCTCCCGAGCCGAACCACCCGACTTCTGCCCTTGATCAATGCAAGCTAACCAACTCAAGTAGCAGCAACATTGGTGGAAGTTACATTAGTGATCCCGACCTTCCAGAATTTAGTCCGAATCCTCCTCCCGTTGGATGCTCCCTGGCTCATACCGCGTCCAACTCATCGGTCGGTTCTTCAAGTGATGTAAACAATCTTATCAGCGCTTTCTTTGATCCTCCTTCTGAGACCGAATCTATTTGGAATTTCATCAAGGGTGTTGAAGAAGCTAAGAAGTTTCTTCCTGAGGGTAATCAGTTGCTAAATGTTAATGTTGATGCCTTGTTGCCTCCAGAGCCAACAGAAGACATTGATTTGAGAGAGAAAGGGAATTCCTCTACGACAACAACAGGGCTAAGGGGTAGGAAGAATCCTCCTGGTGAGGACACTCTTGATTTAGAGGAGAGGAATAGCAAGCTGGCAGCACTTTACTTCGAATCAACCATTCGATCAGAGGAGTTTGATGTTGTGTTGCTTCATAGCAAGGGAAAGGGTCAGACTGTATTGGCTGCACTTCGTGAAGAACTGAAGACTGCCAAGAGCAAACCTGTGCATCAAAATGGACAAGTGAGAGAAACCCCTGTGAGGAAGGTTCGCGGGAAAAAACAGCGTGCGAAAAAGAAAGAAGTTATAGATTTAAGAACACTCTTGATTCATTGTGCACAGGCAGTTGCTGCGGATGATAATAAGAATGCAAGAGAACTGCTAAAACAGATCAGAGAGCATTCTTTTCCTTATGGTGATGGGAATCAAAGGTTAGCCCACTGTTTTGCTGATGGTCTGGAAGCACGAATAGCTGGCACTGGTAGCCAAATATATAAAGCCCTTGTGAACAAAAGGACATCTGCATCTGACTTCCTGAAGGCTTATCATTTATATATGGCTTCAAGTCCATTTAGGAAGATTTCAACTTTTGTCTCAAACGTAACAATTAGAGTTAAATCTATGAATGCAATGAGACTTCATATCATTGATTTTGGTATCCTCTATGGTTTCCAGTGGCCCACCTTTATGCAACGAATTGCCGACAGAGTGGGTGGACCACCTTTTCTTCGAATCACAGGCATTGAGTTTCCTCAACCTGGATTTCGTCCTGCAGAACAAGTTGAGGAAACAGGGCACCGGTTGTCAGAATATGCTAAGATGTTCAATGTGCCCTTTGAATACAATGCAATAGCTAAGAAATGGGAAACCATCAAACTTGAGGATCTTAAGATAAAAGAGGGCGAGTTTGTTGTTGTCAACTGCCTATATCGATCTAAGAACTTACTGGATGAGACTTTGGCAGTGCAGAGTTCCAGAACCACCGTTCTCAACCTGATAAGGAACATCAATCCGGATATCTTCATCCATGGGATTGTCAATGGGGCTTACAGTGCTCCCTTTTTCGTTACTCGCTTCCGAGAGGCTCTGTTCCACTTCTCAGCGCTTTTTGATATGCTTGAATCCGTTGTACCTAGGGAGATACCCGAAAGAACATTGATTGAGAAAGAAATTTTTGGACGGGAAGCTCTAAATGTAATAGCTTGTGAAGGATGGGAGAGAGTTGAGAGGCCAGAGACATACAAGCAATGGCAACTCCGTGATCTGAGAGCAGGCTTCAGGCAAATTCCCTTTGAGCGTGACATTATGAAAAGGGCAAGGGAAAAGGTGACAACAAGTTACCACAAAGATTTCGTTATTGATGAGGATAGTCAGTGGTTGTTACTGGGATGGAAAGGTAGAATAATTTATGCACTGTCTTGTTGGACGCCTGTTTAGCATATCTGAAGACGCTTTGAAATGCAAGGTAATGCAGTGGAATGTGTTAGATCTATTATCTTATGATCTTATTCTGCTGATGCAGCTGCGGGTCAATGTCATTTGATTGTTGGTTTCCTAGTAGTTATTCCAGGACACAATCCTGTCCTTTCACTTTATCCCTGCAGTGGGAAACAGATCAATATGGATACTCTAATACATGATGCTTTCCTCAGTCTCCTCAAAAACTGTATCAGGTAGCAATACGATACTGCTAGACTTTTTTCTTCAACATGAATCGAGACTGCTATATTCTTATGAACTGCTACTTTGGTTTGGTACTGTGTCCAAATGGGCCTAATGTTTGGTAGACTTGCATTTGAAATGATATAATCTTTCTTTGCATGTAGTCATTATATTGCGTAGGCGAAAGCAACAGAATTGATTCTGGGGATGAGTAAGAAAGGTAGTATGCTGTAGATAGATACAACCAACTGCGTGGTTTTTTCCATTTACAAGGACTGATTAATATGATATGGGATGCAGATTGGCATTTGAGAAGGTGGAGTTCCTTCAGAAGCAGAAGCAGGTTTGAGATTCTGTATGTTGAACGAGAAAGGCGAAGGAAACAGGCAGGGATATGATTTAGGAAATGAAGTTGAGAATGATGACAACACGCAGAGGACGAACTCTATGAAATTCCAGAACATCTCAGAGTGTGAATGAGTAATGTCTATCTTCTGCTTAATCTGTTCTGAAGATTGCTGACTTAATTTGTCAACCATATGCTTGATGTCAAGTTGCATTGTGGTCCTACCTTTCCCCTCAGGTGAAAATGCAAAAATTCAGAGGAAGCTCCAAGCAGTGGACAACTGGGCATTGCAGAGGTACAAAGACATCCCGGAGTTGTGCAAAGACAAGGATGTCAAGAGATATAGTCTATGCAAAGACAAACAGCATCAGTTGGAGTTGAATGGCAAGCTGCCACCATGTAATGTGAAGATACAACGTTGTTTGGTCGAACTCTGAAATGCCAGCCACCCTTTAAGATTTTTGCTTAAGATTGTTTGATGGAGAACATATAGTTGTCTAGTCATAATTCCAGGTTGTAGTGAATTGTTCACTGCGATGAGGATTATTTAGCATCCAATCACTAAACTGTAATCACGCATAACCGTTTCACCTCATTAGCTAATAGCTACACTCGGTTCTTTCTATCTTCCAAATTCAGTAAATTTGTTTGATGGTTTCTGACTTTTATTTTGACTGGGGAATTGGTGTTGGAAATTTCAACCTAGAACCTTGAATTAGCACCAGTTGTCAGTAAGTTACAAAACCGAAAATGTTTTCCTAAGTGTGGAGTAAGACTTGGCTACAAGAGCATGTACAAATCATTCTTCCTAAATATCACAAATTCACCTTCGAGGCTGCTCAGCAATTCAACTACAGACTCCTCCGTGGACCCATTGAAATGCTCCAAAATCTCAGATAGAGTCACCTGCATATTCCAGTGTTAGCGTTTCTCCAGTGGTTTTGAACTTTTGATAATTACATGGATAAAGGAAAATTTAGTGCATCTAAGGATAGACCACCCTACCCCGGAAGAAAACTTCTCGAGCCAGTTTACAATTGAATTCCTCGTTGCAAGCACAACAGCTTCATTTTCTACCTCCAAATCCACTTTTTGGCGTTTTCTTACAATGTTGACTGAACCGTCTGTGCTCTTGCCTTGTAGAGTGTTATCAGAGGGAGTAGCTTCTTCCATTAACTGAAAAATGTCACCGACACCATTACTGTATTCAATGTTGTGAGGATATTCATATTGTTGACACGAAAGATTTAATCATGCTGATGTTCCGGTTACCTTGTTCGTGTTTTCATCCTCCTTGTTAGACTGCATAAGAGCGTTCGCAGAGCCTAACTCTTGCATTGTCAAGCATGCCTTGATCTGGGCGTAAGTTATCTGCCAATTTAAGAAGAGATCAGGACAATCATCAAGGGATGGCAGTATGACATACTATCTACTTACTACTAGGAGGAAACTCAACCATAAGCTCCAAAAGCTTTCCTACAGTCGGCCAAAGTAGTACTAAAACAAATATAATATTACCTCCTCAGGTAATTCGTTCTTTATGGGCTTTAACTTTTCTTTTCCAACTTTTGCCACAACATCCTGAATGCTTTGGTATGCCTCTTGTGTCAACTCAATCTCTCCGGCGAATCTGCACCAGTCAATTTGGCATCCCTCCCTTGCTGCTTCGAGAATATATTCCATCACGGTCTGCTCTTTTATCGGAGCTGATCTTCCAGGGAAATTCTAAAGCATACTAAGTTAATGCGGGTACAAGAATGGTAAACTAGATTACTGGAGGAAGTGAAAAGGAATAGATAGCTTACAGCAATTTTCTGGATCGTAAGGCCTTCTTCTTGCCACATTTTCCAAGCTTCAAACTTCGCAGGTGTAAGGTTTTTCACTCTTGGTACTCCAAGAACCTGCTTTTGAATGGGAGGCTGAGAGTCTGGATCCCTATCCAAGGAAATGGAAAGTTCTTGGCATAGCTGCTGGATCCGTTGCAGAAAATGATCACCATGAACTTTCATCAAATGCTGCATTAATAAAAGAGCCTCGAGTCAGGTTAAAATTCCAAAGACAAAATATCTACACAACCTAGCAAATTCAGAATTTTTAACCATATAATGGCTTCCACGACATCAAAAGGTAAGGCCATATTGACGTGGTTAGTGTTACAAGAGATCCAAATTACAAGTTAATATTGATTTGTTACTTTTGTCACAAAATGGAGACAAGTTCAGATCATAAGACTATAAAATGCCTCATGCTTTACTGGCTCAAACCTTCCCACAAGCCTGCAAACAAAAGGAGCTCTATGCACCAAGCTGTTTTTTCTTCCTTCTACTTCATGTGTGAACATTGTGACAGAATAAATCAAAAGAGAAAATAACAAAACAAGTTCTTCTCTTCCTTTCACCGGTCCACATGAGACCAAATATTCATGGAGATAAGCACACCAATAGATAGTATTCTGTATAGATTTGACACTAAAAACCACATGCACGATCTTTTACAAATATACCTGGTTTACGCCTTCTATATTAGCTAGCCTTGCTCTAGTTGATGGCCTTGTTAATGCCATTCTCCTCACCGTTTCATCACCACAAATTGCATATCTGCCGTTACAATAAATCAGTAAACAGAACAATTCTTTTTCCTACTCTTAAAATAGTAGAGAATCATAGTTGAATCATAAATGGAAGTTATCATATTTCTTCACACCAACCAAATATAAGTACTTACGGGGCAGTCCCACTGCCTCTTGCAAGCTTCATTCTCTCATCCAAGAGCAATTTATAGAGTTGCTGCTCAGCCTGAGACAATAAGAAGAGCTTTCAATATTTTTAGTTGCATTAACAACAGGCCACCAAGGAGGCAAATCAAATTACAAATTTATTCTAAAAGAACGGAAAAAAAAAATTAAAAAATTTGTGCAATCGACTTCTCACTGAAATCTATTCATAAGAGAATTGTTATGTATCGTGAGCCTAAGTTTTTTGATCATTTTCAAGGATTTCTTAAAACATTGTTCTTCCAGATACAGAGCTCATGGACATTAAAAGAGAGAATAATTAGTTGGAGCCATGAACTGAAAATACACAATGTGCACAATTTCGGAAACCAAAATAAAGATGGGACTTCTCATCACAACATTATAACCGTTTAGCAAATTTTCATTTAAGAGGATATGATTATCAGGTTGGGGCGGAAATTATAGCGTAACATACATCAACACCTAAAACTACTAACCTGAGACATTCCTTCGCATCCGGCTGATACCACACTGCTCGGATTTTTAATTTCCACATCAGAAATCGTTTCAGACGCAATTGGCAGATACAATGGTGGCTGATAATCAGGTCTGCATGAGCTCAGAAACTGTAACCCCTTTGCAGTCAAGCTGTTTCATAGAGAAAGAAAAAGTCAGCATCTTTAGTTGGATAGGGAATCACGGTCCAGTGCAGAGGTGTGATAGCTAAAGCCGTATCTGAAGACTAAAATGTAAATGAGGAAAGGATGGGAGAGCAAGCATAGGATTTATGACAAACAATCACAATAACAAAGGAGAAGTGACTCACCTTACATTTCTGTACATGGAATCATATTTTTCAATCAAATAACCTGCATGAAGTTGCAAACTACTCAGAGCTCAAACATATTGACCGTTCAAGATAGAAACTGTTAATGGAATATGCTTTGGTGGTTGGTGTTATCCTCATTTGTGGGCTAAAGAATCGAGGATTAATACTATAATCTACTTTTACCCCCTTATTCTTCTTTTTCGTATAACATATCCAACTATCTTTCCCTACCACAAGAAAAACCAGTGAAAAAGAAGGAAACAAAAATTTTTAAAACAAAAAAAAAAAAAGAAAAAACATAACACACAAATACTTTCACAAGTTGTAGGCAAGACGCGGCAATTTGGATAACTAACCATTTGAGATCAATTGATCCCCAAGGGATTTCCACCAGTCTGCTGTTATCTCTTTCCCAAGGCCATGAAAAGGCAGCTTATCAAGTTGAGCTTCTAGAATTTTCTTCGACTGTGACAACAGAATATTTCACATCAAAACAAGACTTTGAAAAAAGACAAAAAAGGGAATACAGGTTACGAGAAGGAAAAGAAAAGGAAAGTGAGGAAACAAATTCCTTAAATATCATTGTTTCTTCTATTGTTGATTTTTTAGAGCCAAGCGTAAATCAAGTCCTGACATAGGAAACGATCTGGCGCATATTTCTCCCATTTATACTTCCGATGGTAGTTCTTTCACTGTTCAAATGTATCAACCACGAACAAGTGGATGACTGAAAGAGGCAAACTTACCCGAGAACCACGAAGTACATCTATAGGCATATTGAGTCCCCATTTTCCTCTGCATGACCGCATGCAACCCATCAGAAGAAATGCTTCTCTAGCCATGTCGTTCTCCTTCTTTGAGCTAGTGCAATTATCACAATTTCCTGCAATCTTCTAATTTAGAATCCAACACAGAGATTTCAAAAAAATTTGAAAATGGATGTAGATTACAACTGATAGATAAGCCTTTCTATATTTAGAAAGCATACATTTTTCCCATTGTTTTGTCTAATGGTTGTTCGATTTTACTCGATCTTTAAAACCTTACAGGCATATCTGTAAACTGTTGGTTATACAGCTGTGATTGAACAAATAAGACGGACCTCATTCAGCGAGGGAAGTATAATAACTGAATCTCTTATTTTTAATGCTCATATTTACTCTTGGTTTACAGAACAGGCATCAGACATATACTCAATAGATCTTATTGATCACAGAAAACAACCCCTTATAACAATTTAAAATGCTTAGCCTTCACCGGCCTATGGTTTGAAAAGCAGAACTCAGATTATGAACAATTTAGAAGTCATTTACGTGAAGAAAAAAATGCAGCAACTCAACAGAAAGGCCAAAGCAATAGTCGTACCGCATCTATCAGAAATAATTTCTTGCCCGAAGTACTTCAAGAGATATTTTCTTCTACAGGTTGTCAGGAAGCAATAATGCCTAGCAGCTTCATAAGCCTCCAAAATAGATTGTTTTTGATCGGCCTGTTAAGCAGCAAACAGATCAGGAAGTCACTTTAAACCAGAATTTATGTTTTAACCTAGTAGGAAACTGCAAAGGATGGAAACCTACTGATTTTGCTTCTTTACAATAAAAATCAACTTTTACAAAGTCGCCTCTGGAGTAATAAAGCCAGCAGACTGAAGCCACGCCATCTCGGCCACAACGACCACTTTCCTGGTAATATGCTTCCAAACTTTTGGGACATCCGTAATGTATAACATATCTGATATCTGGCTTATCAATACCCATGCCAAAAGCAATAGTAGCAACCATCACGTAGTATTCATCTCTGATAAATGATCTGAACAGGTAAAGAATTGGCAATCAGAAATTGGGCACATTTTTTTATATGAGTGGCGCAATATTCAGCTGACCAGCCTAGATAAGAAAATCGAAGGAATACACTAACCTGTGTGACTTCTCCCTTGCACTGTTAGACATCTGACCATGGTAAATACCAGCTTTAACTCCAGCTTTGAGCAGCAACTTGAAGATCTAAGGGGAAATTCCCAAAGAATAAAAAGACACAGAAATGATCAAAAACTTGAATTGAAAACCAAAAGGATATTGATGATTTAATCAAAAGCTAGGAAAATGACGTGGATTGCATTATGATTCAAAACCAAGCTCCGGAAATTACTTCTTCAGTATCTTTGACAGTTGTACAGTACACAATAGTCGAGCTTGCACTCTGAGCATACTTATTGAGATCTTCCACAAGCTCATCCATAAAAGCTAAACTGTGGTTGAAAGGTTTAACGCCATAAAATAGATTTTGGCGATCAAAAGAGCCAACTGCCACGTAGGGATCCCTCATCTTCAAGGAACTGATTATATCGAGGCGAACCCTGATCCACAGGGAAAAATGAGTTACCAGAAGTTTAGCAAAGTAGCTGAGAGGAAAAGTTACCAGCCAGTAATATTCTGCATTGTATGGTTAGGGGAAAAAAAAGAAGAGAGATCCTGATTAGGGAGACTTACTTCTCTGTGGCTGTCGCAGTTAAGCCTATAAAAGGAACATTTTGAAGTACGTTGCGTAGCCTGTCTAACCTTTTGTACTCAACCCTGAAAATGAAAGATAACATTATAAAATCACCTCTAAGCAGATGAAATGTAAATTTCATGACACAAATAAATCATCAATCGGCAAGTAAATGCCAGAGCTGCGTAGTTGTCAGAGTGAAATGTTGACCTGAAATCATGGCCCCACTCCGATATACAGTGTGCTTCATCAACAGCCAAGAGACATATTCCTGTTTCTTGCATTTTAGCCCAGAAGCTGCAGCAAAAGAAAAGAAAAAATCGGCAGCAACTCAATGTGTGCAAGTGGCCAAAGTTGAAAAAGAACAACCAAACAATTTCGTATCTCGGTAAGTTATCATTTGAATATAATTGGAAATGCTTGGCAAATCTCCAAGAAATCATGCTAAGTTGCTAACAATGAATAATATCAGTTCCAAAGTAATTTGATTAATGAAAAAGTTTAGGCCTCAATCCACTCTGTTTGATGGGGGAAAAGTTAGATCACACTACATTACCTGGAAGGAAGCAAACAAGCCTTTTCTGGGGTCATGTACAGAATGTCATATTGGCCCCTCTCAGCAATGCTTTGTACATTAGAAGCATTTTGAGCACTAGAAAGATGCTCAGTTCGAATTCCCCTTTCCTTCAGAGCCATAACCTATATACATTGGCCAATTAATTCCACAGGCATCAACATTTCTATACCTTATACAACAAAAAGAAAGAGCAGTGCACACCAAGCATATTTTATACCTGGTCTTGCATTAATGATATGAGAGGGCTAATGATTACAGCAGTCTTCTTGGTGATCAATGGGGGCAATTGATAGCTTCAACATGAAAAATCGAGGTTTCAAACAAACAAGTACAGAAAAGAGCCCAAAAACAAATTCTTGAAAATTAAAAAACCCAATGGAGAGGAATGAAGTGAAAACCTACCAGAGTGACTTGCCGCTCCCGGTGGACATGACCACCAAGCAGTCCCTTCCGTCGACTATTTTTTCCACAATTTCTCTCTGATATGGACGAAATGTGGAAAACCCAAAGTATTGCTGAATCGAGAAAACAGAAATTGTCAGGGTTTTCACAAATTACTATACACACATGTACTCAACAATTCGCCTCATTTTCAATTAGGCCAGGAAAACAAAACACAAATTTTCACAAACAGAAGGGGAAAAAAAAATGGAAACAGAGTGTTTGTGGGGAAAACCTTGAGAACAGACTCCATGGTATAACTTGGTTTCGCTTTCAGGCTCTCAACACAAGAGGAGCGACTCAGTAAGCCATGGCTGTTTTTGCTTGGAAAATGTATCGACTAGAATTGGGTAGTGAGGTATTTTACTTTATTAATTTTATTTCCAAGTTTCCCGCCATATTTATTTTATTTTATTTCGTTCTTCAATTATTAAAAAAAAATACTTATTTTGTTTTTTTTTTTTTAATATAGAATTAAGCTGAAATCAACTGTTATAAGGGGAGTAACATTATGTCTACATGGTTTGTTTGCCTTTGGTCTTCCATTGTACAGCTCTGTGGATTAGTGATTTGTGTCGTACGTAGTATTTTTATTTGATTGTTAAAGCACCTGTCAAATTTGAAATATCAGTTGCAATGGTGAGCCTTAAGTTGAACATCAATATAAAATCTGGAGCTAGACGGAATTTAATCTCTCAAATTCGTGGGACGAACACTTAATGCATTATCATGGAGCCACAATGTAACTTCAAATCGATAATACCACTAGAAAACTTGAAGTAATGTTAAGTTAACTTATAGAAAGTCGGACATGGGTACAAATCTCACCCTAGCAGTGACAGATGAAATTTTTAGTTTCCTCTGAATTTCGATAAAAATACAATATAAAAAGGCCAGCAGGCCTGTTTGTTAGGAAGTCAACAAAAACGCTTCAGACATTAGCTCAAGAACTACTGACTGATTCAAACTAGGAAGCCTAGGCGAAAAGCTTTCTGTAGTGTTCTGCTTCTTCGGCCATCTCCTCCATGCTCCTGTCCTTCCTATCTTTATCCAAATCAAGCTTCTGATTCAATTCCTTCTCCTTCACATCTAACTGCGGGTTGAACGACACATCAGAATATAAGTGATACTTGATCAAAACATAGCCAAAGATACATATCCAATAGTAGAACTCTAGAAACTTTCTTCAGGTCTTACAGCATCATAAATCTCATCATTTTTCTCAAAGTCGCCACTTCTACGCGGGATGATGTGAATATGCACATGAGGAACTGTCTGTCCAGCTTGAGGACCATCCTAAATTTACAAAACAGCAAGAAATTAAAGGTACGCCTACAGGGGCTATTAATATTAATGAGGAACCATGAAAACTGTCAGCTATTTATTAGGATTGTACACCACAAGGGGGATAATGCAAACTGACTGAAAAAAAAAATCACATTTAAACATTTAAGGCAACTGGAATGATGATAAACAACTTTCTCCATATGCATATGAGGCACCATACAACAAAGGATGCTTTGGGAAACTTCAGACAATGGACAAAGAAATTCATGTTTACGGAGCATATTAGCTCGTCAGTTAATATAAAGAATCTACATTTTAAATAGGCAACAAATTATACAAAGTAACAACCTCATTCCGTTGGAGGAATGGACCAGAACAATTGAGAAGTTTAAAAAGCCGTTGCCCTATATTTGTGTTAGTAAACAGATGAAGTATAAGAGATCCTAATTCATTTTGCAGCTTCGCAAGTTGCTAAATGGAAACTGCAAAGCCAAGCAGAAGGAACATCTCTAACATTGAGGGACTGCATATTACTGAGCCTAGAGAAACTGGAAAGGTAAGCTACAACTACAGAAATACATATAAGCCAATGCACGTGTGAGAACTTAGAAACACAATACAGCTCCATCAAGAAAGTGAATAAGACAAATACCAACAAAAACCTTTAAAAAAGTGCAACTTGAAATTCTTACATCCTAGGTAAACTTTAAAAGAGATGCTAGAAGACTAAATGTAATTGTTACAATGCAGCTTGCTTACTTGAATAGCAAAAGTGATTGAAGATGCCGAGTGAAAGGACTCAAGCTGTCGTCCAACTTTTTGTGCAGTGAGCCATAAGTCAGCAGTCTCATCGGCAGTGAGATCAGTGAACCGTTTCACTTCACGTCTTGGGCACACAAGGACATGTATGAGTTGTCAAGGGAATCAAATGGGCAACTTTCGATTTCATTTCTTGTAGAAATTTTTGAGGTGCAACTGAGTGTACATATTAACAGAAACTATAATATGACTAATGAGAATTTTTGAACACACCAAATAAGAACCACAGTAATGCTGAATTGAAGATAATGACTCTAACCAAAACACAATAACAGGAATGCTTCTCCATTTTAGTAAAATGATCTAGCCCACTTAATCTTTCCACATGTCCATTAGTAATCAACAACATTACGCAAAGCGCAGGGAAAAGGATATGACCTGCAAAGACAAACAAAGAGATCAAACCAATGAGTAGAGCATATATCGTTATTTAGTACTAAAACGCTTCTTGCCAGAAAACTCTAATAGAAAAACAGAAGTGACCTAATTCAGCTCAAGTTATGCATGAACGAGAGAATCATACATTCTTATACTCCGCCAAAGTGCAAGCAGTACAAATTTAACGTTTCGTTCAATGACCTATAATTTTGTTTCCAGTCTACCTAAAGATGATCGCAACAGGGGTAGGAAAAAAAAAAATACCAGGGAGAAGAGGGCGCAGATTGACCATTGCATATGAAAGATGAGTGCATAAGAACACTTCTTTGTTGTCAATTTTGTAAGGTCCAAATTTATAATTCTCCGGCTCCATCTGTTCAATCGATTTTCACAAGTTAATGCCACGGAAAAATCTGTTCGATTATACTCAGAGAAGGGAAAAAACTACAACCAGCGAAGAAGAGGTTTCGGGAAAGTATAAAATCACCTGCGACTGATTAGAGTAACACCTCGTGGATGAATACGAACAATTCCTCAGTCTACAGAAAGGAACACTGGCGGATGGGATGGTGACGCCGGGAACTCGAAGGCCTCCGGCCGATGAAACGCCGTGGAAGAAGGATGAAATGAAGCTTCGGTTGGGCTTCAACATGGGGTCTTTTCAGCCTGCCATTTGGTTTTTTACGTTTTTTCCTTTATTTTAACTCTGTTTGGGCTACAAATGGGCTTACTTTATCAGCAGCTGTCCAAGATGCCCAACCCACCGTGTTTTATTATTATATATATCGCCTCCCAATTTCCCCTTTCCCTCCAAAAATCAAAAAGCCTATAAAGGATTGGGGCTACGATGTGAGGTGCTTGTGATCATCATCAGGTTTCTAACTCCTCTACTATCGTTGACGGCATTAATGGACTGCAAAACTTAATTAGTATGATGCTTAGGTTACTGGTACATTTTGTGACGCTGACAGAATTCTAACTCCTAACAGAATTATAACTCCTAACTTTCACGGATACTTAATGCAATACACTACAGATGCTACTGTAATTTAAAGTTTGCTTTGTCCTTTCTAAAGGTTGGTTATTTCTTAAAATATGAAATGATAAGGTGGGTTATAAAAATAGGGACAAAAGGAGTACAAAAAATGAAAGTGATCCCTAAACAACCAATGAAGATTATAAAATGTCACACTATCAAAAAAAAAAAAAAATGACCTTATTTATTAAGAACAAACTCAAGAAAAAGAGCCACCAAATTAAAACATAGCAAAATCATATTAGGTTTGACCCCTGATTGACTGTAACTTCGCCTCCAACATTCAAGAAGAAAATTTTTTTTCCTTATTTAAATTTTTACCTGTTTTGGGAAATATATATGGAAATATATACATAAATATAAATCCTACTATATTAGAAACAAAAACCTCCCTTTCAAACACCTTATATGATTGCCACATGGCATGTAAAAAGTACTAAATTGCCCTTTTGTCTAACCATAACAAAATTACTAAATCTCCCTTTGCACTTTTTTTTTTAATTTTTTCTTTATGTTTCATTCAACTAGAATGGTTTTTTAAATTGAATTGATCAATTAGGTTTTTTGTTACAAAGTGTCAATTTTGTTTTAAGTGTATACTCTTCGGATGAAACTTATTACAAAGCTATTAAAAATCTCCAAAACTAAGTATTGATTTGGCACGACCAATGGAGAACATCAATAAATCATCTTACTAATATTTAAATTTATTAGGATGCTTTTATATTTTATCTAACATTTACTTCAACACATATATTCGATTAAGGCTATTTATATTTAATAAGTAACACTTATAAAACATTTCCAAAACATACATGGCGAAATACAATTTTTTTTTTTGCGAAATACAAATATTTCTATGATCACACTTATAAAACATTTCTAAATCCTTCAAATATTTCTAAAATGTATCGCTCCAAATACAAAATTTTATTTTTTTTCAAATATAAACATTTCTAAGATCTACAGATAAACTGGGCCAGGATCGCGCATTGCGCGACCAGACATTACTAGTATATATATATAAAACTCTCAGTCAAGAAAAAGAAATTACTAAAAGTTTCATTTATATGGGTTGTAAACCTCACAAGTAGGACTTGAGACAGGCCCATGATACATACCCCAAACAAAACCGGACCAGGCCTGCAGAAGGACTAACCCCATTAAATTTTAATAGTCAATCTACTGTAAATCAGCCTGATATAATATGTCCGTGACTGAAGCTATAAAGTTGGCCCGAGCTGCGCTGTGTCATGGTGCTTTACTAGTTCCTGAAAGTCGTAAATTTTGCAGTGATAAGATTTGTGATTTTCAGGCCACTTCTATTCTTATATACTCCATCTGTCCAATAATTATTGTCTTTAGATTTTTATTTTTAGTTCAAATTATATTAAAAGTAAAATCTCAAACTGAACAATAATTTTAGAACAGAGGGAGTAATATATTCCTCCCCGTCCCCCTTTCCTGATGAATATTTTCTTTTTCCTGTATATCAGTTTTCCATGTTGGATTAAACATGTAGTCGTGAACGATGATATAAGAGAATGGCAAGAAAAGTATTCAAGTGTAGCTGCTGAGGAGGAAAAGTGTTTCATCACCAATTTTCTTAAGCAGAGGGGCACAAACTGTTTTTATGTATGATTTTTAATACTCCCTCCGTCTCATAATTATTGTCCACTTTGCTCAAAAATTTTTGTCCCAAAATTATTGTCCAATTTGACTTTTTATGAATCAAGTTATACATTTGTCCTTAGTAAAAAACATTATCCATAAAATCTTAGTGGTTAAACAATTACTTATATATGGATATATCCGGTTGTTTAAGGTAAAATATAATTAAGTTTGACCAAAAATAAAATATTTTATTTTAGTAAAACTGGACAATAATTATGGGAAGGAGGGAATATATGAAAACCGAGGAGTGATGCGGTGGCTTCTTTCTTATTTGTCTGCTTTTAATAGGAAATTTGTAATTATATTTTACCATGAAAGGGAGGGTTTCCAAAAGATAAATGCCACCAAGGCAAGTAGCTTTCAACATAGTCCCCCTTTTCTTTCCCAATGTGTATCTAAACTTAAGCCATTTCTTTCAAAGTTGCATTTGTCATTCATTAGTCACTTCCATTCTACACATTAGTCGACAGCAAATATCCATTGCCATGGTCTACCATTAAAGTGCAAATCTATTTCAATTGAATTATTCAGTAGAATACATTACCTGGTGCATGGTGTTTTGATTTTATTAAATAAGAACACTGATATTTATTTACTCCCTATGTCTCGAAAAAATAGTTCATATCGTGGTTTGAAATTTGTATTGAAACAGTACAAATCTCAAAATCTAATGTCAAATATTTTTCTTGAAATGAAGGGAGTATAATATAGAGTCTTGGACTCAAAATTTAATGTCAAATATTTTTCTTGAGACGAAGAGAGTATAATATAGAGTCTTGGACTTAGGCAAGAGAACCCGAAAAACAATAGTAAAGCTTGTAGCACAAGAAGTCACATTGCCTAGTAGAAAAGCTTTCTGTATTGTTCTGCTTCTTCAGCCCTCTCCTCGGGGCTTCTGTCCTTCCTCACCATATCCAAATCAAGATGCTTCTTCAGTTCCCTCTCCTTCTCGTCTAACTGCACAGAACATAACACACATAACACTATTGAGCTGCACTGATTCAAGCACTTAGCTGAAGCTTATACATCCGCACCACATCAGTGGCAGAAATGTAGAGTTCTTGAAGTCTTACAGCATCGTATATTTCATCATTGTTCTCAAAGTCGCCATGCTTACGTGGTAGGATGTGAACATGGACATGAGGAACCGACTGTCCGGCCTGAGGACCATCCTGAGTTAGCAAAATACAGAGGAATTAGAGGTGGATATTTCAGACAAGTTAAAACATGGAACGCAATGTGACCTAGCAACAAGACTGCTCCCATCTGCATTTGAAGCAACACTACAAAGCTTAATATGAGACTTCCAGATAACTAAAACAGACTGGGGAAAGATAGGGATCAACATATTGTTTGAAGCACTGAAAATATCATTTAATAACTTATTAGTAGGATGACAAACTGAGAATTACTCAAAGTAAGAGCTTCGTTCTGTTTAACGCATGGGCCATGAGAACATGTGATGCAGGGTTACACTACTAATCAAGATAAATTAAGGGAACATCAAGCAAGTGAAATGACAAACTTTGACGAAAACCACAGAGGGAAAGTACAATTTTTGACTTGATATATACAGTTTGTGCAACATTAAGAGATATGTGGAAAACCTAGAAACAAATTCTACAATGCACTTTTCTTACCTGAATGTTCAAAGTGAGCGAAGTTGCTGAGTGAAAAGACTCGATTCGCCTACCAACTTTTTTTGCAGTAAGCCATAAATCAGTAACCTCTTCGTCTGTAAGATCAGCAAAGCGTTTCACTTCACGCTTTGGGATCACAAGAACATGTATGCATGGTCAAGTCAATCAAATGGGAAGCTTTTTGAACTCATCAAAGTCTCTTTCTAGCCAAGGGAATGTACATAGGAACAGACTCAACAACAACTACCAGGAAACAACAAAGTTTGAAGATTAAAGGGAAAGCATGATTAACAGTTACGCAAACATAAATTGAGTATTTTCTACAAATTAGAGCTTTGGGGAAAATAAACTTTATGTCACTAGAATAAAACAAGTAGAAAATGAAATCAAATGCTGCCCTGCCACTGTAAAGGAAAAAATGTAAGCCTAAGATAAACACGCTTGTCTTCTCCATTTTGAAGTGTGATATATTACCCACTGTACAATTCCACAAGTCCATTACATATCAACCACAATCAGAATACACAGAGCATAAGGAAAAGGATATGACCTGCAAAGAAAAAGGAGGAGATGACAAACCAGAAATGTGTGATCTCATAAGTAATTATTAGGAATAAAATCTAAAATATCCGGATGCATATTCGATTAATCAAATTCAAACAAAATTATAGTATGTGATACTACAAAATTTCACCCCAACTTTTAAACTCAGCAAGATTCTACTTTTCCAAAGAGAATAAATTTCAACTTTTTTTCTCCACCCGAATTGAATACAGATAGTTTACAATTTTACTGATTGCAAATAACATCAAATGAACATTACCAGGTAGGACAGGGCGCAAGTTGACCATGGCAAATGAAAGATGAGTCTCCAAGAACACATCTTTCTTGCTTATCTTGTGCGGCCCAAACATATAAAACTCTGCATCCATCTATTCAATCGATTCTCAAGTTAATCCACAGCAATTTGCTCAATCACAAAAATACCTCAAAAAAACAATAATCTTATCGGAAAATTTGTACTTGCCGGTGACTGATCGGAGCAACTGGATCGGATTCACACTCTACTGAATGGAGAAGACTCTGGGGAGTATGATTGATTCATGGCAAAAGTGGCGAAACATTTCTTCTCCTATAAATAGAATTAGAGGATAATTTCTTTGGCTGACTTGGCTTATCATCAAAAACATAAGAGTGAAAACTATGTGACCCATAAGAGTTGAAGAATCAAGAACAGCTGCTCAAATTTGAAAAGTTTTTGTTTTCCTGTTGTCTAAAGCCATTGAATTTGCACCTTGCTTTGGTTTATTTTATATATAGCAGACTAGTATGGGACGACCCTCGCACAATATATATGTAGATCTTAAAAATTTTTGTATTTGGGAAAAAAAAATATTTTATATTTGGCTCGATATATTTTAGAAATGTTTGAAGAATTTAGAAATATTTTATAAGTGTGATCATATAAATATTTGTATTTGGCATAAAAAGAAATTGTAATTAGTCCGATACGTTTTAAAAATGTTTAAAAATTTTAGAAATATTTTATAAGTGTTACTTCTTAAATATAAATAAATTTGATCAAATATATGTCTTGAAATAAATGCTAGACAAAATATAAAAGTATCCTAATAAGTTTAAATATTAGTAAGATAATTTATTGATGTTCTCCATTGGTTGTGCCAAATCAATACTTAATTTTGGAGATTTATAATAGCTTTGTAGTAAGCTTCTTCCAAAAGGTATACGCTTAATTTTTGGAACTAATTATTCCAAAAGTTTATAGGTAGTAAAATATAAAGAATATGATTTTGAAACGGGTTAATTGTTGAAACTGGTTGATCACAAATATGAGAATGAAAATAATGTAAATTTGCATAGGTTTTAAGTTATAGCAAAAACGAACTCATCTCACCATAGCAAACAAAAAAAAAAAAAAAGTAAAAGATAAACCATTAAAATTTGAGAAATTTAATTTTTTTTCCTGTAGGTAAAAATGATGTATAAAAATACAAATAAACATAGAAACATTATTCCTTCCCTCTCCACCTCAAATTCATAAAAGGCTTCCCCATAAATTAATTAGAAGAAGTAACCTAAACTATCTCTATGATGAAAAACTAAAAAAAGTCCAAAAACCAAATCCAAAAAAGTATATTCTTGAAAGCCCGAACACAAAAAGAAAAAAAAATACGTGCTTTATTTGCAAATAAAATACGAAAAAAAAAACCTGAAACTCTATAATTAAAAAAAACCACTCTAATTAAATGAAACATAAAAAAGAAATTTAAAAAACCACACTTTGTAACAAAAATCCAATTAATCAATTCAATCCAAACAGAACTAAAATCATACAAAAATTCTAGGCTAACTAATCATTTAAGAAATCACATCATATTACCTAACAACGGCTACGATAGCTGTAACGAATGGGTGCATAAAAATAATAGTAATAACATTATTCTTGAACAGGAAAAACAAAAAAATAGTAAAAGCCAAACAAATGATCTGTGGAAATAAAATCATTTAAATTTTAATACTTGTAATGGCACCACCACAATGGCCGAAGCAAGATCAATGAGAATTTTTTTTTTCTTTGTGTTTATATAAAGAGGTAAAAAGAATATTTTTTGAAGTTGAAATTTTATCCGGTTAGGATGTAGTTGATCATCACTAATGAAAAGATTGAACATGTTAATAGGAAAGGAGTATATTTCACCACATATTCTCAATTGATGATTGATGAGGAATTTGTTTTTTTTTTTTTTTTATTGTGGAGAAGAAATTGATTAAGGAGTCGATTGTCGTGGAGATGGGGATGATGATTTGGGATTTTTATAAACCCGTGATTTTTTTTTTTTGGCGAATATAGGAGGTGGAGGTGGATTTGGACTGCATTTGCCTTTTAGTGTAGGAGATATGTAAATAAAAATTTATTTTAAAAATATGATGTGGAAATGCCACATAACAAATGGTGGTGATTTCTCTTAAGTTTTTTTTTTGGCGAAAATAGGAGGTATAGGTGGATTTGGACTGAATTTGCCTTTTAGTGTAGGAGATATGTAAATAAAAATTTATTTTAAAAATATGATTTGGAAATGCAAATGGTGGTGCTTTCTCTTAAGTTTTTTTTTTTTTTGGCGAAAATAGGAGGTGGAGGTGGATTTGGACTGCATTTGCCTTTTAGTGTAAAAGATATGTAAATAAAAATTTATTTTAAAAATATGATGTGGAAATGTCACACGGCAGATGGTGGTACTTTCTCTTAAGTGTGGTTTTTGTTTCTAATATAGTAAGAGTTTTGAAGCTTTCTAATTGACTTTTCTATGATCATTTTGAACTCTGATTGGGCTCCAAAAAACAGGCCAATCTGAACACAATTGGGCCCGTTAAGTAGCAGCCCAACCATGCCCGAAATCACAAATTCGAATACAATTGTGGAGCTTTTTAATAAGATACAAAAAATAGAGGGTCTGTTTTGAAATTATCCAGATGAACAACAAGCAAATATGCCGTGCCTGATCCTTACCACCATACTTCTCAGAAAACACACAACCGCCTGAGCAAAAAGAGATAAACTCCGGCGAATTCTTTCCACCACCATTACCGGCGGCGTTATATTCAGTCTTTGGGTGTCACCGGGAAAAAAGTAATGGCTTGTGGGAGCACCACAGCATCTGCGACATGGAACATGTCATCACTGAAGGCGGCTCTTCCGTCGGTTCCAATTCAGGCTGCTTCTTCGGTTCATTTTTCAATTGGGTTACCTTCTCAAAGTTGCAGAAAGATCCCCACTATCAAATTGCCTGCTCCAGTTCCTGTTCAGTCATTTGTCGGACTTGCTCCTTTCAACCCTCTTCTCTCCATCTTTTCCGCAGGTATTATTATTACAACCTTTTGCCAATTTCACCAGTAGCTTTCATTGTTCTTGTCTGTTTTTTTTTTTTTCCGTTCGTTCTTTTGTTTTGCATTGTTGTTTTGTGGAGGAATTTCTTTGTTCTGCATTTTTCGAGAATGGTGCCGTGTCAAATGTTTGTTTATTTCAGTTCATCTTCAATTTGATTAGGCTGTTGTTTATTATGATTTTTTTTTTTTTGGTTGAGAGCGTTTGCTTATTTCAGTTTATCCTCAATTTGATTAGGGTGCCCTTTCAATAATTTCTTAGGGCAGATAGAATGACATTCCTGTCTTTCAATATTGTGATTTGAATTAGGAAATGCTGAGATATCATTTACCTATTTAGAGGTTGAATGTTAGTATTTCTCTTATTATGATTGGAATAAGGAAATGCTTTGATATTATTACCTATTTAGAGGGTGAATTTTAGGATTTCTGTTAGTTCAACATCTCAGGATATTTGGATTTTGGCTATATCTTCAAAGCGCAACTGTACAGCCAAAAAAAAATCTTTCGGTTAAGGATTGTACAGCAAAAAGTAGTGATTCCATTTTGTTCATTCCATCAAATATAGATTTCCTTTCACAACCTTTACAGATGTATGAAGTTCCTGTACAAGGTATTGTTGAACATCAAGTTAGTACTGAAACTACCAAGAAAAAAGCTGCAATGAGCTTTAGTGGAGGGAATGGAGATAAATCAACACAAGCATCTGTTCTCAAAAAAAAAAAAAAAAAAGAGATTCCAGATCAAATATGAGCAAAAAGGATTTATTATATCCTAGAAACAATCAGACATTATGCTGTATTGAATTTCACATGGTCATTTTCTTCTTTTGTAGTAAATTTCTTAATTATCAGATTGCAAATTCTGGTACATCGCTGTGCATATACACGGTGGAAGTTACATTTTGGTAATTTACTTCAAAAAATAAAATAACGATAAAAAAATTGGATTTTGGCATGGCCAATAGGATGACATTTGGAGACAGTTAGCAATTTGAGTAATTTAGGAGATCCAAATCTATGGATACATTTCTGATTCTGAGATGGTTGAATTTATCTGATGGATACATGTTTTCTGATTTTCATCCTCTTCACATATAGCCTTCTATTACTATGATTCAGTGCGTTTCTTTTGAGTTTCCGTATCAATTTGGCCTTCATGTGCTTTAGTCTGCTGTCAGAATTATTGAGTTAACCCTACTTTCCCTCGAAATACCATACTCCACTACACTCTTTGGGGAACACTGATAACTTGTTTCCCTTGAATTTGAAAGATTGAACTCATTTAAGAATGATCTCTTGGAACTTTGAACTGGCCTGATTGAATATGAATGTGGATGTTATGTGTAAGAAGATTATCATAAAGAACTTTGAGAAACTGGCCTAATTGGATATGAATGTGGGTAACATGTTTGAGAAGATTATTATAAGACCAGTAGGTATCATCTATCTTGGGGTTCTTAGTTCTCCAGGTTAAGCAGTCAATCTTATTATTCAGTGGACAGGAAGGAGTTTCCTTTTGGTTTTCTGCAAACTTTTAACTGTTTATGCTACAGTTTGTGAGCTACTGGAAATATTTCAATTGTTATCTGTTTGTTGGAAGTCTCTCACTCAGTCATGTATATTTTTGTTGCAGATTCATCCACTTTTGAGCACTCTTTCAACATTATCGACACTGGGGGCCGTTTCTTTGCCATGAGACATGGGAGGAAAGTTCCTAAACTGAACAGGCCTCCTGATCAGCGACGTGCTCTTCTGCGTGGTCTTACTACTCAGCTCTTGAAGTATGGGCGGATCAAGACTACTAGAGCTAGGGCTAGTGCTATGAGGAAATATGTCGACAAGATGATTACATTGGCAAAAGATGGTTCTTTGCACAAGAGAAGGCAAGCCCTTGGCTTTATTTATGAGAAGCAGATTGTCCATGCACTGTTTGCTGAAGTACCAGAAAGGTATGGGGAAAGAAATGGAGGATACACACGGATCATCAGAACGTTGCCCAGGCGAGGAGACAATGCACCTATGGCTTACATTGAGCTGGTTTAGATGCTGATTTTCAATCTAAATTGAGCCCTTTTGTTTCACTTCCTTGGAATTTTTGTAAGATCCTATGTTTTGTTAGAATCTGTGCCAACAGGTGGTAAATCTTGTTCCCCCTGATGTCCATCTATGAAATGTATAATTTGATTTCTCAAGTCCCATGAACTAAGAATTCTGAAACTTGTAATCTTGAAATTGTGGATTCAGTAACTTCTTTGTAGAGCGTGACATGAGGTACTGCAATTATGTAAGGGATATTACATAGAAAAAAATTGACAGGTGTAGTCGAGGTCAAATTAGTGGAATTAGTGAAAGAATAATTATATTAATCCTTCCGTCTCATTTTAATAGTGTACTTCGTTCAAAATGAGATAGTGACTAGTGAAAGAGTATCATATTTCAGGTGAAAATCACATCTCTACATGGGAAAAGGGTGGGAATTTAAACTTGTCATACTGCTAGTTAACTCAATTGCATAACCAATAATTTTTGCAAAAAGGGTTTTAGTTTATCAAAGTAGTGGATAAGGGGTAAACGGAATCAGGACCAGATAAGGTTGGTGGTTTACTTCTCTGCAGTCTGCACTTGTATTCGTTACTCTGTTGGCGGTATCACCAAAAAAAAAAAAAACTTCTTTTCCCCATTTCCTCTTTTTCTAACCTTTTCAATACCAATAAATTTGTTTAGAATCATCAGAAACTGAATAGTGAATACACAAAGCTGGCTTATCAACAATGTCAGCCTCACAAGCTCTGAATCTGGGCTACTTAAGTGCTTCGGTTGTGAATGTTCCGACCCAGAAATCTTTGTTGCTTCCTGGGACGATACAGTCAATTCCATCGTTGGCATCACCAAAACAGCTCCCTGGGTTGAGAACCAGTAATAACAGCTTGAGGAAAACCACATCCTTAAAGACCGCTGTTGCTGCAGCTGAATCTTCCGTTCCCACTGAAACGGTTAGTCACCTGGTGCTTTAATTGCAAAGTTCTTTCCTTTTTTGTTTTGTTTTGTTTTTTTCTTTTTTGTTTTTTTTTGGGAGATATTGAGGTTCATTTGAGTGAAAGCTGTCTAGATTACTTAATTGATAATTGAGGAAATGGTGGTGATGTTGCCTTTTTGAAACAGCAGCAAGAATCATCGAGGAAAAGATATCATTTCATCGTTGCAAATGCAAAATTCATGTTGGATGAAGAGGAGCATTTCCAGGAGCAATTGGCTGAGAGGCTTCGATTGTTTGGGGAGCGTGGGAATGAGCAGGACTTTTGGCTTGTGATTGAACCCAAGTTCTTGGACAAATTCCCTAACATTACTAAGAGACTCAAAAGACCCGCCGTGGCTTTGGTTTCCACCAATGGCCCTTGGATCACGTATGAACCCTTTATCCTAAATTTAGTGATTTTGATGATTATCTGTTCAGTTGCAGTTGTTCTGTCCCGAAATGCATTATGTCTATAGAGAATGATTGAACAAAGTAATCTCATTGCATGAATTCAATTTTTCTCATTAAAGTAATGCCTCAATAGTCACCAGCTTAACTAGTTTCAGGCTTTCAGCACACAGCCTTGACACCAAAGTCCTTTTGAGTGTGTTGCCGTGCATTCATTTTTTTAGATGTAGTCGTTCTATGCTAGAGCACAACAAATGAAAGTGATTCCTTTGTAGCGGATGTTATGACAAATGTATTGTGAATCACATTCTAGCTGATTAAGGGGTTTTGCGCCTATGTAAACTTACAGAGTTATTGGTTCTGAACAGGTTTATGAAACTAAGACTCGACCGTGTTTTACAAGAAAGTTTTGAAGCCGACAGTCTTGAGGAGGCTTTGGCATCTACTCCTGTAACTCTAGAGTTTGAGAAGCCAGAGAGATGGGTCGCACCATATCCGAAGTATGAGTATGGTTGGTGGGAACCCTTCTTGCCCCCTGGATCCAAAACAGCTTCAGTATGAGAACCTCAGTCTAGCACTTTGAAAAATTTTCAGACTGCAGGTTTAAGGAGCAGTTGATTAGAATGCCTGCTTTATCTTTAGAATAGTTTGAAGAATGTGTGCTAAATCTGAAGTGTATGAATGTTATGAGGCAAACCTAGATGTGCATTTGTTGCGCTGCAGAGGCTTAGTTAAGATAGACAGTAATTTGTCTATGTTTCTTACAATGTTAAGTAGTGTGTACATTTACTTCCTCTGTTATATGAATATCCTTTGAGATTGTTGTACAGGAGCCTTCCTGAAGCTGACTTAAAGATTAAACTGGTTTCTGGTACTTTGTTCTGCATAATGTTCGCCATAATACAATCTGATGTCAATGATGCTGCTAACTTTTTGCCTGTTCTTTTTAGCTGTTGTATCTGTCAAAGAGGTAAAATGCCCTTGGCTCTTTTGAAAACCATCACGAATTTTTTTAACTTTCGCTATCAGTTGATTTGGTGAAATTGTTTAGGGCAGCGTACCAGTGAATTTAAGTAGTCAAATAACAGAAAGTACGTCAGTAGCAGCATGTCATCTGTATTCATCTATACCCCCCCCAAAAACAAAAAGATAAGATAAATCTCATATGCAAGCAAAAACTGTATCAACAGGTAGATAAAGATCCATAATTTAAGGACTGAAGAACTAGCTAAGCGATGATTCTGTCCGAGACCAAATACTCCTGACTAGAGTAACACAAAATAGAGGAAGAAAATCCTCCTAAAGCAAGACAGAACTCCCTTGTACCGCAAAAATGCTGCATCTCATTAACTCTGTTTGGGGGCAATATTCGGGAGTTTCTGAAGCACCTTTTCATCTAGCAAGCTGTATTGCTTCTTGAGTTTTACAGTTGCCTGCTGTGCATATGCATCCACTCGATCTTCATGTTTCTCGTACAGCAAAGGTACCGTCAACATTGCCACACACACTGTCCAATGAAGAACACCAGTTGTCAGAAAGGAAACATCAGATTACCTGTATTGTTGGGAGGATAGTAGAGATACCAAGAATCTGTTGAAATCTGAAGTTAAGGACTGACAAACTCACCCATGTATACAAGCGTCAAGAAATCGAACCAACTGCCAACTTTTGAAACAATCCATAATATCAACATTCCCTGCATTCGAGTAGAGATTTCTGTTAAAACCAGACCAAGTTCCCATTGCAAAAAAATACTATAAATAGAGCTCAAAAAATTGGGAAAGACATACACCAAGAAACTTCTTCAGATCCCTTCCTGATGCCACTTCTCGGAAGAAGTTGAATGCCTGGTTAAATCGATCCATCAACAAGAGCGCAAGCCCTGTGCAAAGGCCCTCCGGCAGTACAATCTCAGGGAAGTCCAAAGGAGACCTGACGAATGAACACACAGAACAATGAGACGTCATACTTAAAGGAGGATGAAGAAAATTAGCCAAAACTAACACAACATTGGCATTGCACTTTCAAAGAGGATGTTCAAATGAACACGTAATAGGAAATTGTGCGAAAACTTAAAAAGACCCGAAAAACTACAATATTACATGAGGTGAGAATGTGACTAGCCTGTTAAAGAAGAAGGAGACATTAGACCATAGGAACAACAATGCCAGCAAAAGTATTAGAGCGTGGCACACAAACGTAAGCAAATGATAGCCAATCCGCTCGAATAAAAGCCAGATGACAGTCGCAGCGGCTAACATGCTAGCTGATACTTGCTTGTTCCTCCAAAGCATAATGTCAGCAGCTGCATAACAAAGAAATCCAAGTGATCAGAATGCCATTTTCAGATCTAAATCTTAACTACTGCAAACTGGTCGAAAGCATTTCACGAAACATCATCTTCCCTTTAAACTATGCTTGCCAAAAACAAAATCCAATCCATCAAAGGATCAAATGCTTACATGATTCCAACATCTAATATAGTAGGCACATAACACAAAGGGTTCAAAATTTTCATTAGGCTACCAAAGAAAGGGAAAAACAAAGAAGAGTTTTGAATGAACAGCACCAGTTGAGGACTAAAACTAAAAGATGCATGGGAGATTCATACGTTTACCACCACCAAGAGCGCTGTGAACCGGTTTCTGGCGGCCGAAGAGATGAAACTTGTCGGAGTGTTTGTGCTTCTTGTCACCATCGCTATCATCAGAAGAGGAGTCGTGGCCGCGGTCACGATGCTCGAGAGAACCTGTACCATTCCCCACTGGACTGGACATTTTCTCCTGCTGTCAATCCAAAAAAGTTTTAAAACAACATTGTTAATTCTAACTCTTACAGACATTACAATAATGACAAATGTACAAGTTAACATTTTTATTGCATCAAGACAGGAACTACGTACCGGTAGATTAAGCGAGCTTAATAGTTTGTTCACTTTGTTTGTAAATGATGAATTTGATTCTTCTTCCCAAGAGTCAAGATCAATTTTTGTTTGTAGTTTGTGTCCTTGTCTCTCTTTCTTTGTTTATTTCATTCCTTATGGCCAGCAAAGTCGGTTACGAGGTGTTACTGAATTATTCAAAGGGCTTAACAAACTAAGAGCAAAAAAATGGTACCAATAGTCGCACGTAACAAAATTCCTAATCTTAAGGAATGAGGAAGGCAAAAAAAAAAAAAATTTACTACAAATCAACATAACGTTTCATTCGTTTCAAATCTTAACAAAGAATATTACACAACTGAATAAATAACATCACGCTTCATTCGTTTCAAATCTTCATTAATACTCCCTCCGTCCCATAATTATTGTCCAGTTTGAGTTTTCATTTTTAGTTTATATTATATTAAAAGTGAGATCTCAAACTGAACAATAATTTTGGGACAGAAGGAGTATAAAAATGTTTGTCTTCCTATATATGAGTTTCTTACATTATCTCAATTTCAATTCATTGAAGTGTCTGTTGGTTTGGTACTTTCTTTGGGAGAATCAATGTAAAAGTTTAAATCACTTAAACAACTACTAGTAGTACATTTGAGGAGGATATGTTATCCCTAGACCCCTAATCAATCTTGAAGTGGGTGATAGACGAAAATCTAGAAGTTCATTGATCGATCTTAGTTATTGGGATTTTGATAAGAATTTACCAAGTACTGCTGGTTGACCAGGGAGCCCGAATTAGGTAATGGATGAAATTTACCCAGTGTACTTCAGTACTAATAATATATAGTAGTGGTTTCGGCTCCAAAACAAATGAATTAGGTTCTAAACCACGTTTTCTTACATCAATTTTCCAAGCAATTACGGTCGCTTTTTTTTTTTTTTTACCATGATGAAATGAGTATCTTTTCAGAATGAAATTTATTTCATTCTACTGGATAATTAAATAATACGTAACACTTTTTTCTGGTACAAATAGGTAACACTTTTAAGAGTGCGTATATTTAACCTTTTTTTTTTCTTGAAGGGTAAATAAATGGAATAAATACTTTCAAATCAAACTAAATTCTCCCATATAAGTTGAGACATGATATTATAGGGTGTTTTTATTCCCGATTTACAAAATCTTTACTGAGATTTGAGATTTTGCATTCTAATTTCATCCAAAAAATAATAATATATCTCAATCAAAACATGAGGTTGTTTCCCTTTGAAACTTTCATTAGTAAGGTTACATTGCACCCTAAGGCTCTGTTTGATAATCACTTAATATAGTGATTTAATTTATTTAAGTACTTAATGAAATTAAGTGTGTTTGATAATCGTTACTAAAAAGTCTTAATAAATTAAGTTTTGAACTAATTAAGTACTTATAAATTAAGTGCGTTTGATAACTAAAATTTCACTGTCTGAATTAATTAAGTGTGTCTGAATGGGCAGTTCAATTGTGAGCCAGTTAATAAATGATATGCCTACTACTTATCACTTATCACTTAATTTCTGTAATGACTCTTTTTTTTTCTTTTTTTCCCTTTTTTACCCTCGTCTTTATTTCGTCACTTATTTTTATATTGTTTTAAAATTTTTATTTTCTTAAGATAAATTAATTAAGAGTGCTTAAAGTTGAATTTATAGTATGAGTATAAAAGATCTCAAACTCAAATTAAACTAATTTTAATACATAAAATTTGCTAGTAACAAGGTATACATATATATGTAATAATCTAAATTTAATTATATATTGATTATTTACCAAGTATAATATCTTCTTTCATTATATATACCAAAAACTTATTTTAAAATTATTATGTTATTATGTAGAACAAAATATTAGTTATTTTTTATTTAAAAGAATTTTGTTTATAATTCAATTTTAATGATATTAAAATTTTAAATAACTTTCAGAACTGAGTATTCAGATTCAGTCTTCAGACTTCAATTCAGTCTTCAGACATCAAATTCAGACGTTTTTATCAAACAATGTAAATTCAGTCTTCAGACTTCAGTTAAGTGTTCATGTTCAGATTTCAGTGATTATCAAACGGAGCCTTAAGTCAATTTATGAAACAAAAATATCATCACGTGGGAAAACAAAATTTTATTTGCAAAAAGAATTTGGACAAAGCTAATGACATATCGACTTTTATCATTTACTCATTGTTTTATTGATTTTACACAATCAATTTTATATGTAACAAATTCGAAAAGAAATACATCTTTAAAAAAAAGAAAGAAATCTTATAGTTTGTAGTACGTTTACAACTTCTTGACGAGCAAATTGAGTCCATTCCCTGGTTCAATAACCAAATTCAACGCGGGAGAGTGCTTGTACTTGGGAGAAATGGACAATGAGAAGTTAGCCAAAATCAGAGAAATCAAGATCTTGAGCTCAGCCATGGCGAGATTCTGGCCAAGGCAAACCCTCGGGCCGACGCCAAACGGCATGTACAAATGCGGTATCTTGCAAGCTCCGGTGATCCCATTGGCAAACCTCTCCGGATTAAACTTGTAAGAATCCGGCCCCCAGTTTTCAGGATCAGTGTGCAACGATGTTACCGTTGTCCAAATGTTAACTCCCTTGGGTATTTTTATGTCACCAAATTTCAGGTCTTTTAAAGCTTCCCTTGATATGATGGATACCGGAGGGTAGAGTCGTAGTGATTCGTTGATTGCCATTGTTAGCTGAAAAAAATGGAAATCATTAAGTCAAATGTTTAGAGTCATACGTTGAATAATCAGTAAATATCTTTCGTCACACTTTTGTATTATATTTTCTGAAGACGTAATAAAATGTATCTTTTCTACTATCTATAAGTTTTGAATATGTAAAAAAAAAAAAGTACCTGTTTCATTTTACGGATCATGTCAGAATCGGGGATTTGGCCCTTGCAAATATCAACAACCTCGGATCTGATCCGTTCTTGCCACTCAGGATTGGCAGCCAAGAGCATAAGACACCAGGCGGCAGAAACAGCGGTTGTTTCGTAGCCAGCCAAATAAATGTTCTTGCAATTGTCCACGATGAACCGGTCCATTTCATCCTTGCTGAAGTCACTCTTTTTGGCTCCTTCAATGACCATTTGTAACAAATCTTTTTCACATCCACCGGCTTGACTAGTCCTCTCCTTCACTACTTGTAAAATCAGATTCTTCACCTCCTTCTCTAACGCCCATGTCTCCCTGTTATTCTGTGTTGGAAGATGCCTGCGGTCCAAAATTTCGAGACAGAATTTTTAATAATCTAATCGTTATTACATTTTTACAATGACGTTTTTTTTTTTCTAAAAAAAAAATTACCGTAAAAATATTTTATTAATTTTACCTCATTCCAGGGATGCCGGTTGCGAGAACTCTCCTTGAAGAAGCTTCTTGGAGGGCTCTAAGCTTCAAGAAGATCTCCTCCCCTTTGGCATAGCTACTACCAAAGCATGCTCTTGAGATCACATCACCGGAAAAGCTTCGCATTTGCGGGTCAATTTCAATGTCCGCAACTCCACTCACACCGGCCTCATCAATTATATTCTTCCATGTGTTTATCATTGTCATTGTGGACTCTTGAACTAGAGTAATCATCCCCTGCAAATAACATTCAAATCCCACATCAATTACAGTAAATATTCACTGTTTTTTTTTTTTTATAATCAAACAATGTAATGACTAAAAGGGGTGACAATTTGCATAGAAGGAAATCTCAAGGTCGAAGTAATTATTATTCTTCATACACGACCAAACGGCATGTATAATTGTTTCAAGTACACGCCCAATCAATAAATGCTTGTGGATTTTTGTTCAGTGATTATATTAGTACTGTCTCATGGAAACATGAGAGGAATCAACAGATAAATTTTTGGATTTTTTTTTTTTTTTTCCTTCTGCTTGTTTTACCTTGACTTTCTCCATGTACAATTCAGGAGCAAGGATCTTCCTCTGATGAGCCCAAACAGCACCATTTGAAGTCAGAATTCCCTGTCCCAGCAAAGACCCTCTTTCCTTAGCTTGATATGTTGGTTTCCCCAAATCCAAAGAAGTGCATGTGGTTATCTCCTTCACCATATCAGGTTGTGTTACTGACAAAATCTGTGTGTTCCCAAGTGAAAACATAAACACTTCACCTGCAAAAAAAATTTACACAAGCCCAGAATACGATCATTATTAGTCCATAAAATCGACCAAGATCACTTTTTTTTAGTAAGGAAAAAAACAGAGGAATATAATCGTACCGAATTGTTTCCTCCATTTCTCGAGGAACGGAAGGAGAAGCGACCCGCAATCATGGGAAACAGGGGCGGCGCCGTCGGAGAACAATGAAGAACCTTTGGCGGCGGCGACGGCTTCATCTCTGCTCTGTTTGATCTGCAAAATGTTGCCCAGAAGCAAACTGGGCTTGGGTCCACTCACTCCTTGCTTTCTCAGTGCGGATCTAAGCCTATTGGGTTTCGCCACCAGTGAATCGTACAGCCGAAACAAAAATCCCACAAAACAGATTACTCCAATTGTTATCAACCCTTCAGAAACACTCAAATTCAACTCCATTTTTCTCTTCTTTTCTTGGCCTCTTTTGTTTTTTCAAATTCAGCCACTGGTTCAGAGCTTAATTGAAAATTTGATTTCTTTAGTAGTTCGAATTGCCAACTTGCTTGATCTTGTGGGTTTATATAGAGGAAGAAAAAGAAGAACACAGAGCATGGGTTTTTGTGGGATTTGTGGACTTATTATTATTCTTCGGTGTTGGATTTAGAAGGAAAAAATGGATTGCGAAGAGTGCGTCAACTTTGTGACGCAAATTGAAGTTTTCTTTATTATAATATGGCCAACCAAATAAGAAATTCATACGTAATAATTAAAAAAAGAAAGAAAGTAGGATATCACAAAAATTAAAAAAATAATAATAAAAAAAGGTAGTACGAAAAAACAGAAGATTATGACATATTACGAGTGTTGAAGAATGGAGTCAAATATTGCAGTACGAGGATAAATTAAATTGTTTCGTCCAAAATGGTCACCGATATAGGGTTATAATCGACTTTTGTTGTATTGGAGTTGGGGACCGGGGTTAAACGATACAAAAAATACGGTATGTGTCTAGATATGATTGAGGATACAGAGAGTACTAAAAATGATAATTCAAAATAAATAATTATTTTAGAATTGAGAAAATACAATTTATATTAAAAATTAAAATTCAAACTGAATAATATTATAAGGTAGAAATACAAACATAATAATGAAAAAAGAACGTAGGTCATTTGGACACATTGAATATCATGACTGTTATATAAAAAACTATAATCGATTTGAACTGAGTTTCACTGTTGTTGTTATTAAAATAAGCTTAACATAAAAATAATAAATTCATAACGTGAAATTATTCAATGATTAATCATGTCTAAGTGATAAGAAAAGGTCTTCTTCTTCTTCCCCTTTCTTGTGTATCATGAGTGTTTGTTTTGATCGATTATTCACACTAGGAATTCAAGTAGTTCAAATATGTATACCATTAATACAGAATACAGACTAATTAAAAGAAATTAAAAAAAAAAGAAGTTACTAGGTACCATCTCCGTTCCAAAAAAAATAGTCCACATTGAGTTTTGAGATTTGTACTAATTTTAGTACAAATTTGAAAACTCAATGTGAACTATTTTTCTAGAATAGAGCCAGTATAATATACTCCAATCTGTTGCTTTATTTCCATGCAGATCACGTTGAATTAATCAAATAATATAATTTTTTTGCATATGCATAATCTGACCAAGCAGAAAATGCACAGTCAATGTCGTTCAGCTCTCAGTTTCAGAACTTCTGGAACCACTTCCTATGTATATTCAAATTACAAAATCAATTCTTCAAGACTTGTAGCACGTTACGAAAATCTGAGGGGACAAAAAAAAATAAAAATCAAAGTATTTGAATTAATTAATTAATTAAAATGCACAAACATTATCTTGTAATTGTTTTTCCCTCCCTTTTCTATTTTTATTAGTACACAAAAATCAACTAGTGTTGGCTCAACAACATGATGGGCAGGGGAAGAAGCTACTACTATAATTAGATGATTGTCTATGAGACCTTTTTGTTTTTCCTTTTTTCTTTGCCGGCCGGTTTGGACAATTATGATTAGGGAGTGCTAAAAATTCTGGATCATTTAATTTAGTTCCCACGGTTTTTTTTTTTTTTTTAACAACTTTTACATTTTGGTCGATTGTCCCAACCGTTAACGTTGTACTCTATATGGGTTGGTGGCCAGTAAAGAGTTCCGGCCGTAGAAGGATCTACTTAAAAAAAAAGCCAAAATCACCTTAATTATTCCGTGTTTGGTTTGTTCTTTCTGCGTTCAAAATTAAATTTTATTCACAAACAAAACAAAAGATCCCAATTTATTATCCTTTAATTAGGGTTTACTCATGTATGTAATTTTTGTTTTTCATGATTTGGGTTTGGAGTGACATATGAATCTGGGCTCTCTGGCCATGGTTGTTTTCCGTGTAGATCCTTTTAGGATGAGATTTTTTTTTTCCCCTTTAATGTTCTGGATTTGCATACAATCAAGAATCTGGTCATGATACAGTAAATTAAGTGTTTTATTTAAAATAAGTAAAATCAAAATTTCAAAAATCAGACTACATTAATTACGGATTTTGAAAATATTAATTAGTTAATGTTTTTTTAAAAATTTAAAACTAACTCATTATAATTAGTGGATTTCGAAAATATTAAGTAGTTAGTGTATATTTTAAGGGCTAGAATATAAATTTGCTAGGTGAGTTTTTGACATTTTAAAAAAATTGACATGTGGGCTCTTGCTCTATATGGCACTCTATGAGTAATTAATCTTTAAATTCTCTTTATGGTATTCTTCTATCTAATAACTATATAAAACTTTCTATGTCTAAAAAAATTGTTCATTTTGGATTTTTAAATGTATACTCCTTCCGTCTCATAATTATTGTCCAGTTTGGGTTTTCATTTCTAGTTCAAATTGTGCTAAAAGTGAAATTTCAAAATGGACAATAATTTTGGGACAGAGGGAGTATTTTTTATTACAAATTTAATACTCAAATTAAATTATATATTTGGACAAATTTGTTCTTTTTTTTTTTTTATTTCTGTCTAAAACTTTCTCTTTATAATATACTTGCATGTGCAGAAAGAAAGAAAGAAAAGAAAAGAAAAAGAACCAGAAATGTGTTGAAATGCAGAAGTGGTATTAAAACGGTGTGAAAAGAATTTGGGCCTACCGGACTGGTTTTGAATTAATTAATATGGTATTAAGTGCTTCTGTTTTGAATGACGAATTAACAAAGCCATATGGTTCTTTCTCACTTTCTGGTGGTGGTTAAACTGACATTTTTTTGTGGCCTTTAGGTGGAATCCTGATCAACTAACTAATTACACAATAATAATCATAAAATATTGACGTGAACATAATTGGCATTTACTTCCTTCGTTCACAAATAAATGTCGCTGGAGAAATTTTACAAAATTTAAGGAGGTAATAATTATCTTGTTAAAATACTATAATACCTTTATTTATTCTTAATTCAATTGTAGTCCCAATAAAATTCAATTCTAATACAATTCTATATTAAACATCATTACAATTTCAAATGTAAGGGTAATATTGGAAAAAAATTGACAAAATATGCCTCGATTTGTAAGATCGACATCTATTTTGAAATATCTGGTTTTTCCTCCTACCACATTTATTTGTGAATGGAGGGAGTACCTACATTGCTTTGCAAACTACTACTACTAACTTTTTTTCCGTTTTAACACCAATAGGAAGTATTCTGTAAATTGTTTTCTATATTCAACTTTTTGACCTGTATAAACTACTACAAATAACTTTGCATTTTTACGTTTGGTGGTCACAGTTAAAATAAATTTGGTTAAACGTATACTATCCGATCATCAATAATCATTTCTTTGTTGAAAAGTAGGATTATGATACCTTAACTCCATGGGGAAAAAATTCAACAATATAATATATATAGTGTTGTCCATCCAATCACACTTCCTGCCATTGTAATTGTTAAATTTGAGGGTATCGATGAAATTACGTATTTACTTTTCATCTCCCAGTCCTATCTAGTATAAGACTATAACGAATTAACATCCAAGTTGACTGGGCTAAAGAATTTTTTCAGTGTTTCCACAACTTTTCATACTCCATCCGAAGAAGACCCAGAGATTACTGTCCGAAATGGAATAAGCCACCACTGAAATGAAAGTGAGTTGGTGTATTGCCGTATTCACACTCTTTCATTATTTTCATGCAAAACTGTCATATTAACTATTAACCATATGACAGAAAATTCATATACCATAATATTGGTGACTATCTTTTATGGGAAAAAAAATGAATCATGATTTCTAATAGTTATTGGTTTTAATAAATCGTGTTGAAAGAGCAGTGATGTATTAGGGTATAAACTAAAGAAAATATAATACTTAAACTTCATTGTGAACTATTTTGTTGAACGGAATGAGTAATTAATGAGAGAGACTATAATAAAGTCGACTGAAAGATAGGATGAAGAAGAACAACGTTGGGGCATTAGATTGGAAAAATGTGTTTACAAATTTAAAAACCCAATTGCACAAAAAAGTTATGTGCTATACTTTGCAAAAAAGGAGGCACCAAAAAAAAAAAAAAGACTAAACAATTATAGACCCGAAGACTATAAAACAAAAAGAAAAAGATATACAATTAATTATAGAATAGTGAAAATGTTCAGTAAAATAGTTCTGTGTTTTTTAGGCGTGTTTAAATGTGTTAGTGTGCAATTTTAATAGATATTTTTACTATCAATTTCCTTATATCAAATAAAACGCGTCTGTTTTATTCATGAATTTTGGGATGAGAAACACAGAACTATAGAAGAATTAGTCTTTTTAGTAGATTTTGTGAAGGGTCAAAAAAGTGGGAAAAATTGCCGCGCTTGAACGGTTAAAACCAACTTTGGAGGACTAATTAATTTCCAGTCTCGAGCCTGTGTTGAATGTTGAAAAACTTGAAATTCTCTCTTCGCCCCGTGAAATAATTAATTAAGCAGGCTTAAGAACTTGAGTTTTGGCTACCCACCGAATAGCAATCACTAAGTCAAAACGAAAAATGTAAGACCAAAGTAGTCAAAATGGTAGATATTTTAACATTGTCAAGCGTTTTTTGCCTGCTAACTTCATAGTAATCAGATTTTTTTTTCTTAATTCATGATTTTTCGATTTTAAAGTGATTACCGTGTTTGAAGATAGAAGGACTAATAACTTATAACATTATTTCATTAAACAACAATGATAAAGACAGTGAAAAATTATAGTGAAAACTAATGGTGACTGATGTGTCTTTGCTAATTGAAGGTATAAGTGTAATGTTTTAAGAAAAAGATATAATTTTTACGGACAAGTGACTACAAAATAGGGGACCAATCAGTCACTATTTATTTTTTATTATATATAGTCACTATATATACTTATTATTTTCCTTCATTAAAATGGGAAAATAAAAAGGAACACGTTTTACGTTATCCTTTTACACTTTTTTTGTGAACTTATGAACTGAAAGAAGAAAATGATAGATTCTCTAAAGTCATGAATCACATTTTTGTTTTGTCAAGTCAATCAAAATTGGGGGTGCCAGGTGCCTATTGGCGCTCACGAACGACGAATTCCAAATTTCCAAATCATTCTTGTTGTCTTCAAATTATATTTTTTTAATTAATTTATTTTTTTTGTTTACTTTTTGGAAGTTGTGTCGTTTTCAATTTGTTTGGACGACCAGGATGATGACCCTTTACTCGGTCCACACTCCATATTTCGAGCTTTATTTGATGACCTTGAATTCTCTCACACCCCTCTTTGTTACTAGAATCTTTTAGATTCCACCCTTGAAATTAAGGGTTGCCCTTTATGTTTAAGAATTATCAAGCCGTTTTGTTTTCTCTTCTATTTGGATGCTCTGCGTCGCAACTTACATTCCGTAACATTTTATGATTAGGGATGAGAATCAAATGACATTTTCGTGGTTACGTTGTTTGATTTCGAGAATTTTCTTTATCATAATCATAATTGTTTAAATGACAGTACATATTTATAGTATTTGAAAAAAGTCTCAAATAATAAAAATTATCATTTTGTCATTAATCGCGAAATCAACAAACTACAAATATTAGTTGTTGGAAAGCCATGTAATTTTGCATTTTATTTTAATTTTTTTATAGTTTCAAAACTAAAAGTATCAAGTTAGTTCATAATTTGCATGAGATATGTATTTGGTGATAGTTTGGTGAAATATAGAAACAATTAAATGAAGGTTGAAGGTGACCGAGAGTGGGCATCTTGTGATTGTCGTAGACATTCATGGGAGATAAGGTGTCATCTGTACCATAATGTGTTCCCCACCAAAAATAAAGAACCAATTATTGGAGTGTGAAAATCAGAAAATGCTTGTAATTGTTGTCGAATTTCCAGTTCAAATTCACCAACCATGAAACTTGCCTTCTGCAAATTTTAAGACGCCTAATATTATTGTGACCGTCATCTCAATCAGTTTCAAGAATGTTTTTTGATACTCTATTATATCGTCTCAAAATAACTTTTCCCATGAATCATATCTGTAGGATATGTATTACTTCTCCAAAACACGATTTCTTATAACATTGCCCTTTTGGTTTAGTGAGTTTTAGTTACATTTTCGTCCATTATGGGAAGATTAGGGGGTTCTGTTAAAGGAGTAAATTATGGACCGAATATCAAGGGAAAATGTAATTAATATTCAATCACTCATGTTCCCACCAAAATGTAATGAGTATTAAAAGAGAGGATTTCGTATGATATCTTGTCCATACATACTTGCACACAAAATTTGATTCCATTCCACGACATATTTATAAAGTAACCCTATATATATTGTAGACATAGTTTGACTAAAAAATTTCACTGGCTGGACAATTTTATGTGTTACCAAATTACAAATACATGTGTATAATGCTGTAGACTATACAGATATAAGAAAAAACACAGAACAACGCAACATCATTCGTCAGTTTTTATGTCGCGGTAGAGTATGACACAGTGAGCGCGGAAGTTCAGCGAAAATCTGTTTTTTGTGAAAAGCAGTTGCATTACAAAGAGGTGTGTTTAGGATGCTTTAATTTGCTGATTGCCTTCACCAATTTATGATTGGAAGAATCTTGTTTGCTGTAAATAAGTCAAGGTGAAAAGCTTTAAACTGTTTCTAGTCATAGAAGAATTTTGGAAGACTCTGTGTGTGCATCAATACATTAAATTTGGCTAATGCCATGTGATAGTTTTATCTAGTATACCCCTTCGTGTCATAATTATTGTCCAGTTTGGGTTTTTATTTTTAGTTCAAATTTTACTAAAATTTAAATCTCAAACTGGATAATGATTTTGTAACAGAGGGAGTAGCTGATAGAATGATCGCCCGGCCGCTGGATCTCTTGACTCTTCCTTTTGCTATTAGGATCAAACACGCACTACACTGTCTCGGTTTATCATTCCTAGCTCTTCAGGATTAAATTTCAGCTGCCAAAGACTTTCTAGAGCCAACTTGTTTTGGAAATGTTTATAAGAACACAATTGTGCGCAAGCTCGAGTCGGCCCCTCAAGCCAATTGACGGGGAATGGCTCCTAAAGGGGTGCTATTTATGGCATTGGTGGTAGATCTGAGAGTGTAGTGGTTTTCAGCCGTTCAACATGTCTCTTCAACGAATGTGGAAAGAGGATTCAATCAGGAATGAAAACAATCAAAGGAGGAAGTATTAAATCTAGGTATCCGCTAGCTATTTGAATGGCTGGTGTCTGCGTGATGTTTTTAATGCAGTTTCTTGAGAATAAAGTAGCTGCGAAACTTATACATTCAGAATTTGTGAAGCACAAGCCGCTTCTGTACCAATGAGAAATTGGTAGGTTCGTTCTTCAACGGTTTTACAGGCTTGTCAAAGAACTATCGAGATGCTTGTGGGGGCAGTATGCACCTTCGGTTGGATGCTAAAAGTGGAGCTTCTTTCCATCTTCTTGAAGCTTCAACAGTGACAGTGGAAAAAACAATAAGCACTGTATACAAGTTTATGCAGCAGTCTCCTGTACTTGTATTTGTATTTGTATGGGTGATGCTGAATGCAAGAAAACTAGTTTGACTGGAAGGGATAATATATGCAAGAACCAAGAAGCGACAAGTCTGTGCCCGAGATGCGGCTGGATGCGAATTAATTTCAAGGAGTTTGCAGTGGTCCGGAAGATTGGGAGGGTTATGTTTCCTATTACCAATCATCATACTTTAGTACTAATTGTGTAATACTAACCTATTTTCTTTTCCTTGACCTATTTGCTGTTGGTCATACTTCTCGGAACAAATATTGTATCACATGGTTTGACATGACGAACTGATGATATTAGAAGAATCTCCTAAATATATTTATTTAGTTTTGACCTTGTTTCAGAATCCATATGAAATTGATTCCCTATCAAGCAAGGCAATCTCCAAACGATTAAAAAAACATGTCAACATGCATTTCCGTTTTCACAACCAAAAAAAAAACACAGAATTTCCGACACAAGGTCACATGCATTTCCGAGGCTGTCCATATATAATTGTATAAACATCGTTCTACCGCATAATTAGTAGTACTCGTGATGTTGAGCACTGAGAAAGGTTCTACTGCATAATTAGTAGCACTATTGAGTCCTGAGAAAGGTTCTACTGCATCAAAAGATCCAACAAAAAAGGCTTACAAAATCTTAAACAAAGTCTTCAACATCTTTAAACACACCAAGTCTTCAAAAGTCACATTTCTTCATTGCCTAGACCACTGTATTCTTCAATAATCAACTGGAGGATGAGCCGTAGGATGAGCCGGAGGGTGAGCCGGAGGATGAGCCTGGAGGATGTAGGGTAGGCAACAGTGGAGGATTCAGACCAATACGAAGATTCAGTTCTTCAATGTCTTCCATCTCAAAAACATGAGCTGTTGCCTCTGAATCAAGGACCTTCACTAGAAATTATCAAAGAGAAGAGATGTATGAGTAACAAATCCTAAAAGCCACAAACCAACAACAAAAAGAATATACATATATACATAATAGCTATACCGCATAAGAATCCACCAGTTGTTTGTTCATAAGTTGATGCTATGCAGATTGAAAGACGACACAAATTGCAAGCATACAGATCGGTCATCTCTGCTTGATAACTGAGGAAGGAAAATAAAACAGAATTATTACAATACATTCCAAATTATATATAGCAACAAAAGTTCTAATTAAGGACAATAAAACAGAATTATTACAACACATCCATCCCCGATTATATGACACATTCCAGATTAAATAAAGCACCTAACGTTTTGATGCCAGCATAGCATCATATTAAAGCATTATAACAAGTCTCTTTAGAAGTAAAATATTACAGGTGCTCTACAACTTGAGTAACACCACGGCAGCCTATACAGCAATATTCATCAACTTCTGAGATTCTCCCCAAACCGTCAATGTGGAAAATATGACTTCCCTACAGGAAAAAAAAAATATATATATATATATAAATATATAGATAGAGTGCAATATGCAACTGCCTTTCACAAAAATAACCAAAAAAAATACAGAAAGAATAACCATTCTATACATCATAGATCACCCAAAAAAAAACACTTACTTCCTCGTCGAATCCGGCAACCACTGATTCAATAACATTGAGCCCTTGAGTTTGACGAACTGCCAAGTAGTCTAACACACCCTGTATGGTGGTTATATAGTTAATTGCGAGTTCAAATTCTAGAGCCGATCCAATTTCAGTTTTACCAGAATAAGCGAACACAACATGAGGACCCACAGCGGTGATTTTTTCACAGTCATCACGGTTTACAATCAATTAAACAATAAAAATTATTAAATAAATGACAGGAGCCAAAGAAAACTTCCAAAAGTAGCATTAAACAACACTGACCAATTTCATTTTCTTCCACATTAAATTGCCTTCCATCACCACCAACAACTATTTTGGGGGTACCATCTTGTTTGTACTTCATAACAGTAATAGTAGTCTTTGAACATACCCTGTGAATAACTAGAGATTAAATATTACAGTAGAAGAACAAAGTTGACCCATGAAAACCTAATTATTTTGTCAAAAGATTCAAACTTTTTATAATTTCTGATTGCTGGAGAAAGCACAACAAAATCAACCACCGTCCAAAAACATTAATTACCGAAATCATTGTTTTTAATCAAACGGAAATTCCAAAACCCAGATGAGTATTTAGCACCAAAGAACTGGAGCAAAGCATCACCGAATAAACCATTGGGAATAAATCAGACATTTTCTAGCTTAATTTGTGGGGGAAAGTAGGATTTGAAAAACAGTGTTTAGAGCAATCAACAAAAAAAGAAAAGAAAAAAATACAATTAAACATAGAAGGAAGGAAAGAACAAGAGCTCACCCCACTGCCATTGAAGAGCAGTTGACAAGACAATGCCAAAAAACAGAGCAAATTTAGGGTTTAGCAGTGGCTTAGATGAAAAAGGCGTGTCCCATATCGTTTATATATACGGGAAGACTTAAAAGCCAAATTCTAGTTGGAAAAATAGCCCAGAATATTGGGTGTGAATACCAACGGGTTATTTTTTTAGTGTAAGAGATTGTTTGGAAATTAGGCATTTGATTCCGGATGATACATACCGATCTCACAAACCAAATTAAATTTTGATGAAATGAAGAGATAAGAACCTGATACCGATCTCACAAACCAAATTAAATTTTGATGAAATGAAGAAGAGATAAGAACCAGATATAATCAGGGAGAAAAACCAACAAGACTCCATACAAATCAAATTAAATTGTTAAATGAATAAACAAAAATCAAATACTCCCAAAATAATTGTCTCAATTTGTAGTTTGAATTTTTATCTTTATTTTTGTAACACAATTTGACCTATAAAATCGACAGAGTAACCATGGTACATAAAATTTATATCAAACTTATGAACCATGGTACATAAAATTTATAAAATCGACAAAGTAAAATATATTGAAACGATAAGTAAACAATTTATATCAAACTCGTTACCCCAACCAAACAAATCCAACTTCACCAATCCATACACACAAAAACATCACAAACATCCCAAAGAAACAACCATCGCTCTAATTAAACTGATGCCTTCACCAGTCACCAATTAACACAAACAAGAACTCACGAATATCGTGCAAATCCTCCATCAAACCTCTCCTCCATCTCGAGAGACTCAAAAGTCATCGGCCACGAGGGAGGATACCATTGTTTAACTCCATTATGGACTCTCCATGAGGTCTAATCAACAGAAGCAAAGATTTGGAGATTGATATGAAGGTCTCCATGATATCTGAGCAACATAAAGCGAAGATTTGGAGATTGAGATGAACAAGAAGAGAGGGGAGGGAGAGAGAGGAATTACGGCTTAGCCTTCTTACCTATTTATAGCAAAAAACTGGCAGAAAAAGCAACGGTTAACGGTTAAGATTGCTTATCAAAATATCAATGGCTAAGATCGCTAACTTCTAAATATAAGTACGCTTACTATTAATACGCATGGCTCATGCACAAACAACTTGTGCATGCATGCCCATGCATGCGTAAGCAAAAAATCTCCTATTCCATTACAAACATTACAACTATTGGAGATTATATTATAGTCCTCCGGAAACGGCTCAATTTTCTTAACGATAACAGGAGATAATATCATTCCAAAAATTATACTAACATATAAAGATAAGATTGTACCAGATATTTCCAAGAGGGACTAGCTTAAGTTGAGCAAGTTCCTAAAAGCTCATAAATCAAAACCTGTTTTGGATTAAATTGGACTAAGCCCATAAATGCTACTCCATGAACGGTAAAACTTGACGGAAAGGGAAAGTATCACCCGTCCAAGATAAGTTTACTCGCGAAATCTATTGTACTTAATTAAAACAACATACAAGAAGTATATGTGTCAGTTCTATATTAAAAATTTTCTCGCCAAAGTTCATTTTCAGTACAAAATTATTTTTGACACGTGGCTCACTTAAAAAATAGATAAATAAAATATTAAAATAATGAAGAAAAAGAAACACCAAACATTGGGGTAATAGTAGAGTTTATTACTTATTACTTAGCCACTTAATGAATTCAATATTTCGAATTTAGAATGAGACAATGATTTTTATCAAACATGCTTTAGATTTTTTTTTTTTTTTTTTTGTTGTAGAGGGTGAGGGTTATTTGAGTCATTGCATTGCCCTCACTGTTTGACTTGGAAAATTGGCGGTCAAATGGTTTTTTATATATACCATTTTCACAAAAAAAGAAGAAACATAGACGAGCTAACACCGTCTCCGCTTCCACCAGGGCTTTTCATTTTGTATTCTCCTCTTACTCGCCGCGCAGCTGAATCTCCGAAGACCTCATCCGCCATGGGGAGAGGTAAGCCCTTTCTTCCTCTTCCCTGCTACTTTCTGTTTCACACAATTTCACATTCGGAAGCACATATGTTTTGCTGATTTATGTAAATCTTGATTGTTTGTATCGTGTGTTTTGCTTGCGGCTCTAGGGTAGAAACTACTGTGTTTTGGAAGGATTTTGCTTTTTATTAGTTCGTTTGTATGCGGATGTTTGGTATAATCCTTTGCTATGTGTTGAATTGATGGTTTGAAAAAGAGGAAAGTTATTTCCCAAACGTTGAATATGCATTCGATTAGGGTTTTTCTTGGCTCGTGATGTCACGCGGCTCTTGGAGCAATTTTTTTTTTTTTTTGGGTGTGGTTCCTTATGTTTGTTTCAACTAAGATGGGTTTTTTGCCCAGAAGATTTTTGACAACAGGAAGCTTCGGTTGTTATTTATAAAAATTAGTTGATGATTATCTGACCTTGTTGGTGATCATAATGAAGCCTTATATCATTCATTGTCATTTCTGATTTATTTTGATTATTTGTTGATTTACGTTGCCCATTCTGAATAGTTGACAAAGAGATATAGTTAGGAAGATCTCAAGTAACGGTCATATTGTTATTGGGCAGGACCTGCAAGATGTTACCGTCAGATCAAGAACAAGCCTTATCCTAAGTCCAGGTATTGTCGTGGTGTCCCTGATCCTAAGATCAGGATCTATGATGTGGGAATGAAGAAGAAAGGAGTGGATGAGTTCCCTCTCTGTGTCCATTTGGTCAGTTGGGAAAAAGAAAATGTCTCAAGTGAGGCACTTGAAGCTGCTCGTATTGCTTGCAACAAGTACATGACCAAGTTCGCTGGAAAGGATGCCTTCCACTTGAGGGTCAGGGTTCATCCATTCCATGTCCTGCGTATCAACAAGATGTTGTCATGTGCTGGGGCTGATAGGCTCCAAACTGGTATGCGGGGTGCCTTTGGTAAGCCGCAGGGAACATGTGCTCGTGTTGCCATTGGTCAGGTACTGCTCTCAGTGCGTTGCAAGGATTCCAACAGTCCTCATGCTCAGGAAGCTTTGCATCGTGCCAAATTCAAGTTCCCAGGTCGCCAAAAGATTATTGTTAGCAGGAAGTGGTACGTACATTAGTTCTCAGTTGACTTTTGTTATTTTAGTTGTTCTTAAAATGGAGTACTTGCTTGAAATGATCACAGCATACGCTTTTTAAAACACTCATTTAGGTAATGATTGTTTTACTTAGCTGTGGGTTTTTGTGTTCTGTATATATATTTTGAATAGGATGGCTATATGTACCTTGTTTTGCTTGCCGGCATGACAGGAATTAAATATAACTCGTGTTTGTGCTTACTTTCAGGGGCTTTACCAAGTTCAGCAGAACTGATTATGCCAAGTGGAAACAAGAAACAGGATTGTTCCTGATGGTGTCAATGCCAAGGTTTGGTCAATGCTCTATTTGTGGCTACATATGAATGTGTATAGGCATTTCAGAGTACTCTTGTTAATTCTTTGCATTTTAAATCTGCAGCTTCTTGGCTGCCATGGACCATTGGCTAACCGTCAACCTGGCAGAGCCTATTATAAGAAACACGAAGAAGGGAAAAGTAATGCCACCTTGCTCTTCCTGTTGTTTAGTTCTTTTATTGCGTCATCTGCATGTGTTTTTATAGATTCATTAAGTGATCAATGCATGGAGCAACTGGATTCATTGTCATTTGCAAAGCATATACACAGTTTGAATGAAATATAACTTTAGTTTGTTTCCCCGTTGATAGCTGCTTATTATTTTTATTGTGCAAAAGTATTATGCTTTACAATTGTTTTCCGAGTAACGCATGATAAATGATCTGAACAGCTGATGCTTCGATACTTAATGGTTATTTAGGCATTGTAGCCGTGTGCTGTTTTCTTTTTTCCCTTTTCTGACTCATCTTTGTGTTGGCCTGGAAGTGCAGCTGAAAAGAAGATATGTGTGGATGAAGGTGAACAAAATGGTACTTTGAATGGTGCACAAATTGACAGCAATTCTGACTCAGCTGTAAGTTACTGTACATTTAGCCACTTCGTTTGTTTTTCTCTGTGAAACTATGATCTGCAATGTGAATGCAGACCAGATTATGCCCAGAAACTTTTTAAATAAACCCCGTTTTGGTCTTTCGGGATGTAACACATGCATGCATGGATTTCAGAGTTAAAGAACTCCCTAAATTTGCGGGTTGCTAGCCCTTTCATGCCGTGAAACCTAGTTTGCTCCCATGACATTTATTCCTTTTGGTACTTTATATTTATTTGTCACTTGATTAATTCTGCAGGCATACTCTCATCCAGGAACACCAGGTGCTCAAGAACTGTATCGCCACACGTTACTTTTCATTCGGACTCTAGTAGAGGAGGATCAAAAAGAGTTACTACAGGTACTTCTAAACCAATATCCTGGTTTTAGGGAATTTCGGTTGATTGAGGCAGAATCAGGTTTATCTTTTGTAGAATTTGAAGACGGATACAGTTGTGGGTTGCCATGCAGACACTTCAGGCCTTAAAAATCTCCTAGAATTCTATGTTAATCACTTATGTGAAGTGATTGTTGAAGCAATTTGGTAGCTCAGGTCGATTGTTAAAACCTTTTTGCGTGAATTGTACTAAAAATTTGCAAAAGTTGGATGCTCTGTATTTTAAGTTTTAACCGTTGAGTGGTATAATTTCCAAACAATTTTGTCCCTCTCATTTCATTGAAAAAGTTCGTATACAGAGCAAAGTTTGTCAAACTATCTGTTGCATCAATCTTCTGTTTTATATGTTTTCAACTATCTTCTCCTAAAGATGTGTTTTGCAATTTATGAGCATCCTTTCGAGCCAAGGATCCTTTTTTCTCCAACGAAGGTGGGTTTCTTTTGCTGCTTTTTGGTTGATTTTCCATTATCTAAATTTTTGTTGAGCTCTTTAATGTGGCTTTGCCTGTACAATTTAGGCCAGAATTCATGTCGATTAAATGTACTTTGTTTTTTTTTTTTTCCCGTTTGTTTATTTTGTTTGTTTTGTTTGTATTGAAGATAAAAAAGACCCCTGTACGGGTCCTTAGCTATGAAGAAAGAGTGAAACGTGCAATGTCCTATCTTGGATATATCCCTAAACTGCCAACTGGCCCTGTAGTACCAACTCCCAACTATCTCGTTAGTGCCTCTTCCTTGTTTTTTTGTTTGTCTTTTTGTTGTATCTAACTATACTCTATGCTGAACTTTGGCCTGATTCGTGTTTTTATTGTTCTTTTCCTTTCTTTTGTGGTGGCGTTTGTAGAAGTATTTGCATAAGCGTGAAGAAGGGACCACGTCTTTGGGTTTTATTTTCAACAGTGAAGGGATTATGGTAGCTGTTGATCATTCAAGCATATCATCAAGTTCTTTTCCAGAGAATGTTGGTTTACTGACTTCCCACATGCTTGCCGTTATCTCTGGAGGAAACGAAGTTTTGCGAAATATTTATCTGGGTTATCTGAAAGACATGGTACATGCTGCTTTACTTTATTAATGTTTTATTTGCATGCTAAGAAAGATTGGCTGTTATAATTCATGTGGACATTGTATGTGTTTTAGTGCCGTGATCTTGAAAAGAAGGGGAATAAAGCTTCTGCAGCTGTAGCATCGAAGTGGCTGGCTGGCTTTTTGTCTCGTCATCCTTTCAGTGATGACAGGTTCTCACTAGGAATACTGATCGCTGGGTGGGACAACGAATCGGTACATCTTGGAACTAAATGTTGTTTTCCTCTTTATTTTCCCCACTGACTCTTATTGATTACTGATCATGTTTTGACTTTCTGTAGGGACCCGGCCTGTATAAAGTGGATGCCAAGGGGAAAGAGCTTAAAGAGTCGATGCTTGGAACTGGATCTGGTTCAGATGCTCGTTCTATATTTCTTATCAGGTTGTTGCATACATTGCTTTATAGTATTTAGGAATGCTGCTTCGGCCTTCTTGAGATCTCAGACACTACATTTAAACTGCTTTCCTTTTTTGTTGGGTTCTATTTTTAAGATTTTGAAATTGCACCTGATTTTACTTGACATCTGATCGTAAGAACTTGTTACTGGTTTTTCTACAGGTCCCTTGACAAGATGTCCGTGGCTGAAGCTGCACAGTTTGCCAAAAGTGCACTGTGTACTGGTGTAAGAATCGCGCCTGAAAGTCGCGAATGTGTTAGTGGTAAGTTTGTGATCCCCTGGCACTTTCGTTCTGATATGTCTATCGGTACCTGAACATATTGGTTTAATCTGGTTTCTTTTACTCCCTCCATCCGATTTTAGTAGTTCATTGTGTTGTACTAGTTTAGTTCAGTAACGTGGACTATTAGAAAGGGATGAAGGGAGTATCTCTCCCGCTTCTCTCTGATGAGTGTTATGTTTTCCTGTAATTAAGTTTTCCATGTTGGAAGTGCTGGAGTTACACCGGTGGTGTCCAACCATGATATAGCAGAAGCGCAAAAGCAGCTCCGCAGGGCGCAAAACAGAGCTCCGATGTGAGGACACGGCTCTTCCGAGAGCGGAGTTATGGGTGATTTAGGAGAATGCCAAGAGCGCTCTGAAGAGTGATGCAGTGGCTCCTTTCTTATTTGTGTGTGCTTTTTCTCATATGTGGTCTTATTCTTCCTTTTCTGGACCAGATGGATTTCCAGATCTTTCTCCGTTGGTGGTTTTCTGCCATAAGGATTCTTTGGTCGGAGTACGAGAGAAAACTAGTGTCTTGTTTGCGTATGGACTTCTTTTGATAGGGCAGAATAATCTGCAAGAAGCAACAAATCAACTAGCATCTGGTTTGCAGACGACATACAAATATATATAGGGAGTCTCTAACTCGTGTTGCAATATAGGAAACTTTGTTTCAGAGTAATTGCAGTGCCAATGAGATTGACAAGGAGATTATTGCACTGCTCCTCGTTGTTGTGTAATGCCAACTTTTTTTTGCCTCCCAACCTTATGGATTTGAGTATTCTCACCTAATGAGTATTGTTCTTGGAGTAATTTTATTTAGCTAACTGCCCTGTTATTTTGATCAATGTTACCATTAGTTTTCCGAGGGAATTGAAGTTGATTAATTGTACTGATTGACAACAAAAAGAAAAAGCAATGTTCAAGATTCACATGCAAATTCGTGTTGTGCTTTTCAGTGGTTTCAAAATCTATTACAAAATTTGAAGGACAATCTCTAAATGGTTAGGCATAATTGTAGGGAGTAACAAAACAGTATCTCCCAATCAATAATTCGGGATAATTCAGGTTTTGAAATTACTACGAAATTCCTTAAAAGAAAGGACACTTTGTCAACATAAAATGAATAAAATCCAAAAAAAAAAAGATTAATTAATCCAGAAATAAATGACTAAGTCTCGTAAATGGTCCGATACAAATGGCTGAGCCGTAACAAAATTCATTTCAACATTTTTGTCCAAAATTAACGAAACCGTCTACTTTTGTCTTTATTGACTGTTAGGCCAAAGTCAACGGGGCTATCTTAGGGAATTTACATGCTTTGAAATCTTAAAAAATCTGGAAAATAACAAATATTTATTTAAAATATTTTATAATAAAATAATCTTTATAAGCAATTTTTTTTTGAATTTTAAATTTCAAATTTCCAAAAAATTTGGTGTTACTCAATTCTTTAAACGTTCGGGTCCACTATTTACCAGTTTGTTACATTTTAATTTTCTCTATGTGGTTGCTCTTTTTTTTTCTTCTTAAATCCACTTCAGTGAACCCTACTTAAATGTGAGTAAAACCCCCTTTACAATCTCTAGTGTGAATCGAACCCTGATCTATCACCAAAAAAGACAGCAACCTAACCACTAAACTGTCATTCAATTTCCCTATATGGTTGCTCTTTATGTTAAGTTGTTGACACCAAATGTTCTGATTGTGTAACTTTGACCTAATGAGTGTATTCTTATTTTTATTTTTATTTTTTTTAAAAAAAGTGTATTCTTATTCTTATTTGCCCGGCGCCAAAAGTTTATGTACTCACATATTGTGTTAGGATGAAAAGCGGCAAAAAGACAAAATTTTAAGCTGTGTATCGGCAATGATCCGGGCTGTGAAATGTAATAAAGTTACAAATCTTTTTTGTACGATTTCTTTTTTTTTTTTCTTTTTCTTTTCCCAGTAAGCCGATTTAAATAATGGGCGGGCGTCCGGGCTAGTTTTAATTATAACTGATCTCGGATTATTGTTCTTTGGCTCTCCAACAAATTCACAACATATTATCTCCAATAACCTTATTTCATACATAGTCCCCCGCCCACACCCCCGGGTTTTGAGTTGGTTTTCATAGGATATTTATCTCCGTTGAATTTGAATCTCATATCCAGTAAAATCTTACCCGTTATTCTTTGTTTTTCAATAGGTTAATCTCAAAAAAAAAAAAAAGATATAGTTCAATGAGTTAATTTTATTAAAATAAAAGAAAAAGTTATTAAGAAAAGAAAAGGAAGAACAAGAAAGACAAATTTCTTATCCAAGCACATTTCTATTCAATCAACAGGCTAAAAACGGAGAAAAGAATAAAATCAGAAGAGACCTAAGCCATTCTCTATTATTCTTATAAAAAGGCTAAACCACACTTTCAAAAACGTAGTCTTAATTATCAAAACCTGTATTAGTTGAGCTAAATGAAATTAACTTTCCATAAAAAAAAAATTTCCATAATTCTGCATTTCACTTGAATTCTGGAGTTTACTTAACACCTATCACAAAAGCACAAAATATTTAGTTTGGTCTGTAGACACAAAACACAATAGCCAAAAGTTAATGAAAAAAAAAAAGAAAAAGAAAAAGAGAAATTGGCAATCTAGAGACTCGAATATCCTCTAGTCCCGCGCTTGCTCTTGCAATTCATTGAGAGGGGACATGGTTGAAGCTACACACTCTTTCCATACTACGAGCCTCAACTTCCCCCACGAGGGCGATCTTCGTAGTAGATCCTCATTCCTTCCCTAGACAGAGCCCGGGATTTGTTGATCGCACGCATGTCTTCCCACACTTCCCAACTTCGCGGAAGTAAAGCTTTTGCAATGTTTCTATATCCTCATTGAAGACCACCCGTTGAACCCCGCTGCTCCCAACATTCAAGACTTACATACAAGAAAAAAGGATACATCCATCAGCAGGAATGGTGTGTGAAACACTCTCCTTCTTCTCACTCTAATAGTCCACTTTATTGGACGAAATTAGCCCACCAAAGTGAACTATTAAAAAATAGACGTAACCAGACACGAAACCATAATGGTCCAACCAACCAATCTTCAAATATACATTAACTGTAACAATGAAATTGGCCAGAGGAAATCACAGAGCTTACCACTGACACATTCACCCCTTCCATGCTCGTAATATACAGCAAGACAAAGTGCACGTTTGGCCAGCTCCGCAGCTTTATCCAAGGACATATCCTTGATATAGTCAGAGGGCCTATAGAAAAACCAGAAAAGAACTTCTTAAAAGAGTAGGGTAAAACCAGGCGCAACTCAAAAACCCGATCTAAAATATCAATGGAATCCAATCCAACAGGCATTAAAGCAATTTAAAGGTAGTGTCTGATCAATGCATCAAAAAGGCCAAGCATCAATTCCTAGATATCAAAGCAAGGCAACGACCATTTCTACGTTACAACTCAACATATGGCGAAGAGACATACTTGTCATCACAGTCATCGTCGTCACAGTCATCATCAAGGTCATCATCACAGTCAAATAAAGCACAGCTAGCTGAAGCACATCCAGTTGCAGCCAATGATTCTTGGAGCAGTTTCCCCTTACTGTCATGGACCAGCTTCCCCTTACCGTTCACTTTATACAGGGCAGGTCCCTACAGAAAGACAGTCCGTGTTCAATCCAACAAGAGTAACAGGGAAACTAAAAGAGATGAAATCAGTGTAATTAGGTTACCGATTAATTCCTTATCCCACCCAGCGATAAGTATTCCTAGTGAGATACTGTCATTGCTGTCGGGATGACTATACAGGAAGTCAGCTAGCCACTTCGATACTTCGGCGGCTGAAGCTTTTCTCCCTTCCTTGGATTCATGTTCTTTGCACTAAAACACATGCAACGTCCACGTGAATTACAACAGTCTAGAAAGCAGGTAAACTTTTTTTCTAACATAGTGTTCACAACAGCAAGTCCCTTCACTGGCAGATCATTCCGCAAATATGCGCGTGAAACTTCGCTCCCACCAGAAAAAGAAGCAAGCAGGTAAGAGTTTAGTACAAACTAACGTTTTCGGGGAATTCTTTAGATCGTCGTCTCATCCTTGAATGATCAAGGGCTACCATAATTTCTTCATCATCAACATTGTTGTAAATGAAACCCAGCGTGGTGGCTCCCTTTTCATACCCAGGGTGCAAATGCTACGCGAAATAACAATAATAAAAACGACAATAATAATAACGATAATAACAATAATGACCCATTATTATTCTTATTATTATTATAATAAATAAAATAATACAAAACAGAAAAGAACACCCGAGATGGAAACAAATTCTACAGAATTACGACTATAGTACTAATGATTTTAAAAGGGAGAGGGGAAAAGGAGCTAACCTCGTAAAAAGGGAATTCCCTCGAAGCCATTGTTAATTCCCACCTTTAATGCAAGCAAAACAAATAAAGGTTATGAAACAAAAAAATGTTATATAATGGAAATTCAATGATCTAGTTGGGAGAAGAAAAGAGAATTCTAAAGTGGCATAAATTTTCACCTTTTCGCCAATAATAGAGAAGGGTTTAGGTCAGTCCAAAGAGAGGCGTTCGGCGGCATGCTGCTTAACATGTTGTTTTGATAGATACCTCTCTGATTCATCGCCTCAGGGTATTTTCCATCGCATTTTGAATTGCATGAAGAAAAGAAGAAGAAGAAAAATCCAAAGGACCATGTTGATAACTAATTCCATCCATTAATTTCTCAAATGAATTTTTGTGTCTTAAATTGGAGTATGGAAACGCTTCTGCATAATGTCTGCATGTGCTGCCACTGTTATTTAAAATGGATTTTTCGTCTTAACATTATGATAACTTGGGATTTGGAGGCTGAAAATAAAGCAGCGGGGTGTCTTAGAATTGTGGAAAAACAACAAGGTTTTCCTCTCTTTTTTCTTTTTCCTTTTTTTTTTTTTTTTGAGGATGGAAGCAAAACAAGCTTTGGTAAAGATGAGAAATTGGTACATTCCTTTCCCGACAATTTTACGGGCATGTCAAAGTGCTATGGAGATGGTTAGGGGACAACCTGCGCATTCAGTTGGATGCTACACTGAACCTAATTTCCATTTTCGTGAAGCCTTCAATAATGAAAGTGAAAAACTCAATGAGCACTTCATGCCAAGTTTATGCAACAGTGCCCTATATTTTGTATGGGTGATGCTGAATCATCTTCAAATGCCCTTAATCTGATTGGTCCTATATACAGGGAAATGGATTGTTTTCATTCTGGTGGAATAAAAAAAACTAGTTTTCTGTTTGCTTGCAGACTTCTTTTGACTGGGCAGAATAAATCTGCAAGTAGCCAGAGCTTCTGGTTCGCTACTTAGCTCCTTGAGGGAGGCTCGGGAGGCGCCTAACTTAGTTTCAGAGAATTTGCTGAGATTGAGAAGTAGATTATGATCTTTTCAATGATTATAGTTACAGGCCCTTGCCGTGTAGTGCTAACTAATTTTGCCTATGCCATATTGTTGTGAGCAAGGTCAGGCTTCCAGTGGAGTAAGATTATCTGCGTAAGCCTTACAGGCGGTGCAGTCCTCTATCTTTATTTGTTGGGCCATTTGGATTGATAGGAATGATTGCATTTGGAACCACGGGACTTCTTCACCTTTAGAGATCACAACTCAGGCTTGGCAGGATTGGAAAGCTTTTGTTGCAGGGAGCCCTTTGGTCAAGAAACAAGCATTTGCACCTGAGGAAGTGTCTCTGAGCACACCGAATGGTAGCTGCTAGCAGACGAGTTGTTTTGTACGCGCGGATGGAGCCTTTGAGGCATCGGAGAGCAAAGGGGCTGCTGGCTGGGAGATAATAGACAGTCATGGCGAGCTGGTATCTCAAGGTTGCTGCAATTTTTTTTGCTAATTCAACCTTACAATCAGGTTTAAAGGCGGCAAGACAAGCAGGTTTTCTTAGTTGTACTTCACAATCTGATAATGCAATGCTTTACGATCTGATAATGCAATCATAGGTAGGCTTGGGAAGCAACAGATGATTTTCCCTTTCTCCTTGCATGCTTTAGAAGAAGACATCAAGGAATTTAGAGAGAGTTTTATGCTGTGTCTTTCAAAAGGTAGATAGAAGTTAGGTAGGAAATGCTCATCGTTTGGCTAGAATATGTTTATCTTCTCTGTAATATTTTGTTTGATATCCATGCATATTAAGTTTGTTGTTCAAAAAACGTAGTAGATTTGTTGACACAAGTTAGTTAGTCGTCTTCGTTCTAATGAATATCTTCGAAGACATGGAACACTTCTAATGTTACATTAGATTGTATTCGTGATAATAGTATTTAGAATGTGCAAAGATAGACAGGTCCTCGTCTGTTTCAAGATATATAAGATATTCAGATTGTGTTTGCATAGTCATATTATTAGGAATGCACAAAGATCTATAGTAGAAGGTATTAGAAATGTGCAGAGAAAGATCTCCTTCTGCGCCTCTCCGGCGGTGCTGAAGCGTTGATGTTGCCACTCTTTTATATCATCATTAAAGACCACCGCTGTAATCCCAGCACTTCCAATGTGGAAAACTTACACACATAATAGAAAAGAACGTAATCAATAAAACATCAACAAGTGAAAAAAACAATATAACTATGAAGTTGCCAGGAGATCACAAACTCACCACTCACACATTCACAACTTTCAGGAAGAGGATATACACCAAGACAGAGTGAACGTTTGGCCAAGTCAGAAACATGAACCATGGACATATCATCACGGCGCCTATAGAAAAAAACCAGGAAGAGGTTCTTAAGATACTTATTCAAGTAAAATCAGGTGAAAGCAATTAAAATATAGTGTCTGATGCACCAAAAAGGAATCATATCCAAAAAACTAAAACCAAGGCAGCCAACAACCATGTTCGCACATTAAGTGATCATAGAGTGACGAGACATAGCACATCCAGAGCCGAGGAATGGTTCCTCAGACAGTTTCCCCTTAGCACTCACTTTATAGAGGGCAGGTCCCTACCCAAAGACAAACCATGATCAGTATTCACAAGAGTCATAGAGAAAATTAAAAAAAAAAACCACACACACACACACAACAAAACAAAAAAGATCAGAGCATACAAGATTACCGATTTGTCATCCCACCCAGCAATAAGTGTTCCTAGTGACAAACCATCATCACTGTAACGATAATAAGACAGAAAGTCAGCTAGCCACCTCGATGCTTCTGCAGCAGAAGCTCTTGCCCCCGTCGCGCCTTCATGCTGCCGGCACTAAAACGCATACAATGTTCACATGAATTTCAGAAGTCACACTTTCTTAGGTTGTAGATAAACATTTATAAAGGAGAAAATAGTGCTCATAATGTACACTAGCAGCAAATACCTTAGTTTGCAGATAAGCGAGATAAAATTTTCGCGCATATTCGTGCCCTCCAGAAACTGCGGCAAGCAGGTGCGAATTGAGCAGAGCAACATTTTCGGGAATTGAACCTGATGAGCAGCTTGAATGTTCAAGGGATACCATAATCTCTGCATTGTTGAAAATGAATCCCAAGGTTGTGGTTCTCTTTTCAAACTGAGGGTCATCATCGACCTATAAACATCACCAAACAAAAAGAGCATGAATAAATCAAACAAACGAGAAAGAACACAAGGAAAAAATAAAACACTGACGCCAGAATGAGCGTAAGCATCGGCCAGAGAGGTCGGTACAGAGATGTTCCTTGAATCCATTGTTCTTCACCTTCAATACAAGCAAAACAAACTCATCAAACGAAAATAAACACAATCGATTTAATTTACATTGCCCAAAACTCTATTCGACTGTATTAAAGAAGTCAGTCAACACACTTATAGAAATTCAACAAGGAAATCGAAGAAGAAAAGAGAACTCCAAAAGAGGCAGATTATACCTTTTAGCCGATCGTAGAGATAGAGCTCGTTCAGTCCTCGTGAGATTGTACCGACTGTTCTTTATTTCTGATCTGAGCACATCAGACAAAATCAGACGAAAAATAAACGAATTTTGGTTTGATTTATGGATGTGGATTCTTGCCCTAATTGGTTCCAATAGAATTTCTGGCGCGTAGCTTCTCTTATATACTGGGTTTGTGAATCCTTCAAAATTAATTGAACCGGGTTCAGAGGGGTCGTAAATCAAGAATTTACCTTCTCCGCCTTTCTGAGAAACGACATCGTTTGACTGGCGACTAAGATACCAACATGGCAAAATGATGAAGTAGAAAAAGAGAGAGAAACTCGTCATTGAAACGACGTTGACACGAACCCTTCTTCTACGGGGGACCGAAAATTCGGATTGAAATCACGATCTCAGCCAACCCGATAATCTAGTCATTCTTTCGGTTTGGCTTCTTCTTCGCTCATAATTTCTACAGTACTCCAGTAATTTTACCAGTTTTTCAACTTCACTGTTAGTCAAGAAGAATACAAGATTCCACTGCTTGAATTTGTCAACGAATTGATGGATTTGAGCAGACTGAACTGAACCGGGTTTTAAATTGAAGAGAGATGGAAGCTGTGGCGGAGGGACTGTGGGGATTGGCGGACCACCACGAGGACCAAGGAGAAATTGCCAAGGCCATCAAGTGTTTGGAAGCCGTATGTCAAAGTCAGGTCCCTTTTCTGCCGATTATCGAAGTTAAGACTCGCCTTCGCGTCGCCGTTCTCCTGCTGAAGCACTCCCACAATGTCAACCACGCCAAAGCCCATCTCGAACGCGCTGTCAGTGCTCTTTCTCTTTTTTTTTTTTTTAATTTTTTTTTGAATTGTTTCGACTTCCGCTTTCTTGAAAATATCTGTTGGGATTGTTTTTTTAGCCGTTAGTTTATGTGGTTGTTGCATAAATTCCGATTGTCTGAAAATTTGAACTTCATAGTAATGGCAGAGTTTGTAAACCCGAGATCATTGCAGCTCTATTAATTATTGAGGTACTAGTGCCTTAGATTCAATCTAACTGGGTTATTATGGATATTAAGTTTATAGGGTTGAGTACTTGAGTACTGCATAGTTAACTTGTTGATATATGATACTGAGTCGCTGCAATTGATATCAGAGTTAATTTCTCAATGGAAATAACTAATAAGTATTGTGGAATGATTGCATGCCTTATCTAATAAGGTTTGTGGACAAGGGATTCTAATGGACTTGGTGGATTTCCCCTATTTTCAAGCTACTTGTTTCTTGTTCTTCATTCATCCAGGAGAAGTTGGCGGCTAACATAATGTATGTGGAATTTGGAGGCTAACATAATGAAGAAGTCGATTAATTTAGCCTTTCACTATTGCTTGGAAACTATAGATTTTTTTTTGGTTTTATCTTATGTATGGATGTCCTGCTTCCCATTCTCATTGAGAAGGTACAAAGAATTACTTTTGGTAACAGTTTGATTTCCTGCAGCAAGTGCTTCTGAACAAGATGCCATCATGCTTTGAGCTCAAATGTAGAGCATATAGCCTATTGAGCCAGTGCTACCATCTTGTTGGAGCCGTTCCTTCACAAAAACATATACTCGGCAAGGCGTTAGAACTCACTGCAACATCTGGAGATGGGTATGCTCTTTGGTCTTGTATTATTTCTTTTCTTACTGTTTTTCAGCTGTTAATTATGTCTGCCTTTGTCTGCAATTTAGTTCAATTAGGATATAGTAATCATCTTTTATGAGTACTTTCTTTCTGAAGTTTCCTCTTTGTCTTGTGTTTCATATTCTTAAGATAGAGTTACCTGCACCATCTGCTGCTTTATACAAGTGTTGTAAATTGTTCCACCATGCAGTTTCAAAAGCTTGGGAAATTTGATTAGCTTTGAATATCTGTTGTACCATAAAGAATCTCTCTATTCTTATGTGAAATAGAATATATAACTTGCTCATAAGCTGTTTGGATTTGTTGTACTCATCATTGAATTAAATTTTTTGAAGGTTTACTGGGAGGTTATGGTTTTGCAACTTTAATTCTCAGAAAGCAAATGCTCTAATAGTTGAGGGAAATTACCAAGAGTCAATTACTGCTTTGGAGCATGGGTTCATTTGTGCGACAAAAATGTGTTACCAGGAGTTACAGGTTTGTCTGCCCTATTTTGGACATCTATGTCATCTATTTGTGATCCTTGTTTGCTGGCATAACTTCCCTCGTGTAGCTGGATGAGATTATTGTTCTTTTCTTTTTCTGAAACGAGTTATTCTTCTTGTTAGATTGTATACAAACTGGGTTTTGCAAATTTGGATATTCAACTTTTTTGCGGACATAATTGTCACTTTTACTTGCTGTTTTATCTTGTGAGAACTTAATTTGTCAGTTGAAACTGAATTTCTCTGCTGTTGTTGGATTAGATGTATTTTGCTGCTTCAATCTTGCACGTGCATCTCATGCAATGGATTGATGTAAATTTGGTGGAGGGAGCGGTCAACAGATGCAAGCTAATATGGGAATCATTTTCACCTGACAAGGTAGGAAGTTGGATTCTTTGGATACCAGTGCATCATCTTTTCCTCTTATATTCACCAAGCAATTTCAAATATCTTCCTTATATTCCTGTCAAAGTCCAATATTTGTCAAATTTGTAGTTTCCAGGAGTATTTCTCTTTAGGTCGTCTGATCCTAATCTGTGCTAAGACATGCCAAGGCATTTACATTGGAGCAAATGATTGTTTCTTAGCATATGACCAGATTTGATAGACTTCTGTTTTTTCTATCGTCAGATATAATTTTTCATTTTTACAATGTCCAAGACTTCATTAACTAAATATGTTTGTCTCTTCTTCAAATGAGTTGATGAAGTAGATGAAGTTTGTGGCTGTAGAAATCCTTTTGAAGTTGAAACAGTAGTTCATTACCGATGGGTCTCGAGAGATTTGGAAGAAGTTGGATATGATAATTACATTTTATGTGTAAAGCAGTTGGATTACAAAGAGGTGGTGTCGTTAGAATGCTTTTTTCATTGGTATTCACCAATTTATGATTGGAAGAATCTTGTTTGCTTGAAATAAGTTAAGGTGAAGAAGCTTTTGGAAGATTGTCCCTAACACCGAGGGAAGATGGGATATGTGCCTTTCCATGGTATGAAAAGTTTTAAGAGAATGATTGATATCCCGTCGCAAATATGATTTGTAATGTTTACGTTGCAAAGTCAGGTTTTCCAAAATAATTATGGTCCTGGTTGTCACTATGTTTATATTGCTACACCAGGTACACTACTAATATAACAGTATGTGTGCATCCATACATTAAATTTGCCTAATGTGCATTTGATAGTTTTATCTTGTAACTGAGATAAAGATCTCCTGCTGAAACTCTTAACTCTTTTATCAAACAGGCACATCACTGTCTTGGTTTATTCTTTTATCACGAGCTGCTTCACATAGTCTATCTACTCCGGATCTGTGACTACAAAAGTGCTGCCGAAGTTGTGGAGAAGTTGGATGCTGCGATGAAGTCTGACTTGGAGAGAACCCAACGTGTTCAGGAACTCAACAAGGAAATTGATGCGATAAATCTTAGTCTTGCTCTGCCTGATTTGAGCTACAGGGATAGGTCTATACTTTCTGAAAAACTAGAACACTTGAATGGACAGCTTACTAGTTCTGCAGGATTAAATTCTGCTGCCAAAGACTCTCTAGAGCCAGCTTATTTTGGAAATGTTAAACGCGCAATTGTGGGTAAGCTTGAGTTGGCTCCTCCACCAATTGATGGGGAATGGCTCCCAAAGGGTGCTATTTATGCATTGGTAGATCTGACTGTTGTGGTTTTCAGTCGTCCGAAAGGACTCTTCAAAGAGTGTGGGAAGAGGATTCAATCAGGAATGAAAACAGTCCAAGATGAACTAATAAATCTGGGTATTTTCGATGAAGTCACTGAAGTAAATCTTCAACCCTCTGCTATTTGGATGGCTGGTGTCTACTTGATGCTTTTAATGCAGTTTCTTGAAAATAAAGTAGCAGTGGATCTTACACGTTCAGAATTTGTGGAAGCACAAGCAGCTTTGGTTCAGATGAGAAATTGGTACTTCCGTTTCCCGACTATTTTACAGGCTTGTCAAAGTACTATCGAGATGCTTAGGGGGCAGTATGCACATTCAGTTGGATGCTACAATGAAGCTTCTTTCCATTTTCTTGAAGCTTCAACAATGACAGTGAACAGATCAGTGAGCACTATGTGTCAAGTGTATGCAGCAGTGTCCTATATTTGTATGGGGGATGCTGAATCATCTTCCAATGCCCTTAATTTGATTGGCCCTATATACAGGGATATGGATTCCTTCGTTGGAGTACGAGAGAAAACTAGTGTCCTGTTTGCTTATGGACTTCTTTTGACAGGGCAGAATAATCTGCAAGAAGCAAGAAATCGACTAGCATCTGGTTTGCAGACGACATACAAATATATAGGGAGTCTCCAACTCGTGTCTCAATATTTGACTGCTTTGGGGAACTTGGCTCTTGCCCTTCATGACGCTGGACAAGCAAGGGAGATTTTGAGATCTTCTCTGACGTTAGCAAAGAAGCTGTATGATGTACCGACCCAGATTTGGGCATTATCAAGTCTAACTTCCCTGTACCAGCAATTAGGTGAGAGAGCAAATGAAATTGAGAATCTGGAGTATCAAAAGAAAAAGATAGAGGACCTGCATAGGAGGATTGCGGATGCATGTCGATCTCCTCATCATTTTGAGCTTATTAACAAGGTAAAACTCGAAGCTTGTCAACTTAGTGACATTGACATGAAGCGGGCTACTGCTGCCCCGTCCATGAATATCATCCTCGATATTCCAGAATCAATAGGCTTGACAACTCCATCTCCGATGCCTGCATCCTCGAGGCTTATGGATATGGACTTGGGAAGGCTCGGGAGGCGGATAACTTAGTTTCAGAGTTATTGCAGTGCCGACGAGATTGACAAGTAGATTATGGTCAGGTTGTCGATGTTTGTAATCACATGTTTCCTCCTTGCCTTGGTGGTGTTGTAATGCTACGGGATTTGTCTATTCATCTCACCTACTTGGAAGTGTAAAATCTTGGAAGTATTAGTTTTGCTAGGTGCTTTTAGTTGGCTGCCATACTATTTTGAACAATATTCGTTAGTTTTCCAGCCCTAGTCGGACGCACAGTGGACAAAGTATTAGATTTGTAGTCTTGTAGATATTCAAAAAGTTGGAACCACGTGGTTAACATCTATGATAGGACTGATGGCTTACATCTCAGAAGCATCTCTTCGCTAATCAATATTTATTTAAGAAAGTGAGAGTAAAAAAATATTCTCTCCGTCCCATAATTATTTTTCAGTTTGAGTTTTTATTTCTAATTCAAATTATACTAAAAATGAAATCTTAAATTAGACAATAATTTTGAGACAGAGGGAGTAATATCTTTGTCTCGGTAATTGAATTGATAGCATCAAGCAAGCTAGTAAGGTTAAAAGAAACGTGTATTAGAGAGGATGCAGCCAAGTTTCTTCTCTTCTCTTAACTTACTAGTGATGTCTGGTTGCGCAATGCGCGATTCTGACCCAGTCTATCTGTAAATCGTATAAATGTTTATATTTGAAAAAAAATAAAATTTTGTATTTGGAGTGATATATTTTAGAAATGTTTGAAGGATTTAGAAATGTTTTATAAGTGTGATCATAGAAATATTTGTATTTCACACAAAAAAAAAAAATTGTATTTCGCCATGTATGTTTTAGAAATGTTTTATAAGTGTTAATTATTAAATATAAATAGCCTTAATCGAATATATGTGTTGAAGTAAATGTTAGATAAAATATAAAAACATCTTAATAAATTTAAATATTAGTAAGATGATTTATTGATGTTCTCCATTGGTCGTGCCAAATCAATACTTAGTTTTAGAGATTTTTAATAGCTTTGTAATAAGTTTCATTCGAAAGATATACGCTTAAAACAAAATTGACACTTTGTAACAAAAACCTAATTGATCAATTCAATTTAAAAAACAACTCTAGTTGAATGAAACATAAAGAAAAAATTTAAAAAAAACGTGTCACGTAAAGTGCAAAGGGAGATTTAGTAATTTAGTTATGGTTAGACAAAAGGGCAATTTAATACTTTCTACATGCCACGTGGCAATCATATGAGTTGTTTGAAAGGAGGTTTTTGTTTCTAATATAATAGGATACTAGATGCTTGTCCCGAGCAAATGCCCGGGGCGTCCTCCTACCTAATAAATTAATATGTAAATAATCAAAACTGATTAGAAATGAATTTAGTTTTTGATGAAGATAATTAATTGATCGAAAATTAATTTTTTAGAAAGTCCTAAATAAGTGGAGAAGGAAAGTTCTATTCACTGTCAAATTCAAAATTTGAATGAACATGGCCATCTGATCTCTTCGTTAATATTGTAAATATATTTTTTGTTTTTAAAAGGAGGTGACACGTGGCAGCATGGTTTATGCAATATGGTGCATTTGGAGCCAAAACCTTTTAATAAGAAATTGCCACATCATCATCATGTTTTCTGCTTTAATAGGATAAAAGGGATATATCATCTCAATTCTTGCCTAATGAAACGGCCCTAGTTTCTTGAACAATATTTGTAAGGGTCATCCCATCTTCTTTTTACACAATACAGTGGGAGTAATAATATTATTAGCTTTGTAAAATTAATATTGAAAAAATTAGTTGGAACAAAATGGTTACCATTTGTGAGCATGTTGATCTTCACTATATTTAGTTGGGGGGAATTGAGAGTAAAATTTTTTTAAGGTTTTTCAGAATCTATGAAGCAAGTCAGACAATCTCTAAATCATGAACAAAAAAACACATGCAACTCCGCCCTACATGAGTTGACTATTTTTAAATTTTAATTGTAGAAACAATTAGAGCATAGAGTTGTTGCTCACAATTAATCCTTCGAAGTCTGACCCTTTAATTGTGAAAAGAGTCAAGGATACAGTTGCTTACAAGAGTCATTCTAATTCCAAGAGCGAAACAAACTGATTTATTACTTAGCACCAAAAATAAAAAATTAAAAAAAATCCATAATTTGTATCCAAGAAAAAAAAAACCGCCATAAGACTTTTTTTTTATTTCCCTTAGATTTTATTTATTGCATTTTTCTAGTTGAAAATAATAAAATATTAAAAATATTATTTTTTTCATTTATCGTATTATTTTAATTATTAAAAAATATTAGTATTAAAGTTCTATTTTTTATTTTAAAAACACAATATAAATAAATGAAATCTAAAACAAATTCAAGTGTATAAAGACACGAGGGAGTAATAAGTTAACTTTAAACAATCAAACAGAAGTGAAAAAAGGTTCATTGTACGTAGACGCGCTGTCGAAAAGGCGGCTTGGTAAGTAGTAGAATCTGGGACAAAGGACATTTGTCAAACACGTAACCTATATATACACTTTAATCTTCCCAGAAGGGGGAAAATTAAACACCGTGGGGAAAAATCCAGGATGCAGGCGGCAACGATCACTTGCCGGTGTTTTAGGGCTCGGGAGCTCTTGATTACCCGAGCTCCAGCCTTGGTTAATTGTTACCGATCGAGCTATTCGCCGGCCATCAATGGCAGAAACCATCTCCACCTTGGAATTCCCTCCAGAAGCTCTCCAATTACCCCAATTTCAACCAGACAATTATCCACCAAGCACAACCCCTGGAGTGCTTCCAGAGCTTCTCCTTCTTTCCTTCGTAACGTCAAAGCTTTCGTCGCTGATGTGCCTACCAATCCCTCCCCCGGAAGCAATGTATGTGATCTCTTTCTAACTGTATTTCGTACTGGAATGAATTGCATTTGTTTTTTGGATATTAATTGGGTGTGGGGATTTACTTTTCCCAGGGTTCAATGCCTAATGGGTTTGGTGCTGGGAGGTTTTCAACTGCAGCTCGTAGGGATGAGGATGAGGGAAAGAAGCCTGCCGAGAAGAAGCAAGTGGCTACAGTCTCAGCTGACCAAATTCCAGATGCTAAAATTATGCAAACATTGGCAAAGTATTTATGGTTGAAGGATAATCATGAATTTCGGCTAAGGGTGCTTGCTGCTTTGGGTTTCTTGGTTGGCGCCAAAGTAAGTGAAGCAGCATTTACTGAATTTTATAAGCTGTAATTTGCGTTTTTGGTGAGGTGTTTTGAGTTACATTTTTTTGATTTTGCTCTTTTGGATATATGTAGGTGTTGAATGTTCAGGTGCCATTCTTGTTTAAGCTTGCTGTTGATTGGTTGACCACAGCTACTGGGAACGCTGGTGCTCTTGCTGAGTTTAGTGCTGCTAATTCAACTATGTTGGCACTTTTTGTGAGCCCAGCTGCGGTTTTGGTTGGCTATGGAATAGCACGAGCTGGGGCCTCTGCTTTCAACGGTACTTCACTATGAAGTAATTGCTGTTGCTTGCTGTCTTCATTTCCGAGAACGTTTTTGGGTTATCAGTTTGCTAGTATTAACTTTTAGCCTAGCTTTGGTCTCATCTTGGAGGTAGCATTTTCGGCTCTCTAGTTTTGATTCATCCTTGTGTGCTCTCTTTCCAGAATTGCGAACGGCAGTGTTCTCCAAAGTGGCTTTGCGAACCATCCGGTCAGTTTCCAAGAAGGTACAGTATCAGAACTAATACCTCCTTTTTACTTTTGGCCCCAGTAGTTTTTCTTCCTTCGCCGGAGAAGTTTTAATGTTTTATTCTGTTTTTGTTGATTGAATGTATCTATGTGACGGTGCTTATAGTTTTCAGTTACAATATATCTTTTCATTTTATATATACAGAGAGAGAAGAGACTGCTTGTTAGATTGTATTCCTGTGATTTGAATGGGCTTTTGTCCTTGTTAGTTTTTGAAAGAGTCTCTTAACTTGTGACATATTTACCTGTCCTTTTTCTGTTGTATCTGTTGACCACTAGCTACCATAATTTTGTGAATAAAGATATATTCACTTATCTTCCTTTTGGTTTAGTTGTTATTTTCAAGCACTTTTGATTACTAACAAACTATCCTTCAAATTCTCAGGTGTTCTCTCATTTGCATGAACTTGATCTGCGGTATCATCTAAGGTAGCTTCCTGAAAAGCCAGAAAATGTTTATTATACTCAAGCTTATATTATTGTCCAACTCTACAGTGTAGCCTAATCTCACTCATTGCAAGTGACTTGATGTGTCGAATCTTAATATCTTTGAATATCCATGTTTGGCTGGCCCAGACTATCCTCTTTCTACAAATTAAGAGTTTGATAGTTAGATAAACATCTTGCTAAGGAGATGATAAAAATCATCTTTGTGGATGATGACAAAATTGTTCATATTTGGATCATTAAATAAGGAACTACATCAGAAGCACCATTAAATATGCATGTTATATTGATGAGTGTATATAAAAAAATAAATAAATAAAAAGAAAGATGCATGTATAGGTACGCATGAAGTATAAGAGCACTTTTCTTAAATACTTCCTGGGAGTTTCCTTCTGGGAAAAAATTAAAAAAAAATAAAAATTCAAGCCACTTCTTTTGCTTTAACGGTGATGAACAGTTCTTACTTATTGGGAGTGAGGATGAGTCAATTAGGTCAATGGCCACCCTGATTTAGTCCTCATCATAGTGTTCATCCCTATTGATTGTATGCTATTTTTATCTAAATCCTTTGATTGCGCTAGGTGTGAACAGTAATTGAGATTGAGTTGTTTAATTGATGTCGGAACCTTTGAATCCCTTTTTCCTTCCTCCTTGTAATTATAGTTCTTATTATTTGGCTTGTATGCAGTCGTGAAACTGGTGGCTTGAATCGAATTATCGATCGTGGTAGCCGTGCTATCAATTTTATTCTATCATCCATGGTGTTCAATGTTGTACCGACGATATTAGAGGTATTTCCTTTTGGATATTAATTTTTTTTTTTTCTGTTTGATGAATATTTCTTTAGTCAGTATCTTCAGCTGGCATTTTGTTTCTTCCTTTATCAATTTCTGATTTTAAGTTCTCAATATCTTTAACATGAGGGCTTCAGATATCCATGGTATCAGGTATTCTTGCTTACAAATTTGGAGCACCATTTGCATGGATCACTTCCCTCTCAGTAGCAACTTATATTGCGTTCACTTTGACCGTGACACAGGTACCTTGTCTGAAAAATCTGTAATTTTTCTCTCTGTGGTCTTCTCTTCTTCTAGCTGATCTATTATTTTGAGTGACTGGAATGGTTTGTCTTTAAGTACTTCTTCAAGCTGCACCTTTTGATAGATGGCTTGATTTATTTTCCCTGAATTTGGATTAGGCAGAGTGGTACTGCATGTTTATGTAAAATTTTAGACTAAGGAAAGAATGTGAGGCTCTCCTTTTGGGAGAGCATCGTCCTTGCTAATTCTAATTTTTTTTGTTCTATATGTCACAAAGATTCTTCGAGGGTGATGATTTGCAGTACTCAATAAAAGTTGTTTGTATGATCTGATTATTCTTCTGCCTAATTTGTGCTGTTTCTCCCCTCCTTTTTTAGTGGAGAACTAAGTTCAGAAAGGAAATGAACAAAGCTGATAATGATGCAAGTACAAGGGCGATTGATTCTCTTATAAATTACGAGGTAATATTGCAAAGCATATTTAAGTCATCTTTAATTTGTAAACTTCCATTCCTCCAATTATAGGTTTTAATAGCTCCTTTCTATTTTACTGTAGACAGTCAAGTATTTCAATAATGAACCCTACGAGGAAGAAAAGTACGACGAATTCCTGAAGAGTAAGTTTTCTTTGACGTAGAATAGAGAATTATTTTCTATTCTTAAGCGTTCCTTTTTTCTTTTTTTTTTCTCTAGCGTTCCTTTATGCAACAATGGCTAAAACTGATATAAGTTTCTTAAAAAGTCATTAATCGATGTACATTTTGAAGCCTGATATAGAGGTTAACACAAAGATGAAGACTTGCTAACATTTCATGGGTAGTTGAAATGCACAAACCCTCACCTGGCGAGTTATAGTATCTCTTTTTTCTTTGGTGTGAGTGGCTGCTGCTCCTACTACAACAATTGTTGTTAGTTTTCCATATTCTCCCAATAGACCTTTTGCCTTTCTCTGGAGTAATGATGGATCTTTTGGTGGGCGTTTGGAAGGAAGTGAAATATTTTTTATCTGCAACTCATGTTCTCCGGAAGCTATTGCACTAAGGAACCTTTAAAACTTTTCTAATTTGAAGAATATATATACAAGGTATAAAAATCATGATGTCGTTAATACTTTTCCAGGATATGAAGATGCAGCTCTAAAAACACAAAGGAGTTTAGCAGTTCTTAACTTTGGCCAGAACGTGATCTTCAGTGTTGCACTTTCAGCTGCAATGGTGTTGTGCTCAAATGGAATCATGAGTGGTCAGTTGACTGTCGGTGATCTGGTAAATCTCTTGGTTATTAGTTTTGTTGTTTGACAATGGCACTTTTTGTGGTCTAGTGTCCAAACAAAATTTGTTGTGCCATAGGTTATGGTGAATGGCCTGCTGTTCCAGTTATCTCTTCCCCTGAACTTCCTTGGAAGTGTATATCGTGAAACAGTGCAGAGTTTGGTGGACATGAAGTCCATGTTTCAATTACTTGAGGTATATTCTGTAGTATCGTTTGGTTCAAAGTCTGCAATCATCATGAAGTCTATCTTTTCTGTTGAATTATGTGTTTAGTTGCTTTACCTTAATGAAAAAGTGTGCTAGCATTGGAAATTTTGCTTATTTCTTTATTTTCTACAAACAACTTGCAGGAGAAAGCTGATATTAGAGATGCTGATGATGCTAAGCCTCTAAAGTTAGAAGAGGGCAGCATTCAATTTGAAAACGTTCATTTCAGGTGTAGTAATCTCTTGAGTATAACTTCTGCTTCTTATAGCTGAAAATTTTCATGGGGCATTAGTTCATCGTGAACCACAATATGACACGAGGAAAATAATTGTCAGAGTTTAATATGGCTGTGAACAGTAAATAGTTTGCTCGCTGTTTGTTTTTTTATTTAGTTGCTACTTAAAAGAAGCTCTCAAGTTTCCCATATATGCCCTATATAGTGGCAAATATTGATAGCACAATCTTTTCTAATATTTCATTATTCTGTAACCAGTTATTTGTCGGAGAGAAAGATTCTGGATGGGATATCTTTTCTCGTTCCTGCTGGGAAAAGTGTGGCTATTGTTGGAACCAGTGGTAGTGGTAAGGCTTCAGATCCACCAAAGTTATAATGAGGATGTTGATATTTTTCCCACCAATTTATGTTGAATGCTTGCATGATGTTTACCTTACGACACTAAGAAACTGATTTGGCACTTGAAATTGCAAACGTATAATAACTGGAGAGACCTGGTGGTAAAAGAAATTGGAAGGATTGAATATTAATCAGATGCCATTTTCCCTTTATGTTCATTTGTACTTCATATTTTGTGTCCTGGGCATGTGCTGAGCTGTTCCTAACGTTTGAATCATTGCTTATCTACAGGTAAATCAACAATCCTTAGACTACTGTTCAGGTTTTTTGATCCTGATTCTGGGCATGTAAGGAGCAATTCTCTTTTCAATAAACCCTCCAACCCCTTGAGTTTTGCGGTTTTGTATGTCTGCATTCTATTGCACAAGTTATTTGGGCACTTTAACAAGGGTGCTAAAATTGGGACTACCTTACTTGCACAGCTTGTATAAACATTTGAAAATGGATGTTGTGGGTATACATTTATACTCTCTATCAGTTGAAGAGCTAAGCTGCCTGTTGTTATAAGTGGGATGAAGTGGGAAGTTGGTGCTTCATTTCTGCAAACTTTTCTCCTTTTTTTTTTTTTACATCATGAAAGTACACACAAACTTTCTTGGTGCTTCATTTCTGCAAACTTTTCTCCCCCTTTTTTTTACATCAGGAAAGTACATGAACTTTCTTGGTGCTTCATTTCTGCAAACTTTTCTCCTTTTTTTTTTTTTTACATCATGAAAGTACACACAAACTTTCTCGTACAAGATGATGGACAGCTATAGTATGCATGTTCACCTATTCTTTTTTCTTTCTTGTCAGGTCTTTTCTAATGGTTCATAAATTTTCTCTTACTCACGCATACTTCCAGTTACTTCTCTATTTGCCGTACAGATCACCTGCATGACCAGAGCTAAATTTTGCTGTTTATTTGATTTTATTGGGAATGGCTTTTTCTCATACAGGTAAGAATAGATGGGCAAGATGTCCAGAAGGTTACACTTGAGAGTCTTCGGAAATCTATTGGTGTGGTTCCTCAAGATACTGTAAGTTCAAAATGGAACAAACTAAATCCTCTTTTGTATCCGCTGAAGTGGCAATGAAATCTTACTCCATCTTGGTTTTCATTATTTCTGAATCTATCAAGTTGTGATGTAATGCAGGTATTGTTCAACGACACCATATATCACAACATCCATTATGGTCGTCTCTCAGCAACAGAAGAGGAGGTTAGTTAATAATTCTAGTTGGTATATGATCTCAAGTGCCTTACGTATCTTTCATAACAAATTCATATGTTGTGCTAGGTTTACGATGCTGCTCGAAGGGCAGCCATTCATGATACCATCATGAATTTTCCGCTGAAGTATTCTACTGTTGTTGGGGAACGTGGACTTAAGGTAATTGTTTTTTATGGAAAAAGGGTTTTTTAAGGTTGTTGTTATTGTTGATAACTCAAAAACATGTTATATCCTAATTTCCTTGATTTAGTTTAGGCAGTCATGCCCGTGGCTTAAACAGTAAATGTACAACTAGCTGAACTTTATAGATGTTACATGATTCATGTATTTGATGTTTGTGATGGGTAACCCTACTTAACTTGCCTTCTTCTTATCTCTTCCTTTTGCAGTTAAGTGGTGGTGAAAAGCAGAGGGTGGCCCTAGCTCGTGCTTTCCTGAAAGCACCTGCAATATTGTAAGATCTTTTTCTATTTGTTCTGGTTCAAGAACACATACGACATCTGTTTTCTTGGTGCTCAGTAGATAGACTGAGAGAGCATTACTAGTTGGATAAAATGACTTATTGAAACCAAAATGAGGTAGAAGTAGGAGAGAGGAAGTCCTCGAGTTTAACCTTGTTCATCTATTTTAGGGGGAGTTTCTTGTTAATGTTGCACATCGTGAAGTTAATTTAAGTTATGCCATGCACCTGAATGAGGACAACCAAATTATAAAATCGATAACTCATGCAGATCAGTAACTGTTATTATTTCCCATGGGACCAGGTTCAAGTGCAGTTAGGTGGACCAGTGCATCCTTTTATTTCATTCCTTTTTTGCTTTTTCTGTTGGTTAGTGTTTGCATTGCTTTAGCTCATGCATCTCTTGGAAAAATTTTCCTTACTCTGAGTTGCCAATGTTAGAACAGCATCCATCTTCTTGCTGTAATGGGTTTTTTTTCCTTTCTAGGATGTGACAACCATTGTTTGTTGGTGAAAATTAGGAAGTATCGGGATATACAGTTTACAGAACAATGACTCATTGAGTTGGCTACTAGACTGCATACTGGACTTCTATTATGCAAACTTAATGTCGGCCTTGTCTTTGTCCTTCCGTAATGTTTAAAGTACTGACTGCACTCGAGTGCCTTGTGGTTAACATATATGTACAAACACATATGCACATGCAAACATAGATTGATGTGTCTACATCATTCGATCTCGTTCTTGATTTTAGCAGCGTGTGGCGTAACGTAGATTCCTTATTGCTATTAAATATTGAGGCTTGCTTTAATGTGATTCCTATGTGTGTGATAAACCTTCTTCCCCATCTTGTCCTTAATGTATTTTGAAAGGTGTCGGTTGTTTTGGAGTCTACTTAACCCAGTGTAAAGTACAGTAGTTGTACTTACAAGGCAGTAGCTCTTTGGCTGTTGACACTAAGTGAGCTTTTAGTGGTGTCTCTTCTTGGAACATATGATTCATGTTTTATATATCTTGTGCCCAGGCTTTGTGATGAAGCTACAAGTGCCCTTGATAGCACAACAGAAGCAGAAATCTTGAATGCGTTGAAGGCTCTTGCAAATAATCGTACTTCAATTTTTATCGCTCATAGGCTTACCACAGCAATGCAATGTGATGAGGTATGCATTACAAATAGTACTGCCTTTTCTCATTCCACCTATTCTGTAGTATAAATGTATCTTTCTTGTTCAATTGGCATCATGTGCTTGTTGATCATTAGACTTGTTCAAGATGGTCTATTTTGTGTCTCTTGAGTTGATTTTGAAAATCCTTCGGCTATGCACTGCTCTATTCTCATTTCCATGACTGCTTTGTGACGTCAGATTATCGTCTTAGAGAATGGGAAAGTCGTGGAACAAGGACCACATGACATTCTCTTGGCAAATCCTGGGAGATACGCTCAGCTTTGGACACAACAAAACAGTACTGTAGATTCACTTGACACGGCAATCAAATTGGAGGCATGATTTATCTTCTTTTATATTATATTTATGATTAGTTTGTGTAGAGGGTGAAGGATTATACATAGGGGAAGATTAAGTCTTCTTCCCATCAAATTTTACTCAAGTTATATTTACACATAGTGTAGATATTTAGCTCTTACATCAAGTAGTATGGGAATTGATCAAGTACCATTTGTTGTTGTAACCTGCTTTTGCCTTCTTTTTTGGTTTTGAATTTCATTTATATAAATCTTTATACAACAGAGGACTAGTATTCTTTTTCTGTAGTTGACATAACTGCTACAAATTCAATTTGTAGTTTTGATCATTAACCATTGTTTGCTAATACAAGTAATTTTAGGACAGAAGAAACTCATCAAGCAGAAGTCCTGTAAATTTCCCTGCCTTCCCTGTAATGTGGATGAAGTTGCTGAATAATTGAGTTTAGCCTTTGCAGCAGGCGTGACGATCTCAACTACCTTCTCTGGCATGTCTTTGAGGTAAAATATTCAGGGTCAGAGTCTTCAACCTCTCCAGTGATACAGCCAAACACGTGACTTCTATACAACAAGAAGCAAGACTTGCAGGTTTCTTTTCTGTCTGAAAGGTTACATGCTCCTAGAACCAGAACCAAAAATGATGTAAAATTAATCAAACCAAAAAAAAAAAAAAAAACACGAATAGGATACTCCTTAACGTCAAGCCTAAACCCAAACTTTATAAAGAGCAAAAAAATAGACTAACCCATTGATGAAACTACAGAAAGATAAACCAGAAATAAAACGAAATAAGCGTAATTTGTATGTAGCGTAACTCAACCTAAACCGAGAAATTGTATGTAGCCATTGTAATTGTATGTAGCGTTGATTTCAAAAATAAAAAGTAAAAAATTTCGCACCCTTGTGAAGAGTAGTTTCCCTGAAGAGTAAATGTTCTAGTCGTGGTAACAAAAAATTGTATCTTTTTTGTGGGAATCCCAAGAAAGAGTTCAAGAAGAAAAGAGTACAGAGATCTCTGTATTCCTAACAGTCATCTTCTTCCTGGGGCTAAAACAGAAACCAATGTAAATGTAAAGTAGTTATACTTAAAAAGCAGTAGCTCTGTCTTAAGTGGTTCTTTTGCGATGTGATTTTCCAGCTTGCTTTCTGATATGTTTAAGGAGTTTTGTTTGAAGGTGAAAATTAATTTACTTTGCGATAAATGTCTATATTGTTTTTACCAGTTGAAACAAGTTTTTTCTGTTTCTTGTGTTCTAGATCAAATAGGGTTTCCTGACCCAGAAATCATGGTATCAAAATTCCGTATGATTGGATCGACAGTAATCAACATTTTGCATATTATCATAACAAATGCAATACTGATACCCAAATATGGCACAGGAAAAACAAAAAAAAAAAATTTGTTGAGGCGTCCGTCGAATCGAATCTGTCAAAAGAGTCTGTCCACCTTTGAGTTAATTCGAAAAGTACAAACTTAGGTTAGAGCGCGAGAGGTCCTCCAAAGTCTTTGTTTTCAACACAATGCTGGCTAGTAATTTTATGACAAAAGAAAGGCAACATGAAAGCTACTTACTTTGAATGGAAAATGACATATGCTAATTGCCAAATACAAAATCCAAAAGTTACACATTTGACAAAAGCCTAGAATCCCAAAGCAATTGGAACCCAAGCATTCAATTCGACGACGTACAATTCCAAGAACTACAAACCAATGAACTTCCACAAACAAGTGCCCGACTTGCATTGTTTAAGAAAAACAATGACATTTGGTCACTTTTTCTCTAGTTTTTCCATTCTTCCACAAGAATTCAGATCGCCTCCGGCTTCCTCTTCATTTAGCATATATGTGTACTTTTTAGCTTTCTAGATTCTCAATGAAAAAATGTAAGCCATAAAAACCACACCCTCTTCCTATAGAAAGCAAAGTTTTTGTACAAAAAAAATTAGCAAATAGGAAATGGGAAGCTCAATGTCTTGCCTAGCTCCATATTGTTCGGAATCAGGCTTTGAAAAGAAGACCATGAGGCAAGTTATGGTCATGAAAGACGACGGAGTAATTCATTGTTTCAAAGAAGGCAGCCATGTAAAAGATGTTTTGGTATCACATCCTGACTACCAAATCATCAAATGCAGCAGTTCGGACACAATTCAACTCCCAGAATCTTTCAGGCTCAACTCCAATCAGCTTTACTTCTTGATTCCTAAAGGGGCGTCTTTGAACGATAAATCCATCAACATGCTGCTGAAAATCGCGGCGTGTAGAGATCCCCCGTTGTTCGTGATCTCCAACAAAGGAGATGATAAAGATGGCTTCAAAAATATTAATGTGGGAACAAGAATAGCTGATGATGATGATGACTTCTCAATAAGTAACAATAAAAGGCGGAAGATGATAATAAGATCGCAGTGGAAACCATCTTTGAAGACTATACCGGAGGTATCGTTGTCTACTATCCTACAATCCGATACCTCTGCCGGAGGACTATAACCGTTGGAATGCATATTCTTTGTAAATTAATTTTGTCAATCACAAATTTCCACATTTGACTTGTGAAAAAACCAAAGCCAGTTGGAGAAACTTGAAATGTTGTTTGTGATATTCCCCCATCAATCACAAGTTTTCATATATGTCATACACAAATTTTTTTTAAACATCAATAGCCCAAATCAATGAAACGATCATTTGGGTCACCGTTGTTACATGGGGAGAAATCATTAAGTACTCGGGGAGAAATCATTAATTACTCTCTCCGTCCCATAATTACTGTCCAGTTTGAGTTTTCATTTCTAATTCAAATTGTAGTACAAGTAAAATCTCAAACTGGACAATAATTTTGGGAAAAAGGCAATAGTTCTTAAGTTTATCTTTCAGCTGGCAAAAAGTTTCGAGAGATATGGTTTATTGGGGTCAAGAGTAAATTAAAGACTCATTAGCTTTTACTTGGATTAAAGATTTGATTGGAGTTGGCAGCTCTTGAAAACATTTCCATAGCACAAATATAATAGATTAGATTATAAGTAGATATTATAACCAGAAATCGATGGCCAAGGTTTTAAGTCCTTTTATTTGATGGTGATGAATTATTGGCCACAACCAGTGAGAGATCCTGGGATGATGCCAGGCAAGTTTGGGTCATCGGGGAGTATGCAAATGCTGAGACATTGGAATAATTAATTTCCATAGGCCCGCCTTTGATAAACAACACTACACAAACAACCCTACTCATATGCGGTTCAAATCCCCTAGGGAAAATGGTGTCAAGATTTTGCAAATAAATTTTTTTTAATTTTATTCACTTTTCTTTCATGTGTACCGGGGGTGGGTGGCGGGCGGAAAAGACAATAATGGAGAATTGGTTGTTGGCTTGTTGGGAGATGCCTTAATTAATTATAAATTGCGGATCCAAGACCTTGCTTCTTCTGCAAAGGAGAACCTACCTTGGTGAAGCTACATTAAGCTGGCCCATATGGATCCATGGGGGGGAAAACTTGCCTTAAAAAGTAGAGGAGTATGAAAATAAACAAGTCGCCCAGCAGATTCTTACTTGAATCTAAACAAAACTAACAGAATCAGACGAAATTAAACAAAAGGTTGAATAACTGAAGTATGTGGATTCTCACCCAAAATTGTTCCGAATAGGACATACTGAATTCCTCGGCGTTAATTCTAACATATATCTCAACCAAACAACCGACGGGAAAACATAAACCCTGATGTGTAAAAGGGGATTTTGAGTCTTCGCCGACTTTTGAGAAGGTTTTTCAGGGGCTCAACTTAATCATGTAAACGAACCGGGTTCAGGGGTTAAGTTAAGTGATCAAACAGGCCCGCACACTAAAAGGTCCAGTCCTTGGGCTTGACCTTGAAAGTGATCGGCCCAACATGAGCTCCATAACAACAATCAAGTGAATCTGAATACTATCCTATATTCCTCCTTAATATGGCGGGCGTTGGCTTGACTGCTTGAGCGTTAACGGAAAGCCGGAGAAGAGAAGGACACAAACTAATGATCCTTTTAATTTCCTTAGAAACACTGAAATGGCAGGTACAGTTGATTCAGCCCCCTCGTAATTCGAATTCTTGGAACCTTCCCTTAATTTGGTACTCAGATTTAAGATAAATTACTCCCTCCGTCCCAAAATTATTTGTAGAGTTTGCTCATCTTCAGGCGTACAACCGGAGAAAGACGTCAAGGTCTCGCTGGGACTAGCTGAAGAAATTCTTCATAGTATGGGAGCCGGCGTGATCTTCCGAGACTATGTACGTGTTTTGTGTTTTTCGTTTTATGCTCATAATTATGATTATTATGGAAATAGAGGCAGAATTTTTGCAGGTGTGATATGTGTCTTGTGCGTAATCATAATAATAATACTTAGGTTTGGTTCCAATTAAGATTACCGAAGAAGCCCGTTAGTAGCCTCCTAATTAAGACTAAAGTACCTGCTGAAATCTTTCCTGTGTGAGTTTTTATGGATTAAGCTGGGTTTGCGCTGGACACATCAGAACAGTATTAACTGGTACAGAGAATCGTTAAAATGTTGCAAATCATTATTTCATCGGTTTAGAAGCATCCAAACTTTGGCTGGATTTGCCTGATCATCTGTTTTAAAATGATAACCTCTATTAAGAAACATTTGGATATAAGAAACTATCTTGTATCAGTTAAGGTGCTGTCCTTTCTAATCATCACTTCTGGCCACTGAAGCATTCAAGCATTGAGTTTTCGTACCGAGTTACTGTTGTTTTTTTTTTCTCCTTTTGTGTAGAACTGTAGAATAACTTCGATGGGATTTCCATAAGACGTGCACCTATCTGGTGACTGCTAGTGACGACGAAATCCTTACGGCTCTATGATGTTGCTAAGGCCACGTTAGCATTATCTTTGACCTCCATTTTCAATGTATTTAGTTTCCAAGGTAATTGATGCTCGAATTTCAAGTATTAAGCACAAAGAAGTGTCAATTAGAGGTTGAGAAGTGTGCCATTGTTATTGTCTTTCGTCGTGGCACTGAACCTCTTAAATATTTGAGATGCTAGTAGCCTTAAAAATGTTGGTGCCAGATGTTTGAAGACTACCAACAGCAAAAAGGATGGGATTGAACTTGTTTGTTTTACTTCTCATCCAACAACTGTTATATACTCCTCCAAAAACGGGTGGGATGATACATAGTTTGAGACAACATGTCTAGTGTCTTAACTTGGCAAATAGGATCACTAAAGTAACTTGTTCGATGGATACAGAATCTTTGTGTCTCCTTTCATTGCATGATAATAAGTATCTAAGATACTTCAAGGGACATCATGATAGGTAACGTGATTGTCGCGATTGTTATGTTACCTTCTGATTATCACGATATTAACATCACCAACAAAATGCTTTTCTGTTTGTTAGGGCTGTATCTCTTAGCTTGTGCTCTCGCACTGATTGTTTTATATCTGGATCTCTGGGTCGTACTGTTTTGATGTGGGACCAAAGAGCTGAGAAGTGCCAGGTATAGGCTTTGCGCAAGCTGATCCTTGTTTTATGATGGCTGTTTATCCTCACAAGTATTCTGACTGGTATGCGTGTTATATTTAGGGTCTTCTACGTGTGCAGGGAAGACCTGCCACTGCTTATGATGACCAGGGGATTGTCTTTACCATAGCTTATGGAGGATATATAAGAATGTTTGATGCTCGGAAATATGAAAAGGTTGTTTTAGTCAGACCTTATGATGTCTTTTCGAACTGTGTTAAATTAAAAATGAAACTAAACTCTTAAGATAATATTCTCTGAAGGGGCCTTTCGAGATATTTTATGTTGGAGGAGATATGTCTGATGCTAATGTCGTCAGGTTTAGTAACAATGGAAGGCTGATGCTTTTGACAACTTCAGATGGTTATATACATGTGTTAGACTCATTCCATGGCACACTTGTGAGTTGCCCTTCAACTTCTGGGGCTTGGTTCTTACTTTCTTGATATACCGTGCAATCATTTATAGATTTTGGAATCTGACACAGAGTTGATTTATGTGTTAGTTATCAACATACAAAGTTACGCCTGCATCAAGTGTTTCAACACTGGAGGCTGCTTTTAGTCCAGATGGAATGTTTTTTTTATCTCAGGTAATGCTTACTAATGAACCTGTCAACATTATGAAAGCTTCACTCATTTGCCTTTTCCTTTCTAAAACTCCAGCCTGACTAGGATTTCATAGTTATAACTGTTCATTGTCACTCAGGCATTCGAATCACGACAGATATACCTTCTTCCCCATTATGCACCTTGAGTTTTATGTATCAATGACTAGTGGTGAATGTTAGTTAGGTGATTGAGATTGTAACAAATTTTGTTGCCATCCATCTTTGCCCTTCCTCCTCGCATGCACTCTGCCATCAATTTTCACTGGGAAGAAATGGAATGTAACAGATTCTTTAACTACCTACAGTTTCGTTTATAATGTCTATTAGTTTGTCCGACAAAACTGCTTTTAATCCTTTGAAATAAAAAGCATTATTGCATTCTGGAGTGAATGATGCCATCTATCACTTTTTGATTCTTGTGGTGTTCTTAGGTTCTTTTAATAGTCATACTTCCTCCTTTGATATACTTCCCCCCCGTCGTTATTATAAGCCATTTTGATTACTCCTAAATTTATTTATTGTGTTCTTCCAATTGAAAATAAAACCTTAAAATGCATTTTTACATTTATTGTGTTTCCCAATTATTATAAAGTATTTTTAAGGTTTCAGTTTCAATAAAAAATACACCATAAGTGGAATTTAAGGGAAATCAAAATGCCTTATAATAGGGACCGGAGGGAGTACCTTTGAAGTCTGAATGCATTAAATTTCGTATAATCTTGGACCATTAAAATGCCAACTTAAGTTGACATTTCCGCCCATAGTAGGCGATCCTTTGAAACTTATTCCTGTTCTTTTTGCTACTTCAGAATGTAAGAGTTTCTTGTTTTGTGCTGTGAAATTTCCTCATGGTTTTTTGATACACATTTTCAAAGTTTTCTGACTAATTGCTAGAGATGTATGAATGAAGTAGTAAATTTTTGCTTGAAGAGGTTCAGGACGACTTTACTGGGTTTTACTATTGGGTAGGATCAGGAGATGGCAGTGTTCATGCTTGGAGTGTCCGGAGTGGCAAAGAGGTATAGTTTACAGCGCTTTGCCTCATTTCTATGTTTTACCTTTCTGAATGCATTTGCATATGTATGTGTTTATTGCATAATCAAGGCATCTTCCCATTGCTAGGCTGCATAGACTTTCATTCTGAACAATAGGTTACTGAGAGCCTGCAGCAATTCACACTACTTCTGCATGTTATTCTATATTTCCATATGCTTACTTGGCCTCCGTAAAAACAAAATATTTCTGATCCTGGGGAGCAGATGGTACCGGTTGAATGAAAATCCATTGATTGCCGTATAAGGAGAAAGAGTGTCCAGTGTCGCTTGATTTATAAGATTTCGATTTTCCATTGTTGACCTGGTCGATAAATAGAATTTGAGAGATTCATGATGAGCAATGTGAACTGATTGTCTTTCTAAATTGGAGTTTAGTGTTGCATTAGTTTTTGTTCAATAAGAGGCTTATCATGGTGCCGCTTTGTTCCTATTTTTTTTGTAGGTTACCAGCTGGTTGAGTAATGATATGGAACCACCTGTCTTCAAATGGGCTCTGGGAAGTTTAATGTTTGCCAAAGGCTCTTCCAAGTTATCATTTTGGATTCCAGATTTATCCAAACTAGCCTCTTTTGCTGGAAGAAAGTAGAAAGTTAATGCTGGTAAGTCTCTGGGTTTCTTCTTTCTGGCATTTGAAGATTACAGTTATTTGTGAGGCTTAAAACTTTGTGAAGTTTATATGCTTTCCATAAGCACTACATTTCGAACTGATACCTTTTGTTCATTAATGCTGCCAGCATAATTTTTGGATGGTCCTGCTGTTCAGTATTTGAGAATGAAATGTTTACCTGCCGATTTGAAGCCGTGTTGGGATATTTTCTAACGGAGTCAAACTTACTGATCTGGTTAATAACTCCGGATTCTGATATTTACGTATTGTTGTTCTTTTCTAACTGGTACAAAATTAGGAAATAACCAATCTTAATTATGTAACTTTACTAATCCTTGGGACACATCTTGCTCCAAAATAAGAAATGTGCATCAAGATTAGAACTGATACCTTGAGCTAGTTTTATCATTGATGGATGGCTATCTTTGCTTTTAGATATGGGCTTCTAGATGTTGGTGCTGATCTTGTAGAAGTCTTGTGGATGAAGAGGAGGAAATCGTGCATAGTTGTCTACTTTGGTCTTGTTCTTCTCCCTTGTACTCCCTCCATTTCAAAATATAAGTCGTTTTAGGTTTGGACAGATTTTTAAAAACTTAGGTCGTTTTAAAAATTTTAGGCAAATTAATAATTATTTTTTCAATTTTACTCTCAATAAATGATGTTAATTTATTTTTATTTAGTCTTATTTATAGTTCTAACATAATTAATGAGGGGTCAAAAAGATATTTAACATATAAATTAATTGTTGGATGATTGTCTCTTTAGTTTACATGTCAAGTCTAAAAAGATTTACATTTTGAAATGGAGGGAATAGTAATTTTCTCATTTTCTGAGACAACCTTTAAGCTTTAATTGCTAATAGTTTGCTTAGCTCTGTGTGTTATGGTTATTGAATGAACCAAATTATTCATGACCTTTGTAATTTCTGAATTGAATCTTTTCTCAAATTCGAAGAATTAACTGTCCACTTTATGTATCTTAATCTTGACCTTCCCAAATCAAAGTGCTTTGTTGTTTCGCATTGTACATTGCAAGTTTTCAACTCTAATTTAACGGAAAAAAGAGGACACTGACGGAAACGCCCAATAAAGTACTAGTTAATTTTCATTGTTTTTACCGTTCGATTTAGGCCCTTTTACCAAAATGAACCCTGAGGTTTGGTAATACTATAATTCCTCCCGTTGAGCTTCGGTCAGCTTACCAATAGCACCCATCTCCTCAGAAATGTGATGTAGGTTAATGATGTCATCAATGATCTGTCCAATCGGACTGATAACCCTTTTCCATGAGATTATCCAAAAAAAAATCTCTTCTATGTATTTTCCGCTACTGATGCAAATTTTTTTTCTTTTTTATGGGATAAAAATACTTTTGTAAGATTTTCAATTAAAAAATGTCATGCAACCAATTACACACAATCAACAAAAATTCTAAGTTTTACAATCATCATTTCCTAATCCTTCCTTCAGACTTTTGGCAAACTAATCCCCTTAATCCAAACAAAACAAAAACAAAAAGAAAAAATTAAGTTTTACAATCATCATTTTCGAATTGTTCCTTCAGGCTTTTGGCAAATTAACCTCCTTAATCCAAATACCACAATTAAGGGAGAGAAAACGTATGATAATATTTCAAATTTTCCAATCTATCCATTTCTTCTTACAACACATGGGTGCAGTCGATGGCGGGGTTGGGTTTGGAATAACGTTTTCCCTATGTATGATGGAGCCTTAATTAATTGTTAATTCAATTCAAAAAGGAAAAAAGCATTTATTAATGAATCTAAAGGAAAAATGACAGTAGTAACACAAATCAAAATCTGGGAAAACAATTAGACCTCTAAATTTGACTCATTGGACGTCTACATTTTCATTATTAAGGAAAGCTATTGCCAAAATATTTGGATTTTTAAATCTGTAGCTACAGTAGCTCTCTGGCCAGCAATTTTTCGTTTCCAGAGCGAGGTCGGAGGTTAAGAAGAAGGGTGGAGTGTTATTAAGGGCTAATGGTAGAGAAAACGAAGGTGGAGAAGAAGTTGGTTTTAATGAAAATGATAAAAGATGGTGGAGTGAAAAATGGTAGTAATGTTTAATAATTTTGACTTGAAAAACAAAAATAATTAAAATATAAATAAAATGCATAATGTGAAACATAAAGTATTTGATTTGGGACGATTGATTGTTAAGGTAAATAATATGGAGATTTCTTTTTGAAATATGCAAAGAACACATATTAATGACGGGTTCCCCTAAGAAGATCGACTGACAAATTAGGCTACAACAAATCAATACGTGACTGTTTAGTTTTCAGTTCAACTTAACCGCTCGTTTTAGTTTATAATAGTAAGTAGTATCGTTCAAACCCGTGCGTGATTACCGAAAAATGGGGAAAAAAATAAAAATAAATAAAATTTCCAGGAGTATATTTAGGGAGGAGAGGAAATCTTGAGCAAGAGATTGAGATCTTTTTCTCATACCAAATTAAACCAAAATACTCCCTCCGTCCTCCGATTTTAATTTTCATTTCTAGTTCAAACTGTATTAAAAGTGAAATTTCATATTGGACAATACTTTTGGGACGAAGGGATTAAAAATAAACCCAACATGGCAACATCCAAATCCGATGAGCAGATTTTTCATTGCTGGATTTTGAACATTTTCCCCAAGTTCGAAATGACTGGTTATGATACCAAACAAATTGAGCAGAGAACAAATGAAGGAATATTAATAATGCATGCTCGCTTATTAATTAGTTCTTCGAATATAGAGTACTAGAATAGTAGTACGTATTAACCTTTTGTCTATTTCAATTGGGCGTTAATCACATATAGAGTACTAGAGTAGTAGTACGTATATTATTTTTTATTTGAGCTAATATTTTATTTTTACGTGAAATATTTTTTTCATTTAAATGTTTTTTAATCTTTATGTTAGGAAGAATAAAATAAATCAAAAAAATAGTATGTTTATTACTAAATTATATTATTAAAAAGATTAATATGCTTATATAAATACAATCATGTGTTACAATTATACAAAGATTAACTTTTATGGTAGAGTTTGAAAATAAATAAATACTTTTTAAAACTCATATAATATACTTTTATGGTCATTAAAAGTAGTTGAGAGAAATGGAACAAAATAGAGAAAAATGAAATAAAAAAGTGAAAAGAGACTATTTTGTTGTTTTTATATATTTTAAGGGTTATTTTTAAAATTTTTACAAACTATTAGGGTGTTTTTGTATTTAAATTTATTATTTTATTAAAAAACTAACGGAGATCCGTTAATTTGGACGGAAAATGGACCAATTGGACGAAATTGGCGAAAATTTCAAGTATTAAGGTAAAATTGACTAACTAAAAATCTATTAGGTATGATTGACGTCGAAGACAAGGTTTTGGGTAAGAACGACATTTTTTTCTTTCTTAACACGAGTCGATTATCATTAATTGCCAATTACAGAATAAAAAGAAACCTCTATAATAGTAAAAATCACAAGGCAAAAGAAAGAAAATAGAAACTAGAACTACTCAAAATTGGAATCAGGAGATTTCTTTGGCAGGAACAACACACGTTTCCAGCTGCACTATAACTCAAAAAATTTCACACCAAAAACGATGAACTGCCGATTTCTTTAACAATTCCCACAAAGTGGAGTTCGACGGAATCTGCAGAGTCGACAGAGTTACTTTATGCAGAGGAAGAGAAAAAACCCTTTTGAAAACTGTTTTATAAAATAATGAGTTGGGGCTCAAGAAAAGATGTGAAAAAAATGATGATGACACATTTTCTGCAATTCATTACTCCCATTGTTAAGAACAAACTCATTAAAATATTGGGTTTTTTCCAGTTCCGGCTGTTAGTTTTTAGGGTTTAGGGCCGTACTTCTGTAGTAACAAGAAACGAGGTGAGATAGGCGGCAGGCAGGGCTTTGCATGCCGAATTCCACCAACCCTTTTTCAGGCTGCGACTAAATGTCACTCAAAGTCGCATTTTCCCATATGTTCAGAGTTTCAGACATCGAAACTAGTTTACTCCTTCGAGTCCTTAATATAAGATATTTTAATTTGTAAATATATTTTTAATTAACGAAAAATTTAAAAAATATATCCTAAGAATCAAGAAGATACAACGAATTTAAAAATATATTTTTAAAATTTTTTTATTAATTAAAAATACAAATTAAGTAAAACTTATGACAAATCAAAATACTTTATATTAAGAACAAGAGAGATTAGTTTAAACTAGGGAGTTCATAACACTTTCCCAGAAAGTAGAAATAAAACACATATTCAACCCCAGTAAACTTCACGGATGTCAACAGAAAACTATTGATCCAACTGTCATTTTTTAGACTAAATAGCTACAATTTCCAACGTCCCACTTCAGAAGTAGAGAAAAGGGCCAGAAAAGAAAAAAAGAAAATTTTGAAGGAAAAAAAAAACGATTTTTTTTCCAGCGGGTCCATTGGGCAGAAAAAAATTTCAAGTCATCAGGCTGGATTGACTCATTTTGTTTGGAGCAACCCACATGCTTTGCTCAAAATAGTAGGCCAAGCAAACCACTAAAAAAGAAAATATTAAAAAAAAAAAACGTCAATTATATCATAGCATAGGAGCTTGATTAGCTTTTGCCAGGTGCCAAGCCGTGATGAAATCATAGAGAGATTGCAGATGAAGAGAAACAGCCGGAGCCACGAGCCTCTTATGAAAAAAAAACATGACGCGGACATATATATAGCAGAAGAAAGACCAAGAAGGCGACTCAGGTAAGTCTCTACTGTGGTTTTTGTGAAGGACATTTCATCATTCTTTAGCTTGCACATTATTCCTTTCCAATACTCAGTAGTCTGAAGAGAATTTCTGATTTGAGTGATCAAATAACTTGAGCCTAATTAATGAGCTATAATCATCTATTCATCTAATTAAGGGAAATTTGTTAGTATGTATAGAATTACTTTGATGGACGCAATTGCTG